TACAGTTTCAGGACGGTCCACCTGGGTCAGGAAAGGCTGGTAACGGGGGAGGAGTCCCGTGCCCAGGCTTCAGAGGGTGTCCAGACAGCGGGGGCGCTCCTGCCCCCACCTGCCAGCCGGGAGCCAAGGGCTGTCAGGAGGGAAGAGAGGAGCACTTGGAGCAGGAAGCCACAGTCCACGTCTGAACCCCCCGTCTGAGTGCTCAGCCGCTCGCGGCGGTGCCAACAGGCCTGTGCAAAATCCTTGAGGTTTGAAAAATCCATAGGGGTCCGTTGCACTTTCCTCTGGAAGACGAATTTTACTCTTTTGTCATCTCTGCCGTTCTGAGCTCGGTTTGTATTGAAAGTTCAGGAAATGCACAAAGCGCTGTGCGGAGAGGGGGTGCTGGATGACTCTCAGTGGACCGAGAGGGTCTGAAATGGAAAATACAGTGAAGCAAATAATTACTTTGACATAGATCTTAAATATGCAGTTGCTTGTGAGCGCGGCGCGCCAGCAGAGTCCAAGATAAACTCTTAGAGGAGGAGATGGTAGGAAGTCCCCATAAAAATTAGATTCAAAGACAGTTTTCGTAACTGGAAGTGCGAGTCTGAATTCATGTGTCCAAGGAAGGTCCCGTCGGGACGGAGCGACTTAAAGGACAGTGCTGCTCTCGCAGGGCTGGGGGCCAGGCTTGCAGAGGGGAGGGCAGGAGGGCCATGCGGAGGAGCGTGCGGGGTTGTGCAGGGGGTGAGCAGGGAGGCCATGCAGAGGGGTGTGCAGGGGGTATGCAGGGGCGTGCCCAGGGGGTGCATGGGGCCGGCCCCTGGCAGAGCTGGGAGAGGGCACCGGCCTCTCCCCCAGCCCCTGCTTCCTGGCTTGTGTGCATCTGTGTCCAGCTGTCCCCTGCTCGGGAGCCCAGCGTGCTGACGAAGGTCCCCCCAGCTGCACACTCTGAACGGAGTCATCTGCAAAGACCCTGTTTTTCCGAGTAAAGTCACAGCGGAGGAGTGGCGAGGACGCCAACGTCGCTTGGGGGACACGGCTCTACTGCGAGGCCCCGGAGACGCAGCCAGCGCGCTGAGATACGGAGGCTCAGACGGCCCCTCCAGGAGACGCCTCGGGGACACTGGGGACACCGGCACGTCTGTGCTGACCCACCCGGGCGCTTCCCGCGCGCTGGGAGCTCACCCGGGCCTGACTGTGAGGGTGACTGCTGCTTCCTCGGCAGGAGGGACGAGCCGCCAGGTGTTCCGGGTGGGGAACCTCAAAAACAGACCTGTCACCCGGTGTGGGACGGGGCGACGGTGGAGGGACCGGCAGGGGGAAGGGGTGCCGCGGGAACAGTCACCCGTGGCAGCAAGAACGGCCCCAGGAGGGCGGGGGCTGCGGGCGGGGTTCTCGCAGTGGCCCTTGGTTTACAAGTGAGCAAGTCATAGGCCAGTGATGCCCCTCCTGGCCGGCTCGCTGCAGAAGGCCCGCAAGGATGGCTTGGCTGCGAGAAGCACCTGCAGGGGTGGGCAGGACCGGGCGGTGCTGTGAGGCCGCGGGTGGGGCCAGGCACGCCCACAGGCAGCTCCTCCTGGGGCCATGTGTGGGCATCTGTTACCTTGTTCATCGCCCTTCTTCCCAGTCCACGGGGTGGCCAGGAGCAGCCGGGGTCCTGGCCCCAACATTCAGAGGGCTGGAGGAGACGCCCCCACCTGGCGAAATCTCGTCCTCCGTCCAGCTACATGAGCCGCCTCTGGCCGCTTCCCCGCCCAGACCACAAGTGTCCCCAGGGACCCCCAGCCAGCCTAAGCGAGTGCCCGTGGGGCGCAGGGAGACAGGAGCAACAGCCCAGGCCGTTAGCAGGACGTAGGGCGCCCGCACACATTGTCAGAGCCCAGCCCCAGCCGCCAGAGCCCAGCCCACGCAGAGCTGGCCTGGGTGAGGTCCGGGCCCCAAGTCTTTCCTTAATTTTCCCCCACGCGAGTCTCAGGTGCAGGCGAAGGTGACAACCGCCAGCTTAGGCCAACTTGGGCGCCATCCGGGGCTGGAAGGAAGGCTCTGCCTGCTGTCACACTACGGGGGGCCGGGGGGAGGCACGTGTTTGTAAAAACCAAGTAACTGAAACCAGAAACAGGGACAGGCAAGGCTCACGGTTGTAGGAAGGCGTCGTGCTTCCCTCGCTGAGCCCGTGGGGTAACTGCGGCGTGTTCCTGAGGTGGGGACAAAGACCAGACGGGACGCACAGGCAGCACCGTCAAGGGCGCCAGGCGGGCCTCTGAGACACTGGCCTTCACACGCGAAATGGACTTCGAGGGGCCACAGAGGCCCTGGGCCCCGCGCGAGCAAGGGTGGGTGCTGAGGCGGGACTGCTCCTCAGCAGGGGGCGCTGCGAGCCTCCCCAGGGGCGCCCAGACGTTCCACAAGGGTCCAAGCCAAAGCTGCTGGGACAAACCTCCAAGGACGCGTCCCCTAAGCCACGCGGCTCTTTCCCTAGATCACGTGCAGCCCGTCAGCCAACGCGGCCTCCAGAACAACGCGCGGACACACACAGAAATGAAAATCGACGGCGTCTCCCCCGGGGGGACAGGGTCCTCCACGGCTTCAGCTCAGGACGTCCTGGTCTTGGGGAGCCATTCGGGGCTGCCGTCCCCTGCTCCTGGCAGGAGAGCTACGAGAACAGAGCTGCAGCCGCGCTCACGGCAGGTGTCGGTCCGCAAGGAGAAACAGGGCGAAGCAGGTGGCCCTGGCAGTGGCGGGCGGGCGGGCGTGTGGGACCCAGGGGCTTGGTGTAGGCACCGGGGCAGGACGGGCGTCCACGCGCGCTGGCAGAAGGCAGAGCCGGCAGCAAAGTCCCAAACGCTGGTGACAAAGGCACAATTTTAGGTCCCTTCTCCGCAGTAATGATACATGGAGACTGAAAAATTATGGTTTATTTTTGTAAAAATGTTCCTCTTTAGAATTTATTTTTACATTGATGAGTCGCTCTAAAGCAAATTAGCACACGGGGCCAAGCGCAGGCACCGGGAAGAGAGCTTCAGTCAGCATCCCCAAGACAGACGTGTTAGAAGAGGCCCAGCTGAGCTCACTAGCTTGGTTCGAATTAATTGTCTATAAAAATAGTTGACCAAAGACAGTGGAATTTGATAAACTGCATCGCTATGTCGCTCATGCTGCCGATCTGCTGCGATTAGCCTCTGTGACGAGGCACACTACATAGACAGTCACACGCGGGCCGACGCCCCGGAACACACGCACACACACGGCTCCCAGAGGCATTTCAGGACGCACTTCTAGAAATACATAGTGATGGGCCCCGTCTGACCCAGTGGCAGATCATCCTCTGTGACTGAACCTGGACGAGACCGTCATCCTCGCTAGGGCCAGGGGCTGGATGTGGAGTCAGTCAGGTTCGGGGGAGCAGGCCAGGAGCCTGAGGCAGGCACTTTCTCAGTTCTTGTCTTCTGGAGGAAATATGTCAAGGTCAAGGCCAAAGTCACAGAAAAGCAAGAGATTTATTGGTAGGAAGATCGGGAGAAGAACAGGGGAGCTGTCCCAGTGGAGAGGGGTCCCGAGTGGGTGCTCTGAGGGGCCGAGAAGCAGGGGCTTACACAGCTTACACGGGTGCAGTGGGCAGGAGGAGGGTGGCAGGGGTGTCTCCTTGTGTGTCTCTTGCTCATTGGCTGGGCCCGCAGGGCCCTCCAAGGTTGCCTAGGGCCACTGAGTTTGTGGGGTCTCCTAGGCTACTGAGTTCCTGGGGTCTCCTAGGCGACCCAGACCCACTGAGTCTGCCCACAAGACCCGGCCTGCCTTGCGGCTGCCTTGGCATCTGAGCTCTCCCGTCAGGCTGATGAATGGACTGAGGCTGGGCGGGGCGGGAAGGAAGGGACACCGCCCTTCTGGTTCCGAGAGTGTCTCCATCAGGCTGGTAAGTGGACTTTGGGGCTCAGGCACCCTGTTCCTAACCCATTCCCTAGCTTCCCCCCTCAGAGTCACCACCCCGCTGCCTCTGCACCCAGGGCCCACGGCAGCCCCTTCCAGAAGCCTGTCTCTCCAGGGATGGGCTCTCCCTTGCGTGGCGGGCACGTTCCACTGTGTTCATTGCTCTGTTTGTTTTATGTTCTCACGTTGCTCTTTGAAAGCACAGATTTATTTTCCCCTGTCTTCACTCGTCCTGTGTCTAAATAACACAGCGGAAGCGGTGCTTAATTTGGGAACTGAGCAAGTCAAATCAGGGCTCAAGTCCCAGCTCTGTTCCTGACAGTGGCCAAGAAGGCCGGGCCCCTCCTCACGTGTCCATCTCTCCCTGTGGATGGGAACCGAGGGGCCTGCTGAGTAAGATTCTAGGGGACACACCAGAAAGCACTTGCATGAGAGAACTCGGCCAACTCTAGTGACAGACAGAGCAAAAATGTCCCATTCACCCGCCGCCGCCTGTCTGTGGAGGAGAGCAGGTCTCGCCGCAGGAAGAGGATGATCTGAGCTGCAACGAGCACCTGCCTGGCCTCTCTCCCCTCCACTGTCACTGCTCCCAATCAGGACGGATGCCTCAGGTTTGCTGGCACCTGGCTTGACCTTCACAAAAGCCCTCTGTGGTTTCCAGAGAAACCGGGTCCGCACTCACTCCCACAAGCGCAGGCCAGCCTGCAGGCCAGGGGGTGGAGACGCCAGTCGCACGACTGCCACGAGCTGGTGCTCAGCTGAGAGGAGTGGACAGGGAGCCCCGAAGGGCCCAACGTGGTAGGGTCCGCCCCACCGCCAGCAAGGACCCCTCCCTGAGTGGGCACCGGAGGGCAGTGAAGGGACAGTCACCTCATATGACCTTCAGTGGTGAATACGAGCAAGTGTAATCAGGGTAGCAGCAGAGCAGAGTCTCCTAATGCCATCAGAGGATCAAGCACATTTCCCCCCGAAGGAAGTTATTGAATGGAAGCAGAAAACGCGGTGAGAAGCACCATTGTGATGGCCACGTGTGCGGGAGTAAAGCTGATGACACGCGTACGTGGACTGACTTCAACATCTTGAATGTATCTACACCACATTGACTTTATTAGCAATGAAAACTGACACAATGAAATGCATCTTCATTAATCCGCGCATCTGCCAACATCCACGCTACGTACACGGCGGCTGTAAGTTTTCATTGGTCACTTTTGCAGGGTCTGGGGAATTACTGTCTGTTTCCTTTACAAATTGGTTAATAAATGTCCAGATGTTCCTTAAAATGCACAACAAATGAACACACTAGATTAGAAAAAGTACATTAAGCGTAAAATTTTTCAAAATCAACATCTATCGTTGCACAATTTACACAAAAGCAGACAGTGAGACTTAGCAATGCCGCACTTCATTTTAATTCAGTAGATTTTGGCCGTGAACATAGCAGATCCCCTCCCTTTGGGGCGCCCCCCCCCCTCAACAGCTCCCCAGACTAAGTGTAGCGTGGCAGCAGAGGCTCATTTACCTCCAAGATAATCATGTCTAAACTTCATTGTCATCGGGAAGGAGCCGCCCCGATTTTTCATTTGCAATTGCATGTTCTTTTCCTTTGAAGATGCCCACCATGATGGAAGGTGCCACAAAACCCGGATCTGCCTGTGGGGCTTCCTTGGCACCTGCCCTAGCACTTTTCTCCCGGGACTTTCTCTACTACGTAAGCTGGGAAGTGGCTATTCTGCTTTCTGGACTCCCTTGCAACTAAGGTGGTCGTGGGAATGTCATGCTGGCCAGTGAGAGCAGAAGTCCCGAGAAAGGGCTTCAACCCAAATCAAAGAGAAAAGGCTCGTGGTGAGGAGCTTCTGGCCATTTGTCCGTCACCTGCCCCTTCTTCCTCCATGGGCGGGGAGAGTCCTGCGCTTGATGCTGGCATTGAATGGGGAGCACTTATAACTCGATGTGCTTTTATTCTTGAAACAATAAGCCCTTTTCCCCTGTAAACCATCAAGCATTTTCTGTTGCTCCTGCTCTTACAAACCCTGAGATTTGAGCTACAATATCAACTGTAAGAAAATTAACAATGTTAAATCTAGATTTATGTAACAGATCATTGAAATCAACCATTTCCTTTAAAATTAAAATCTTCAGAATAATCCACGTGTAGGGATTTGCGAAGATTTCCCACGACTAAACCCACGCCACTTACAAAAAGTCACCCACAGCCATTTTTCCTGTCCCGATCCATAGCAGTTCACCCTCAACTCCACAGCTTTTTCCACAAAACTGAATTTCTACATTGCTAATTAATATATTCAAGGGCTAACATCTTGGGCTAAATTCTTAAGTCCTGGAAGGGATAGAAGGGATAGAACCTGTACCCTTCAAGCTAACACCGCGTGTGGAGACACGTCTGATCTAGTTTCGAGTGAACAGCTTCAAGGCGCGCACGAGGCTGCCCGGGGCTGGCATCAGGCTGCCCGACATGGACACTCACTCCTGGTCCTGCTCGCTTATCCTGTTCTTCCTCAGGCTCTTCCTCACGTAGGTCTCGATGATCTGCCAACAGTGAAAACTCGTTTGGTCACTGAACAGTTGAACCCAAACAGGTTACCACTTCCAGAATTGGGCTGATGTAGGCCACGTGTGAGAGAGACAGGTGTAACAGAAGCAGAGTTGTATGAGAAAAGCAGACCTGCTAGTAAGCAGCAGGTTGTTGGTATGCCTTCGGGAGGAGGCCTGCAATTAGTTAGAGGAGCCAGTTCGTTCGTTACACTCCTTATCACCAAAGGATCTCGTCATGATTGTTAGGTGTGGCAGGTTCGGGGAAAATGGCTAAGTCCACTTGTCACATGCAACCCCTAACAAGCGATGTGTGACTTTCCCCATAAACACATTAGATCACACCCGCCGGTGTCACGTCAATGTGCGTACAGCCGGAGGGGCCAGCGCCACGGAAAGCAATTCCTTAGAAAGCTAATGCGCACTGGTAGAGGTACAGCAAGCATTAGATGAACTATTTCTACAGAAAAACTGATGCACGAAAACTTACATTTATGTTCTTCCTTAAGATCCTATTTGCTGTTTCTAACTTTAGCGTTTCCGTCTGAAGGAGAAATGGTTTTAAAAGAAATACATTTGGTTAAGAATATTTGGTCAATACCTTGGGCATTCATGGAACAGAAAGTATTAAGGTTGACAGTCTAATCTCAAAACCACCCACCAGCACACCATGGCAAGGCAAAGTACAAAGCAAAATGTGATTGGAAAGACATGGAGTAAGGGGCAAGCTCCTGGCCTGCTAGAGGTGGTGGGGATGATACTACAGTGAGACTAAGGAATTTCAGGGAAATTTCAGGGGAAAAGAGCGCTTCACGTTTCAGAACCAATAAATGAATTTGTTAAGGTGGTTGGATACAACGTAAAAAATACAGTTTTAGGGACTCATAGGTTTACCAGCAGCTGCTGATACAAAGCAAAAAAAAAAAAAAAAAATCCTTTGTTTGCATTCATGATAGTACCCGGCCCCACAAAGTCACAAGACTGAACATGACAAAAGTATGTAAGGCCAAAGCATAAAGTAAATCAGGAAAAAACAAAATGACCCTAATATTCTAATATTGCACAACTTTCATTTCCTCCCAGATGAATCTATAAATTTGTGGTACAAAATAGTTAGCACCACGTATGAAAGGATAATCCTGAGCAGAATTCTGATGGAAAGGTGTATAAATAAGACTGGTTCTTCCAGGTATGCAACCGACTGATAAGGATTAGCAACGACATCGATGAGGCTGGACGGAGAACGTAGGCCGAGTTTAAACTCTAATTCTGCTGCTTGCCCACGGTGAGCGCAACTACGTAACTTACACGCATGCGCCTTGGTTTCCTTAGCTAAAAGAGAGGATTGATGGCAGCCACTATTTCTTAGTGTTGCTGAGAAGTAAATAAAATAGCATTTTTAAAAGTTCACAGGAGAATCTGGTCCATCACAAATCCTCAACGTGTTTTTTGTTTCTGGTTAGAAACAACTTTTAAATCCAGAGCCAGGAGTCAGTTTCTTACTAGGACAACAAATGCAATTTCATTGTGCCTTCCAGTGTTTGAACTGAGGGTCCAAATATGAATGATAAATCACGACAGTAATATCAATTAATGATATGGAATTATGGTGGGGAATCTTCCATTCCTTCTATTTCAATGACAGTAACTCATTCCCGTCTCCAGCACAGCTGTGCGGCTACCTGGAAATCCGTCCACAGGATGCGACACCAAAAAAATAAGGGTGTCGGAACCCAGAGAGGAGGAAGCCTGAACCCCAGCAGCCCAGGCCCTGCACCTCCAGACTGTGCCTTATCGGGCGGGCGGTGTCCTGAACTCTGCGAGCCTCACTCAGCCTGAACCCCTCAGCCTGGGGAGACCCTGAGCGATGCAGCCATTGTCTTCCTGACAAGTATTTACCAAACGGTCACATTTTAAGAGACATCAAATGACCTGAGAGACTCCAACTGGGTCATTAGCGGATCTACAAAATTTGTATCGTTTTCATTTTTGTTGTTTTAGCAGATCTCTAATTAGTCTATTATTCTAATTACCTATTGGCTACAAATGATTTGAAATGAAAATCTTTTGGGAGCAAATGTATGTTCCTTTTTCACTGTATTATAAAGCCAAACTTCTTCATGCATTTGCCAAATTTTTCACGTAAAAGAAAAAATGGAAACATTACAAAAAAACAAAACAAAACTGTATACCTCTATGCTTTTAATTGCGTTCTCGGTGATATTGGAAACTTCAGTATGAATCAAAGTTGCTTTAATTTCTCTTTCAAGGGCTTGGATTTCATCCCATTTATTGTGTATCTCACACCTCTTCTTTTCAACCTTCTGAATAAGAGTAAGGCTCTCCTCGTCCGTTACATTGTCAGATAATTCTGGAAGTGTTTTTTAAAAGCAAAATATGACTGAGCTTAATACCTAAGCCCTCATCAGGAACATTAATAACAATATTATGTATATAGTAATAAACAACTAGAAGCTATAATGTAACTCATACCCCAAGCACATCAATAAAAATCATCTGCTCTAAGATGGGGTGTTCTCCGACGGGAATATGGGGTCCCCCTAAGTTCCTAAAGGAATGTAGTTGTCACTCATTCTCATGACAACAGTCGGGGGCTCTGTTGGAGCACCTGGCAGAGTGGGGAGGATGAATTTTCAAGAGAAGCGTGCACAGGTGGGCCCTGGCGGAGAGGTGAGCGGGGCATGGGAGGGGTGCGGGCAGCAGGGCCGGCGTGGCTCATTCAGTGGACGGGGAGGCACCCGGTGGGGGGCACCAAGGCCAGGTGAGTGACACCGAGAGGTGAGGCCACAAAGGAAGTGGGCGGCTGGGCAAAGCCCTGAGAACACAAGCCGTCAGCCACCCCGACGGCTAGGGGAGCCAGTGGGACCACAGCCACTGCCCACCGTGCCCAGCATGGACTGGAAGGGCACCACTGGGTCAGGGCCATGGCCAGGAAGCCCTTGCAACCATTCCAGAGAGATTAGCTCAGGAAAGAGCCTGTGGCAGAGGGGAGGAGGGGAGGAGGGGGCAGAGGCCACACAGGAAACAGGAAACTAAGCCGCGGCTGGGGGCGACTGGGCTCAGAGGAGAGGCCATTGGCAGAGGTGGGCTGGGGTGCAGGGGCAGCACTGTAAGAAGAGCCGGCACTTACCATGAGCTGTGCAGGGGCGGGGGAGGCTGGGGGCTGGGGGGGAGACTGCCAGGTGTGCCTGGGTGATGCCAGGCATGGGAATCGCCAGGGGCGAGCAAATGCAGAGAGGGGAAGGGGAAGGGAGGGTGGGGCAGGGCGTGCCCCCCTCACAGGCACCGTCTCACCCTCAGGACAAAGCCCAAGGGGAGCGAGACTCTTGCCCCAACTAGGCCAGCAGCGCCGGCAGAGCCAGGTGCCCACCAGCTGGTCGCCTGCAGCCTGGGTGCGCCCCTGGCTTGGCCTGTGAGCCAGGGGACATGGGCAGGATGGCAGGCGTGTCTTGGGCCTTGAAACCCGCCATGGCCGCAGCAGCTGACTCATGGGAGCGAGGAGCAAAGCCGGGGGCCTGAGGGCAGGCGAGCGCCAGGAGCACACCCCCGCCTCCCTTCCAGCCCAGACCAGCCCAGACCCGCCCGGGCCAGCTCAGCCCCTCAGCCTCCTCGCTGCGCCAAGCATCTCGGGGCCCTCGAGGGCCTGGCCCACACCCCGCACCGGTGTCCCCACCGGATGTCCAGCATCTGTCCCCGGCCCTGGCCGGAGCTGGACACATCTCCACAGCCCACCCCAGAGCTCGGTGACCCTCTGAAAGCCTCGGGGGCACTAGGGCCCGAGGACACGGCCGGGCTGTGGGGTCACAGCGAGTGCCCCGAGCCCTCCCTGCCCCCAGGGCCGCTCTGAGCCGCGGCTCATGCCAACCCCGTCAGAAGGGTGGACGTTACCTTCCTGGAAAGTGCCTGCTGGAACAAACACACGAGTAACCCTTGGCGCCCTCTGCGGACCCCCATCGCTGACGCAGGAGGGCGGAGGGCGTGGAGCCCCCAGGAGCCCCCAAGACCGGAGGGCCCGCCACTCACCTGCCTGCGCCCGGGCCGCGTCCAGCAGCGTCTGCTCCGTCTCCAACTCACGCCGGAGCCTGAGAACCAAGGAGGGGCGTGAGCGCGGCCGTCGCCCTCCGCCCCCTACTTGGGGACGAGGGGGGTCTGCTCCGTTCTCAGAAATGCGGGTCACTTGAAGGAGACGCCACCACGGGAGACGTCTGTGGACGCCGCCGCACATGAGCCCTCAGGGAAGGGACGCCCGTCCGTCTGCGCCCTGGGGACCGAGTGAGGAAGCTTCCAGGCCACAGACACGGCGGGGTCAGCTAATGGCCATGGGCTGACCCGCGGGGCCCGGAAACGCGGTTTCCGAGCGGTCAGCGTGTGGTTGGGCCGCGGCCGCGCAGCTCACCCGTCGTTGCGCGCCAGGGCGGCCTGCACGGCCGTCACCAGCTGCCGCAGCTGCTCGCGGGCCTGCTGCACCTCGGGGGTCCTCACGGGGCGCCTCTCCATCCCCTGGAGGAAGTCCAGGAACGCCTGGGGGGCGGGGAGAGGCGGTGAGGACATCCTGGGGTCATGGCCCGCAGAGGCCCCAGGTAAAGTACAAATGCAGGTAAAAAGGGGGTACAAGGGAGGCCAGTGATGAGGGGTCTCGGTGACCAGAGTGGGCGTTTTCAGCATGTTAAGGTTTTGCTTTCCCGGAGACCTCACAGGTGAGGCGGGTGAGAAGCGGCTGAGCTGAGCCAGGCACAGGGGAAGGCCCCAGAAGGCGGCACTTCCAGGCTCCCCTCCACCCAGGGGGCCTCTGCTTCTCCCTCTCGAGCCACAGCCTGAGTCTCTGCGATTTGGAAATTCCCGGGAAGACAGCGTTGGGGGCCAGCCCTGGGTGCGGGAGTTTCTAGAACTGACCCCCACCGCCGGGAGCTTTTCCCGAGCAAAGCTGAAAGCCTGTGCTTCCCAGTTCATGACACAGGATCTGAAACTGAGGGGACTCGGTGGCCACGGCCCTCTCCGTGACCAGTTCAGTCCACTTCGCTCCGGCCAGGGCTGGGCTGCAGCAGTACACGCTGCTGTGTGACCTGCCTCCGCTGAGGACCCCCCCAGGTGACCGCATCTTCACCCACCCAGACACCTGCACGGGCCCTGCGCCATCACGGCTCAGCCGCCAGGTGCACACCCAGCGTGGGCATGCAGGAGAGCGGGCAATTCAGAGGTGCCAGCGAGACAAAGACCCCCCTCAAAACACACACCCCACACATACCACATAGGGCTGGGGGAAGAGGGGCAGGGAGAGGAGGGAGGTGGCCCAAGGCCGGTGGGCAGGGCAGAGGGGAGAGGGGTTCTGAGCAGCTGCTGGGTGGGGACTGGCTCCGGAGGAATACGCCAGATTTGGTGGCCACAGGCCCCGTGGACAGAAGCCCCTCCCACCAGGGGGCGCGGGCAGGGCCACGGGCGGCCCCTCCTGTCTAAGCGTCCACGCAGGGGCCTTGGCTCAGCGCTGTCCAGGGCCGGGGAACAGGACACGGGGCCGGTTACCTCATGCTGCTCCGTGGGGCATGTCTCCAGGAGGATGGCCATGTAGAGCTCGTATTCGTCCTGTACAGGGGAGAGGGCGCTGGGGCAGCGTGACCGGCTCCGGGGGCAGCATGGCGGTCTCTGCCCGCATCGGTGGCGGCGAGGACACCTGTGTGGCCGCTCAGAGGTGTGACGGCTCCCTCGGGGTAGGCCGCGCATGGGGTGATGGACAGAGGCTCACCCTTCTGAAGCCACTGAGCTTTAACTCTGGTGACCTCAGCACAGGGACAAAACACCCAGGGTGAGGCTTGGGCCCTGCCGACCCACCAGAGACAGGCACAGGGGCCGCCACGCAGCCGCCAGGTCGCCCACGGGAAACGCCGCCTCGTCAGCCACGCAGGAGCAGACAGTGACGCGCGATGATCGCAAGGCGTGTTCCGCACGTACAAGTCATGAAAGTTTATGTGTGAACCCCCAGCCGAAGGAGGGAAGTATCTGGGGACTCCAAGCCGGTCCCAGCGCGCAGGGGGTGCAGGCATGAACTGAGGACGCGGCAGAAGCCCGGCCCGGCTCTCAGCCTGACCCCTCAGATTCGGGGGACACGTGTGAAGCCATTACCTTGATTTCCTTCAAGATCTCCCCGAATATCAGAGAGCTGCTGCAAATGTCCTCAAAGACATCAGAGAAGACGGACAGCCGGCCGAGCTCCTGCGGGGCGCAGACGCACAGCTTCTGGAGGCCCTGCGGGGGGACACGCACCCACTCGGGATGTCCTCTCCTTTCCGAGCACATCCGGCCCTGCAGGACGGGGACCTCCAGGGACCAGCAGAAGCGCAGCCCCAGGAGCGCCTAGTGACCCACCTGCGCCTCCGCTGCAGCCTACCCGGCCCCTGCCCACCTGGCCCCCAGGCTGGCATCTGCCTTCTTCTTTGCTGGTTCCCTCAAGCCCCGGGCTCCAGGCCCCCCTCAGCCTCCACAACGCCCCGAGGCCCCCCTCACCATCGGTCCCCTCAACCAGGAGCCTCATGGAGGCGCGACCATGCCCCACACACACGGCTGTCCTCTCCTCCCTGCTCCCTCGCCCCTGTACCCCACTACCCAGCTCTACTCCCGGCTGGCTGCTCCGGGGAGTTCCCATCAGGCTCGCCGCTTTGCACGGGAGGCCTGGGCAGACTCGCCTGCACCAGGTGACCTCAGCTCTGTCCACTCTCTCCGCACACACCCCCCATCCCAGTCTGATGAAGCCTTTCCCAGATCCTTCTGGGTCCACCACGGCTTATGCGCCTGCCGGGGCAGCGGCGGCTCCTGCTTCGGGCTCTGAAATCACCCCCAACTTACCGCTCCCTCGAGCCTTGGTTCACGTCGCCCTGACTTCACCTCCTGCACCCGGGGGCGCCCGGCACAGGTGCTTCCTCCTGCCCGCGGGAGGCGCAGGAGGCACCTGGGAGCAGGTGGGCCCAGGGCCTGCACCGCGCGCCTGACCCGCGCTGCCCCCACCCGCGCCCCCCACCCCGCGCCCCCACCCCGCGCCCCCACCCCGCGCCCCCACCCCGCGCCCCCACCCCGCGCCCCCACCCGCGCCGCGCCTTACCCGCTCCAGCTTCTTCTCGTGGGCGAGCGCGGCCTTGCGCCCGGTGAAGTCGTTGTCCAGCAGGTCCTGCTTGGCCAGAACGTCCTTCTGGAAGCGCAGGAGCTGCCGGTGCTGGTCCGCCCTGGTGACGCCGGCCAGGTAGGAGTCGACGCGCCGGAACCTGTCGGGGCCCGGGGGCGCCGCGGCGCACTGGCGGCTGGACAGCGGCCTCCGGTACCGGAGGACCTCCACCTCGGGCGCGCTCGGCTCCCCCGCGCCCCGCCGCCCCGGGAGGCGCCCCGCGGGCCACGCCCGCAGGGCCAGGTCGTCGTCGGAAGCGGGCCCCGCGGGGTGCAGGTAGCGGAACAGGGGCGCGCCGTGGCCGTCGCGGGGGCTCAGGGCCGTGCGCACCGTGAAGTAGGCCAGCGCCGCCTTCATGCGCGCCACCCTCCGCGCGCTCGGCGCCTCCGCCCGCGGGCCCGCCTCCGCCGGGGGCCGGCGCGCGTTGGCCCAGTGCTGCAGCACGGTCTCGGGGGGCCTGTAGAGCTTGTCGGGGTTCAGGTGCCCGGAGGTGTAGAGCCGGACGTCGTCGCGGTGGCCCTTCTGCAGCTTGTCCAGCAGCGGCGTGAGGTTGCACAGCGTGTGCACGCCCGGCGCCTCGCAGTGCCTCCAGGGCAGGTGCGCTGCGCGGAGGGGAGACCCGCTCAGCGCCCCGACTCGCGGAGAGCCGGCCGCACCCCCGCCAGCGCGCGGGACCCCAGGGCCGGCGCCCTCCGAGAGCGGGCAGGGGAGGCGGGGCGGACCCCAGAGGGTTCTCACACGTCGGCAAAGGCTCGGAGAGAAGTGGCCGCGCGGACCCTGCTCTTGCCGCCCGCGCCCGCTGCCCAGCGGACCGCGCGGTGCCCGCCCCGCACGCCCGACGCGGGCCTCGGCCCCACGGGGGCACGCGGGAGCCGCGGGCAGCTGGGGGGCAGGACCCGCCTCCCTCGGAGGGCCACGCGCTCCCCAGCCCGGCCCCACTCGGGACAAGGCCGGGACGAAACGCAGCGGGACCCCGGGCTGCGGGCAGGTCTAGCTGGGGGCCCTCTCTGCGGCCAGCGGGGGGTCGCCTTCAGCTCCGAGGGGCCCCCTGCGGCCCTGGGCCCTGCTCCGAGCATCCTCACAGGTTCGGGTCCCCCTTGTGACCGGGCGCGGATCAGGTCGGCCCGCCCAAGAAGGGGCCCCTGACCTCGAGCTCACAGGGGCCCCAGAGCACAGCCCCAGAGGGTGCCCTCGCCCCGGCTCCCGCTCCCCGGCTCCCGGCCAAGCCCAGTGTGCTCCCAGGGACACCCCAGAATTCTGCCAGCCTCAGGCCTGGCCACCCAGGCCCCTGTACTGGCCCAGGCGGCACCGGGTCACCTGCCCTCCTGAGGGCGCAGACACAGGCAAAAACCCTCCCAGGGCTGAGTCTGAAACGCGCCCCGTGCTCAGCTTAGTGCTTCAGAGAAAGGTCTGCGGCCTCTTTCCAGGCAGATAATCCTCATTCCCCCGGGGCATCCACACCTGAAGAAGGCCCTGGGCCTCGCTGTGTTTGAGAGATTTCTCCAGAGAAACGGAACCAGTAGGGCGTGTCTGTTTATAGCAAGAGATTTATCGTCTCACGATTATACGCCCTGGCAAGCCAGAAGCTACAGGGGAGGCTGCAGGCGGCACACGCCATTCCCGCCCCAAGTCTGCCTCTCGCTGCTGGGAGCTTGGCCTTTCCTTGTCGTTACTGCTGCTGTTATCAAGGTCATCGGCTGCTCAGACGAGGCCCCCCACACTCGGGCCAGCGTCTACTTTATTCAAAGTCTGAACTTTCAAAAGTTAATTTCATCAAAAAAATAAAAACCTCACAGAAACCCCCAGAATGACGCCTGACCGGCCGTCTAAGTTGACATGAGCTTTCAGCCAGCTCGGGGGAGCCGACAGTGGGAGGCTGTGGCGTGATTGTGTCCCTTTGTTTAATTTCTCTCCAAGAAGGATTTGAAGCCACCAGCAAATGTTTTAGCAAGACCAGGTTCCCGCTCAGAACACGTTTCCCTTTGTGACGAGACTTGCTCGACCGGGTTGAAGAAAAAGGTGAAACAATTCACTGGGAAACTCATTGACTCTTTATAAGGTGACCGGGAAATGAACTTGTTTGAAGTAGAGCTAAACCAGTTGGTTTTGTTTTGTTTTGTTTTTATCACTATAGACCTTTTATTTCTTTTTAATAAATTTTATTTTTATATTCCCCATACAATTGCAACCCCCATATTTTGACCCCAATCCCTCCCTTCCCTGCCCCCCAACCCCCATAGAGTGTCTCTGGTTCATATTTTTTTGTTGATTTTGATTTTTACTTTCTTACAGTTATTCTTTTTCCTGGTCCCTTATTTAAGTTTTCTAGATTCCTGCTCTGAGTGAGACCATCCGGTATTTTTCTTTTTCTTTCTGGCTTATTTCGCTGAGCATGATCCCTTCCAGCGCCATCCAGGTGGCTGCAAATGGCGTGAGTTTATCTGTTTTGAATGCTGAGTAATATTCCAGGGTGTATATGGACCCCATCTCCTTGATCCAGGCATCTGTCTTTGGGCATTTGGGTTGTTTCCAAAGCCAGAGCTAAACCAGTTTTTAAAGACAAACCCATAAAGAAGGCAACTGGTAGGTTCTAGAGACTCGGTGTGAATTACCAAGCATTTCCAGTATCGTCAGCCTTTAACTGCTTGAGCGCAGGGTGTGGTTTTCTAGCACTTCTTCTCTTCAGGGCAGAAGCAACAGGTCTTCAACAGCAAAGACTGCAGACTGCCGCCCCGTGTTACCGGACCTCTGAGAACCACAGACTCCCAGAGAATCCGTGGCTCTCTCTCTCCAGAAGGGGCACCTGTTTCGTCTCTCTCCCCTGGGGTGTGGGAGTGGCAGGCCCAGACAACAGAGCACAGCTCACAGCCCAGGTTCAAGCCCCTCGGGGAGAAGCCTGCCTGGATGAGGCCCCCCACAGAGCTCCCATGGAGTGACTTGGGCCTCCTGCTCCTGTGGCCTCCCTGGCAGGCTGCATCGCCCCTCTGCCCGCCTGGAGCATCTCTGGAGCCCCTCTCGGACTGCAGCCTGTCCTGAGCCCGCGGGGGCCCCCGGCGCCCCTGTGTTCTCTCCTCCCACTGTGCCACGTTTCCTGCAGGGAAGGAACCGTCTTCCGCACAGTCGCATCTCAGAGAGAGACCGGGAACAACCGTCTGTTGAATGAATGCATGTGAGCAAGACGTGCACATACAGAGAGAGGGGGAGTCTCGCGCGTTTGGAGGAATGTGCATATAGAAAGAGATGTTCCATCCTTTAAAGAAATGAAAGGAATTTGGGGAATTTTAAATCATTGAGAAATACAAAGATACAGGAGCGAAGATCAACCCGGGGGGCAGGTGCCGGGAGTCCTGTGGCCCGTGGGGGTCGGTGCGAGGGCGTGTGCTGGGCGGGCGGCTGCTCCGTCTGCGGCCAGGGGGGCGGGGAGGACCCACCAGTCCCGACCCTGTCCCCTGCAGCAGGTCCACGCCCCTCCGCGGTGTCCCCCTCCTCATGCTGTTTCCTAACGAGGGGCTTTGCAGACTGAGCTAAGGCTATGCCCTTCATGACCAGGTTGTCTGGGGTCTGATCACGCAGCCTCTAGCGCAGGGACTCTCAAGGCCAAGTGGGGGGCAGGGGGTGGCAGCAGGCAGTTTGGGGGTTCCACGTGGTCGTGGGTTCCAGGGCGGGGTCTCGCCGCAGGGCCCGGAGACTGGCTTCCAGAAGCAGCGCAGGCTCTGGCTGCCGGCCAGGGCACAGGACCTCAGCGCTGCAGGCCGCGGGCGGCCTCTCTCGGAGAAGGCGGGAGGGGGGCCCGGCGCCTGCGGCCCGACCCTCGACTCTGGCTTTGCTCGGCTTGGTCGGGGCTGGTCCGCCAGCGGGTTTGTCCTTTTCCTTTATAATCTGCCGACCACGCGCCCGCTGAGGCCGGGACGAGACACTTTCTCTTCCCAGCAGCCCCTTCCCCGCGTGAGCTGCGGCCGCTGCGTGGGCCCGGGAGGGCAGCCCCCGGAGTCAGCGACATGATGTTCGCAGTGACCCCCACCCCTGTCTCACCCCCGCACACAGCCCTCACGCCCCTCGGCACCTGCACACACACGTAGCGTGTGCAAAACTGTCCCGGGCCAGGCCCAGGCAGGCGGGGGTGGCCTCGGCAGCTGGGGCGCGCCTGGCGGGGGCAGCGCTCGGCAGTTCCCACGGCGGATGCCGGCCTCACCCGGGATTCAGGCCCCTGGCCAGGCCCAGACGGGGCTGCCCGTCATGTTCTTTACAGGGAGAGGTTTTCAGGGACACATTCGGTTCGGGGCGTCCTGGCGGAGGGGCCAGGAAAGGAAGCGCTGACACTGCGGGGGAAGCCCCGGGTCCCCGTGGCACTCCCTGCAGACGGTGCTCCCCGGCTGTGCTCACCGGGCAGCCCCTTGGGGCCTGCACAAGGCAACACCCCCTGAGGCAGATTCCCAGTGGGCGTCGCGCTGGCGCCTTTGAAGCGCAGGTCTGAGTGGGAAGGTGACCAGGCGCCCCCTTCTCTGGGGGTCCGGGGCGCTTGTGTCTCGGGGAAGGGACCGCGGTCACACGGCCACTGCTGGGCAGCACTTCCTTCCCAGTCGGGTCTAGAGTGCTCTGAGGGCTTCACACGCACAGACTTGCCCGTCCTCGCTGGCCAGAGGGGCCAGTGCTGTCCCTTACAGAGGAGCACGCAGAGGGACAGAGGGTGGCCGGGGACTCGATCAGCAGGCGGGGCTGCAGGGACACCTCTGCCTGCTGCCCAGATGCTCGGGGTGGTCCTCAGTGCCCTCGTGGTAGCAGCATCTTCTCTGAAACACCCCGTGCTCCAGCCTGTGCTCCATCCACAGGTTGCCCCTCCCTGGACTCTTGGGGGCCTGGGGAGCTGGGCCCGAGGGGACGTGTGGCCTCCAGTCCACAGAGGCGAAGAGCAAACCCCCCCCAGAGATGTGACACCAACAGAGAGGGTGGGGGAGGCTCTGTGCTCTGGGGGTGTGGCAGGGGCTCAGGGGGCAGCCCTCCATGCCCTGAGGGGTGTCCTTTATAAAGAACTGAGCTGTCCTAGAAACCCCCCACCCCTCCTCACAGACACACACACACACACACACACACACACGCACGCCGGTACATGCTCTGCTTTGCACGTTGCTATTGCACAGGCTCCCGAGGCAGCGTGCCCCCAACCCCCCCCAGCCCTGCTGACCCGCGGGTTTGCAGCCAGCGGCAAGTCGCGCTCGTCACCCGCCTCGGAGGTGCCCGGCCCCGCGCAGCCCCAGGAGCACAGCGCTCGGCCCCTCACCCCCCACTCACCCCCACTCACCCCCACTCACCCCCCACTCACCCCACTCACCCCTCCACTCACCCCCACTCACCCCCACTCACCCCCCACTCACCCCCACTCACCCCTCCACTCACCCCCCACTCACCCCTCCACTCACCCCCACTCACCCCCACTCACCCCCACTCACCCCCACTCACCCCACTCACCCCTCCACTCACCCCCCACTCACCCCCCACTCACCCCCACTCACCCCTCCACTCACCCCCCACTCACCCCCCACTCACCCCCCACTCACCCCCACTCACCCCCACTCACCCCCACTCACCCCCACACTCACCCCCACACTCACCCCACACTCACCCCCACTCACCCCTCCACTCACCCCCCACTCACCCCCACTCACCCCACACTCACCCCCACTCACCCCTCCACTCACCCCCCACTCACCCCCACTCACCCCGCGCCTCCCGGGGCTCCTGCTCCGCCATGGCCTCCCTCTGGCTGCCCTGCCGGGAGCTGCGGTTGCCGGGGAGCCGCACACATTCCGAGGCCCCCCCCACCCCGCCCCCAGCCTGGCCCTGCCCCAGTCCCGCCCCTCCCCGCCCCTCCCCGGTCCAGGGTGCCGCGCGCTCTGTGCAGGTGAGAGGCTGGCTGCGCTCTGAGCGCATCGGAGCAGCCCCGACCCCTGCGCCTCTCCACGGCCGGGCGAGCCGGGGCGGCTGACCCCCGGCGGCCTCTGCCCGGGAGGGGGGGGGCGCCCAGCGCGGGGACGGGTCACTGCGGGGACGGCCCGCGCCCCCCCCCAGCCCAGCAGCCGCTCAACCCCGGTCAGCGGCCCCTCCCGCTCCGGCCTGGAAGGCCCCGCCTCAACCGACCAGGCCGCGCCCCGCCCCAGGACTGCGGGGCGCCAAGGCCGGGGGTCCCCCGCCGGGGTGCGCGGGTCGGGAGTTCAGGGGAGCCCCTGGCCGGAGGGAGGGCGTGGCTCCCCGACTCCGCCCTCGGGTCACTGCCGACGCCCCCTGTCCACAGGCCAGCCCCTGCCCCAGGGCTCCTGTCTTTGAAAACCGGATTCTGCTTAAATTTCTTCCCGCCGGGGAGGATCTGTTGGGGGGCTGGTGACCCCACTCTCGGGAGGGAGGCCCGGGCAGCCCCAGGCTCCCCAGGGCTGCGGGAAGGCACAGCCGCCAGCACGGGGCCTTCCAGGAGTGGGGTCACCTTCCCGGGGCTCCCCAGCTCCCCGGGAAGGCACAGACCCAGCCACACAAGGCCTCCCAGGAGTGGGGTCACCTTCCCAGGGCTCCCCGGCTCCCCGGGAAGGCACGACCCTGGCCACACGAGGCAGGGCCCGCAAGGACTCAGCTTGTGGTGGGTGTTGGTCAGATACTCTCCACGGGGGCCTGGGAAGCTGTGGGGTTACCACGACCCCCAGGCTTGGGATCCCCAGAATTAGGAGCACTGGAATTTAACCCGGGGAAAGACAAGCAGAGCGCTGGCTCTCCCCGTCCAGCCAGTGTCTGGGCAGGACACGGCCGCGCTGGCCTCCCACGTGGCTGGCTGCTGGTCAGCACCAAATGCAGCCCGGGCACCCCGCCCCCCAGTTGCTGGAGCTGACACCCCGGGCCTCTGCTGAGCTGCGATTCAGTGAAACAACGGATGGTTTTTAGAGATGGTAGAACCCGGCCTGCCCTCCACACGGGGGGAGCCAGGGTTCCTGCCCCCTCCACAGACCAGCAAGGGGGGTTCCCTTCTCCCTGGTCTCGGCGGGGACAGCAGGCGGCTGGGCCGGCAGGGCTGGGGTCCCCCTGCTGCCCCACACTGCCCCTTGGCACAGGAGTGGATCCGGCTTGGTGAGTGTGAGATCAGCATCCCCCAGGCCGGGGGAGTCGGGCAGGACCCGGGAGGACCGTGAGTCGTGCCCCCAGGCACGCGGCCTTTGCGGCCAGGCCTGGGGCAGGAACCCCAGCGCCGGCTGCTCTGTGTTCCGGCTCGGGCTGGCGCCGGAACCTGCCGGGAAGCACCCCAGCCTTGTTCACCCGCGCCGTCTCCCCCCCCCCAACCCTACAAGAAAAACGACCTGTTACTGTCCCTTGCTCACAAGGGAACAGGCTGTGCTCCCCGCTGGGAAGGCGCCCCGGGGTGGAAACGAGTGCTGACGAGAGGGGCAGCGAGGGGGAGGGGCTGGGACAGCAGGGGCGTCTGGGGTCCAAGGACTCGATGGGTGAGCACAGGGGCCTGCGGTCAACAAGGCGGGGCGGAGAGCTTCGGGTGCAGGCGTGTGGTCAGAGCCACCGCGGGCTGCAAAGAGGAGCTGGTCAGATGATCGGCCCCGCGCTGCTTTTTCTGTCCTCAGAATTTGTTGTGCAAAATGGACCAAGTTGAAACAACTTTTTAAGCACCTCTGCGCTTCGCCCCGGAAGTCCAGAGGGAGCGAGCGGCCTGCAGGCCCTGCGGCCAGGAGTTGAGCCCCCCGGGAGAGGGCGATCTCCTGAGGAGGCCGCGGCAGCCGGCAGCGCGCGGGAGCAGAGCCGGGTTCGTTCCGCACAGGCGCGGGATGACGGCTGCAGGCGCCCGCGCTCCTCCCCGGGGAACAGCCCTGCACGCAAGCTGGCGGCGCGGGGACACGCGTCCTCTTGGCGGGGCCCTCCCCTCTGGCCTGCTCTGCCCCCCACGCCCTGCCCGCTCCCGCCCCTGGAACGTTTCCATCGGAAAAATGTGCTTTTCCTCTTCAGTCTTAAAAATACACAAACCAGAACCTTTGTCTCGACCCCACGTCTCCGCCCCCCGCACTCCCTGGCACACGATGTCAGTTCAGGACCCCCGGGAAGCCAAGCCCAGTGCGGGGCATGAGGGCGGCCGGGCCGGGCTGTGACTGGCCTGTGCTCAGCGGCTCGGCCCCCTCACCTAGCCCCGCTGGGCAGCCTTGGCCTCCCGAAGGTGTCTTTGGCAATATCACTTTACTTCGAGTGATATTGGAGGAAAAATGACAGAAGACCGTAAAAGGTTGACAAGCGGGTGAAGCGGTGCCAGAACCCCCTCCCGGGACCCCTGCGGGCCGCCGCCTCCCAAGCCGCCTCTTCCTGCCGCCAAGCGGGACTCAGGCCTGCCCGCGCTGCCCATAAAAACTGCTTTCCTGTCCTCATGCTGCCGTCCACTGCTCATCCAAATGGTTTCCAATGTTCCGTCAAAGAACTTTCTGAACAGTGGAAATTGCTGCCTTGGGTCAGGATAGAGGCTGACCCAAAAACAGTGAAAATAATTGCGATGTAACGAGTATTCATTCTCCTAACCTCATGGTTTCCTAGAAGAACTTAAGCCATGAAGTGAGAGAGAAGAAACCTCCCTGGCCTGCAAATCCCTGAGGCCTCTGCTTGCAGGTGACCAGAGAAACCACCTGGCCAGCCTCTTAGCCAGGCCCTGGCCACCCTCCAGGCCGTGCTGCGCCTCCCCGTGCTTCCCTCACGCGCATGCGCGCACACACTGCTCCCTCTTTTCTCTTTCAAAAACCATCTTAAGACCATCCCACAGCAGCCCATCCAGGGCCGCTTGACTTTACACAGCTGCGTAGTACTCCACAGCGTGTCCGTGTAAGCCAGGAGCCGCCCCAGCCTCCCACGCCTGGAGGCCACACTGGCCTGTGCCTCAGGAAGGCGGGGATGCGGGAGCTGATGCTTCAAATAGATTCCTGGGTGGACCCTAGAACCACTGCCGTCCTCACCTGGCCATCCTTCAGAGAACAGTGGGCGGACAGCACCCTCCCACCATCGTGGACTGGCTCCATGGCCACGAGGGCCAAGAGACCAGGCCTCAGTGTCCACGCACCGGGCTTCCTCCTGCCTCCCCGCTGCCCCTCCTCAGTGAGGCGCTGCCGCCCTTATTAACCCAATGCTCGTTTGCCGAGGTGCTTCTCAGGGCTCTGTTTGCGTGAGGAAAGGCACGCGGGGGATGTGACTCTCCTGCAAGCTCGTGTGGAAGGTCGAGGGACATCAAACAAGCTTGACTGAGAAAAGGAATCGGCTCAGGCCAGTCGTGCAGCCCGTCGGCCTCCCAACCCCGAGGCCGTTTACCGCATATTCGCTCATCAAACTTATTTTCCACGCGGGCCAAGCCTGGCTCCCGCACAGGGAATGGTCCCTTAGTGAGAATCCTGCCCACAGCAGAGGCGCCGCGCTCTGGGACGCTCGCAGCAAGAGGCTGGCGGGCAGGTCCGCTCAGGGCGACTGTGCTTCCAGCTGCCCGCACCGCGGCCCGCGGGCCCTCCCCCAACAGCCGCTTAGTCTCCGCCGGGCCCTGCTTGTCTGTGGTCGGGTGGGGGCGGCCCCCTTGAACGTCGGCTTTCTGGCCTGAGAGCTCGAGCCCTCATCTGCCTCCCGCTGGCCCGCGAGGCCTCCGAGTAGACACAGCTGTCAGCCTCCCGGAGAGGCAGGGAGGGCGACGCTGGTCAGCACGTCAGATCCTTGGCCTTAGCCGGGACGATTCTCCACCAGAGAAGGATCCCCCCACACACACACTCATACGTGCTCACATCACACATGCACACACACGTGCTCTCACTGTCACATTCTCACACAGGTACACACACGCTCACACCCTCGCATGCACGCCCCACGACTCCTGGCCACTCAGCCTGGTGGCCCTTGACAGTGACCCTCACTGTGGCCCAGGAGCGCTCTCAGGCCCTTGCGGCCAGCGCTCGAGGCCCTCAGCTTTGCAGCCGAAGCACCTCGATCTCAAACAGCTGCTTCCCCAGACGGCCTGTACACCTTAGGCGTACAGCGCACTCACACGGCTCCTTGTAAAGTGTGACATCCTGGGTTGTCTCAGCTTGCCTGCCAGAAATGACTCCAGCGAACGCCCCACGTCACCTCACGGCGACCTCGGTGTCTTCTACGGGAACAAGGCCGGAAGTGTCTGTCCAGGGAGGTTCTGGCCGCCGTGCCCCTCCACACAGCCTCCCGCCTTCCCGCCAAAGAGCAGACGATGCACACGAAGGATATTTTAAAAATTCTGTATTCAATTATTCTCACCAAAGGATATCCATTAAAATTATGAACATCTCTAAATATATTTCATATATCATACATATATATACTTTATAGGAATAATTACATATCAACAAAAGATCTCTGGTTGCTCTAAGTGTGTAAGTGAAACAGCGGTGCTGCGGTGTGACCCCCGTGTATGCGTGTGTCCTGGCCGCAAATCACGATTTATTTACAACTTGCCTCGGCGATAGTAAATGGTTGCTGTTCTATTATACAAACATAACGGTAAAGGTTCCTTTTAAATACAAAGACTGCAAATGAATACATGAAAAAATTACACACATGTACAGTATTTATAATTTATAAATGCAAAGTTAAGACCTCTTTAAATTATTGCACTTGCGCATTTTACAAAGGTTTGTATATGTCGTACATAGAAAATATTTTGTTTCACTCACTAACTCACCAGCTAGCATGAGACTGGAAACGTCAACTTGACATTCTCCTTCCAGGAGAGCGCCCACGGAGACTCGGACACGGACCCACCGACACCACGAGCCAGCTGGCCACGCGCGGGGGTTTGGCCTGCTGGTCCGCGTTGCCAAGGTCACCACCAGCCGACCCAGACGCCCTGGCCAGGTGGAGAGAGAGGGTCTCTGCTGTCCGTATGGACACGTAGAGCAAGCCATCTTTTCTTTTCAGCAAGATCCAAGGGGCTGCATTTCTACCCATGTTGGCGACCGGCTCACAGTGGATGGGGCGAGGGCGTTATTTCGAATGGGCCAGCGGGCTGGGGCTGGCAAATAGGGACAGTGCGTAGAAGAATGTCCTACAAAAAAACTATGTTCACCCTTCACACTGGATGAGCACACAGAGGAGCACCACGCAACACATCACACAGGAGAACATGTACACAGTGGTTTGTGACTGGCGTGTTAGGAAAACAACAGTTGCAACGTCGTGACGTGCGAGGATCCAGGTGGGCCACAGCGCTGGACACTACGCCTTGAACACTAATGGACAGCGGGACCCCAAACGTCCATCTCAACTTCTGCGCACATGCACTGCCGCGCTGACATCCGACCCAACTGACCTCTCTGCTTGCAAACTGGGTGGAGCAGGGAGTTCGCACCTGGTTCCTCAGGTGAGGCTCCCCTGAACCCCGCAGAGCAGGCGAGGCTCTCAGCTCTGGGCCCTCCCACGCGTCAGCTGTACCAAGGAGACCACTCGGCCCTGTCGCGAGGCCCGGAAGGGAAAGGATCTGCGGAGACACTGATGTCACCTTCTCGCATTTCAAACATGCTTCGTGGGAACCATGAGCGGCTGTCTCTGTTCCACCTTTTTAATCGAGAAGCAGAACACCGCTGAGGCCTTTCTTCTTTGGACTTTCAGCATCAGATACATGCATCAGGTGCTGCAGACACCCAAACAAATCCAGTGAAAAAAAGACAAAAACCCAAAAGTGTGTGCATCGCAGGGGGTATCACTTCTCTAAAGCGAAGATCAGTGTCGAAAGACATCAGCAACGTGTGGCGGGACAAGCACGTGTGCGAACGTGAAACCACAAGCGCCAAGGGCCCCGGAGGCAGGCCGCGGGGAGTGACCGCCCACTCGGCTGCTTCACACCTCCCAGTGGCTCGACAATCAGAGTCCTACTTGCAATAGAAGAATATCCTAAAGTGGTTAAATGAGCAAGTCCTTGAAGAATTAAACCCTAAATAAAATCAGCAGAATATAGAGAAAGCGACGCGAGTTCGAACTATATTAAGCTAGAGATGATTCTCAAAATCGAAACCATGCGTGTGTAACTGGAGTCCGTGGGGCGCGGCGCGGCTCCTGGACGCTCGTGGGAGGGCAGGCGGCGCCTGGCCGGTGGCGGGGGACGCAGAGTGAGGGGCTGGTCCCCGTCATTCGGTGTGAGCCACACGAGCCCCGCCGCGCCCCGCAGCAGCTCTCAGTTACGGCTCAGCGATAAAGCAAAATAACAACTACATGAATGAGGAAGCAAAAGTACAGAGTTTGAAATAAAGGCCCAGGCCAAGGCATGGTGAATAATTTAGTTCTATTAAAGCTCAAACCTTAATTTTGAGTTAAAAGACCAGAAACATCATACTCAAAAGTAAACTGATTTAAAATCCAGGCGGTCAGGGATCGATGCATCCACATGGATCATTCACAGACATGGCTAGTGCGCGGGAACAGAAGCCACTGAGACCGAGTGTACAAAATTAAAAAGGGGAAGAAGCATGCTGGAAAGAGGAAACCTACACGGAACAAAGCTGGTGTCCAATTAGGTCCGTGTTTGCGCCCTGAGAGCAAGACCCTGCTGCCCGTGCAGCGCCCGCCGGGGGACGCCGTGTCCGGGACATTGTCCCGAGAACGGCTCTGCCTGGGCTCCTTCGCAAAAACTACGGCTGGGAAAAGGGTCACCATCCCTGCCCGGATGAAAGGGCCGTTTCTAAGCACTATTTCCACATCCATTGCATTATTTTGAAGCGTTTCTAATGAATGACGTCACCGCCAGCTGCTAATTAACAAGGTGCTTGCACTTTTTAGCGTTTTATGCCCCCGTCCAAGTTCAGATACTGAACTGCATCCCGCGGCTGGCATGCAGTCCCAGGAAATTTTCTGGTTAAAGCATACATTCCCTATCTTTGGAAAGATGATGGAATCGTGGCACTTGCCAATAAAGCGGGGCTGTTACACGTCACCACGGCCCATAATAATTTCTGCAAATCCAACATCCTACGGACGCTCACAGCCAGTTACCAAATTTATGCTTAACGAGGAAAATTTGGCCCAATATAAAATACCACCTCAATGAGAAAATCATCAAAACTTTGGGTAATGAAAACCATCTGCCCTTTTAAGAATTGTGAAAAAGATGAGAACAGAATTTAAAAAGTCGTCTGCTAAATATAGCTGCCAAAAATACAGAAATACTCCTCACTGCGCTTCCCCCAAACAGTACCAACTAAAGGTCACTGCATCCTGGACACTCACTTCTGGTGACTCTGACCATTTAGTAAACCTCACACATGGTGAAAAGCAGTAGTAACGGTTTACAATAGAAGAGTCGCCTTTGTCCGAACGTCTCTCCATGATGACAACACTTCACGAGAAATCAACCAACCCCTAAACCCTTAAATCATACACTTCGGGCGGGCGAGGCAGGGAATTGTTCCAAGCAGAGATCACATAAGGGGATGACCTGGCTCTATCACAATGAGAATTTTCTGGACTAACCTTATCAGAACAGTAACCTTAAATGCGAAATGACCCAGGAGCTCTCCCCACACCCCGGGGAGAGTGTCCCTGTCACGACACAGTCACGCATTCTCTAGACGCCTCTTCATCACACGCAGCCCCCCACGGTGTCCTCTTCTCTGGCCATCCACCCTCTACGGTAAAGAGGCCGCTGAGTTCATTTTTGTGATGGAGGATGAAACGGGCAGGGTCCAGCGTCAAGAATTTGGATGCAGAAAAATTGGTGATTCTTTAGAATTTGCTCTTAGGGAGACGCCACCATGGCAAAGGGCAGCCCCGCGGGTCTTCCTCGACAACGGGCATTTCCCAGGGCATTTCGCGCACAGCGGTTCCCGGAGGAGGGGCTGGTTTTCCTTTGTCAGGCGTGTTCTCTCCCCGCGGCTGGGTCCCCGCACCTGTGCGCTTGGCACACGGCTGGCGTGCAGGGGGCTCCGCTGCCAGCACTCACTTCGCCTCCCGCTGCAGGTGACTCTCTGGGGCCGGGCCCGGGAGGAGACTGACACGCAGGCTATTCGTCAGGCAAGAACAACACCCTGCGGGGCCGGCTCCACTACAACATGAGCGAGCGGCTGCAGCCCCATCGGGCTCCGTGTGTTTGTAAAGCCCACGCCTCCATCAGCCACGCGTAGTTTCGAGCACGTAGAAGAACATGTCCAAGATGGACCTTATTACGAGGCACCAGCCGGTCTCCTGTCCCGGGAAAAGTGAGCAAATGAGCCAGGACTGGTCTATCCGCCCCCGGCCCAGCCCGGGCCGGCGCTCCGTGGGGTCCGGGGTCTGCCCAGGCCCAGCCCCAGGCGGGCACCGCTGCCCGCTCCTCCTGGGACGTGTCCACACATCACCGCTGCGGATTCTCTTCAAAACACCGACGCGGCGCAGCGCCCTCCACTCGCCGGAAGTCAGAAGGCCGCACCCCACGGGTCCTGGGGAGCTTCGGGAGCACACCCTCTCTCTTCCCGTCCCCACGGCCGGGAGAGCAAAGGAAGGTATTGGGGAGAGGGCAGGTGGCCCTGGGGGGTGGGAGTCGCAGGAGACGCCGTCCCGGGCACGGGGGGCGGGGGGGGGGGGCTCCGGGAGAACTGCGGGGTGTTTCTATCAGATCATGTGTCGAACGAGCCTCCCGTGCGCGTGTGAGTCCGAAACTTTGCAAGGACACAAAGTGAAAAAGCAAAGGACTCATGATTAGACACCACCTTTCACACCCCTCAGACCTGCCGGTGAAAACCCATCACCTGTCCAAGCTTTCACTCTGCTCTCGACGCAAAAGGGCTGGTAGATTCGCCGAGACTGCCATGAAGAAAAAAATACGTGAAAAATATTCCGTGACATCTTTCGAATCGCTGCCTAAGCTCTGAGATTTATTGGGGTGTGTCTGCACGTTCTCTCTGGAGGACGGGGCCGCTCCCCTCAGCCGGCCTGGCCGCTCGGCTGCCGGCGTGGCTCGGAGGACCCGCTGCAGCCCGCCTGGCGATCCGCTCGCGAGGCTCTGGGAGAAGAATCTGGAATCCATCACTGATTGCGGAGACGCTGCTCACGCCGCGGCCCGAGGCCTCGCCAGGCCGCCCGCCGCAGCCCACGCCGGGGCCCAGGCAGGCGGGACGGAACACGGCGCGGCCCCCCGGGCGTCGAAGCCCAACGCGAGGAGGGACGGCGCGGGGCCGCGCTGGGGGGCGCCGCCCGCAGGGAGGCCCGCGGGGACCCGGCGCCCGTCCTGGGAAGGCCTCAGCAGTGGCCGGGCGAGGCCGGGCCGCCAGCCTGGGGCCTGGGCGGCTGGGGCCGGGTGCTGGCGGGGCTCGGCGGGGCCGGAGGCGGGGCGGGTCGCTGCGGGAGTCACTGGTGCTTCTTTCTTGGCGAGGCTCGCACCCAGGTGCCAGGTGTAGGTTTCCCCACGGAAAGAGAAGGGCGGGCAGAGGAGCGGACGAGCGTCCTGGGCCGGCGCCGGCACCAGCGTCGCGCTCAGTCCTCGATCTTCACCGGCAGCTTCTCGGAGGAGGAGGAGGGGGTGGCCGGCGCGGCCGAGATCCACAGCGCGCTCTCCTCCCCGCGGATGACCTTCTCCCACTGGCTCAGGTTGTTCCTAGGGCGAGGGGCAGAGGAGGGAGGGGCCTGAAGGACTCACCTGGGCTGTGGGCAGCTCCCTGTGCCCCAGGGCCGCCCCCAGGACGCCCTGGACTCCCGGCCGGCAGGGGAGCCCGGGAGACACCGGCCAAGGAGACACCGGCCTCCTGCCCTGGCTCGCTCACGGACCAGGTCAGAGTCCGACTGGACACTTGACGCCGGCAGACAAAATCCACGCCAGGCACGGGTGCCCCAGGGCGCCGCTGACAAGAGCAGAGACCGAAGCCCCCACGGGCAGCAGCTGGGCCACCGGCGCCATCCCTGGCGCTCTCCAGACACTCCAGCAATGGCCGCAGCCCCGCCGCCCCCTGGACACCGGAGGACGATTCCTCTTGTTGTTAGTAAGATCGAAAGGGTCTTTACGAGAGGGTGTCCCACCCCGCCCAGGGCCGCAGGAAGCCTCAGAACTAAGGGCCCCCGCCGCGGCCACTGCGCCCGCGCTGCCCTCCGAGCACCCACAGGCCCGGGCTCCGCCACCTCACACGGCTCCACAGACACAGAGACTTTTGGGCAGAAAAGGGCTTCAATGGCTACTCCCACCTCCCCTGCTGGGCGACCAGGCGTCCAGCCCGATCCTAGGGAAACTGAGCCCGGCCGACCACCCGTCCACAGCTCAGCCCTGTGGAGCAAGCACAGGGGACCCCGACCGCTGGCCAAGGCCCGTGACGGCGCCACAGCTAGTGGGGTGTCCCCGCATCTCTGGGGGGGACGAGCGTCCCTTCAAACAGGGTCAGGCTTTCGCCCGTCACAGCGGCGGGCCTGCGTCCTTCCCCGACAGAGGAGTCCCCAGAGGAGCCGCAGCAGCAGCGGGGTGCGGCCCCAGAGACCTGGCTTTGTTCTAAACGGTCTCGCCGCGGCCGGGGCGGGTCAGACCCGGGGTCAGACAAGTGCCCGCCGGGCCCCCTGGAGCGGCCGATGCCCCTCCTGGCTCAACCTTCCTTCGGTGATAGAAAAGAACCCCGTTTTGATGATGACAGGAAACGCCCCTTTACCTGCCCCAGAACGGGGACAAGTCGATTTACTGGAATAAAATGCCTGAAAGCGAAACATCCACCCATTGTCCCTCAAGCCACCCGGCCCAGGCCCCACAGTGGCCACCGCACCGCAGCTCACCCTGGTGTCAGGAGCTTAGCCAGGCCCGGCCTGGGGGCAACCAGGGCTTGAGGTGGAATCCACGCTCCAGAACAGGCCCCGGGGGCTCGAGCCTCTCGGGGGAAAGGGAATGAGGACCCGGCGAGGGCCCCTCTCCACGGAGCCGGGGGGGCTGCCCGCCTCTGCGGGGGCCTCCGCGCCGGGAAGACACCAACCGGCCGTCCTCCTGCTCCTCCAGTGGGCGGGTGGCTGCGGCGTGAGCGCGCCCCAGTCTACTGGACACCCGGCCGCGCCCGGGACAGAGGCCGCTTGGGGGGACCCCAGGGTCTCGCGGGTCTGGCCGGCGGGGGGACCCCCAGGGCCTCGGGGTCTGGCTGCGCAGGACGTACCTGCAGGCCTTCAGCAGGGGCTCCGTCGGAGGGAAGATCTGCGTGAGCGTGGTGTAGCAGGGGATGGCCACGGCGTTGTAGAAGCCCAGCTGCGGCCAGGACAGGACAAAAGGCACGTTAGTGGGCCTGGTGCGCGGGACCCCGCCAGCGCGGCTCTGCTCCGCGAGTCCCCGCACCCCTGGGCGCGCCAGGTTTGCTCTGTGACGCTCACCGCGGAGCACTGGGGCTGCAAGACACAGCCTTGGGGTGAGACAGAGACGAGAGGCGCAGGGCAGCTCCCGGGAGACCCCGGCACGGCGCCCCAGCCTGTCCGCGGGCACCCAGCCCCGCTCCGCTCCCTGGGCCACTCGGCTCGGGAGTGCAGGCCTCTGTCCTCCCCCGGCCGCCTCGTCCACACTTCACTCACGGGGCTCGCGGCTGGTCCATGTGGTGCCCTGGCCAGGTGGGGGTCAGCCTCCCGAGGGCGCCTGCCCACATCCCGCTGCTTTGGCCCAGAGCAAACCCTCCTCGATGCTCCCGCGGGCAACGTGCATTGGCTCTGTCAGATGCCACAGTTGGATTTTTTTTTTAAGATTTATTTAATTTATGCATACAGGAGCTGGGGTGCAGGCCAGAGGTGCAGAAGGTGAGAGGACTCACCAGAGACAGAGTGGGGAGCAGAACAGGCAGACTGACTGAAACACACTGCTGAGGGGAGCAGCGGGAGACAGGAGGGGTCTGCTGAGCCCTGTGGGCAGCTCCCTGTCCGGGGATTGAACTCGTGCTGCAGAGGCTGCGGACAGCTTCACAGTCCTGAGACTTAACCCCTTGTGCCACAGGGAGGCCCCAGATTTCACAGTTTTAAGCTGTGATTCTGAGAACAAAGACTAAAGAGCATTTTGCTCGGAATTCTGGGTCGCTGTGCAGACAAAGAAGGCTTGCTCAGATCCTGCCCGAAGCAGAGCAAAACACCTGCCGGAGGAGGCCGGGGATGCCTCGCCTCGCCAGGTATAGCTGTCCGAGCGGTGGACAAGGTCAAGAGAAAGCTGGCCCTTGGGTAGGTGATGCCAACGAGGCTCCCCAAATTCTTCAAAACCTAAACCTCAATGAGACTGAGGACCGGCTCCGCAGGGACCCCCGCCTTCTCTGCTTCCAGGCTGTCCCCTGAGCTGCGCCGCAGCCACGCCACACAGCACAGACACCACGCGGGAGGCCGCAGGTGTGGGGACTGGGATGCAGGACGTTGTATTATGAGGACAAGGGATGCTTTCATCATTTAGAAGCACTAAAGGTGGTAAAATATTAGCTGATTGCAGAAATATTTTACTAAAATATCCAGATCTTTATGTAAATGGATCTGGAATTTTGGTAAAAACAAAAGTAGAACCAGTTCTCTTGATTAAATAAAAGTGGGAAGAGCCCGCTGCGGGCACGCAGGCCGCCGGGCTGCTCCGCGGGTAGGACTGCTGCACCACGGGATCCCGGTCGTAACCCAGGCACTCAGAAAAACTCCAAAGGAACTAGCAAGTCAAACGTAAAGTGATGGAACAAAAGCAGAGGGCGAATGCAGGCACGCGGCGATACCACCTCGGTGGGGACGGACTTGCGTGACGTGGTGGAAAAGCAGGCACCAGACAGGGACAGTGTGACTGGGGTGACACAGGGATGGTGTGACGGTGTCACGCAGACGGGAAACCCCATAAGAAATGCCCTAAAGCAGGGAGACGCGCGGACACTGGGGGCCTGGTGGGGCTCGTCCAGCAGAGACGGGCCGGGCGGCAGCCACTGCAGAAAGGCCGCGCGGGCCCTCAGGGCCGGACGCCACCTCCCAGAGGGCAGTAAACAGGCCTTAAATAAACTAAGAGCCTTCGAAAACGTATCAAAGCGCAGCAGCTCGTGAAATATCTGAGATGTTTTCTAAACCAACTCCTGCCCCACCAACACCCGTCGCAGCTGCCCCAGCGGGACGTCGGAAGCACCGGTCACTTGAATGACCGTAACTTGAGGACTACGCTACACGAACACGCGCCACCCGGCTCACAGGGCACACGAGGGGCGTCACATGAATGACGTAGTAAGACCCGGAGCGAGAGTGACTAATGCCGAGGGGTGGCGCGCCCAGACTCGAGACAGACTAAAACGCTGCCGGCGTTATTTGTGAGCAAGAGTGGGCCTCGTCAGGGGTCGTGCATGCGCAGCGGTGGAGCTGCTTCTGCTTGTTGAGAACGTTAACTACTCGGCTCCTCCTCCCTGCTCCATTCTAAGCAGCACAGGGGCCAGTTCACCGCGACGACCCGGGCAGCAAGGGGAGGCTCCAGGGTCTCCAGCTATTCTGAGTCCGGGGGACAGTCTATTGCCCCCGACTCCGTTGTAACGTAGCGGGGTCAAGCCGCCTTGGGCTGGCCCCTGCACCTGCAGCCCAGCCACAAGCTCACGGTTCAGAGGTCAGAACAGAACCAACAGTGACAGCGGCCCTCGATCCAGGTGAACATGCAAACTCCTCAGCGTCCACTTTCCCACACTGGAAACAAGACACCTGGCAGGACGCCCGGAGGCCAGGGTCTCTGGGCCTCAGGCTGCGCGGCCAGCACCGGCCTCGCAGAACCGGGACTCCACGCCCGCCTCACAGGACGTGAGCCCCGACCTGACCCTACCTGGCCTTGGGGGACTTCATCCCGCTTGTCTCGGTCCATCATGGGAATAGGCTGGATCCCCAGCTTCTTCATCTCGTCGCCCTAGGACGGAAGGGACAGTCACGCTTGCTGTGCTTGCGCGCAGGCAGAGATGCAGGCACGAGCGACCTCTCCCTGCCTCGCCATCGTCAAAATGGGCACCGTCTCCATCGGTGACTCCCTCCCCCACCCGCTCCGGAAACCCAGCCTCCACTTTCGGGGTCACCCTGCAGACGTTTGTGGAAGTTATACAAGAAAGTAGAGGAACTAGTGGGAGAGACAGGACGACACCCCTCGCCCTTGGTCTAGTGACTCACCCTGCTGCCCGGGCAGGCAGGGGGCCTGTCCATCAAAGCTCAGGGGTTTGTCCTTGTCAGAGCAGCCCTGGACACAGGGCTCAGGACACGCGGGCCGGGGGCTCTCGGCTGTGGGCCTCGGGTCATGAAGATGGCTTGGCTCTGCCACCACCAGACATCCGATGCTCTAAACTCGAAACTGAGCAATTTACTGGCTCTTACGCTTCACACACGTTCCTTTCTAAGAGTGAGACTTAAATGGATTTCCCCTTCAAGAAAAAGAAAAGTCCCTTAAAGAATTCAGACGGACAAGCCCCACGGTCGGGACGCGTCCAGCCCAGTGACAGGCGGGCGGTCACCTCCTCGAGGCCCTCAGGGAGAGCAGTGAGCGCGGCGGAGCCGTCAGCCCCACACTTTCCCTCCAAGTTTACTCCTACTTCGTCACATCCAAGGAGGGCCCCAGAGGGCTGCTTGGTTTTTGTTTTTCTGAAAGTAATCACGCACGGGCCTGGGTATTCCTGGGTTCATCTGAACAGGAAAGTCCTGTCCTGTGTACTGATGCACAATCATGAAGAACACCGAGGAGCAAAACGCCTGTTTCTGATCACAGGTAACTCGGCCAAAGAGAAACGGTCGTGAACGTGATTTGTGAGCTTATTTCCCGTGTCAGGAGCGCCCTGAACCAGACAGTGCCCCAGGGACTCGGCCCCTTTCTGCACAGTCCTGCATGTCCACGCTGCTGAGTGACCACCTGCAGGCCCATCTAGCCCATGAAGTGTGGGTCCCCCAATACGTCTCTCCACCGTCTACATGAGACGTAATGACCTTGGCTCCTCTGACGAACAAAGGGAAGATGGTCTGTCACATCAGGAGCCCTGCGCTGCTGTTCAGCAAGTGAGCTCCTGAGCCCCTGCCTTCGAGACCAGGAGATGCACCCCATGCTCAGTCGGTGTGACCGAGTGCACCCCTTTTCTCTGCACCCGCACAAACCCTGCACCTTCTCGCCGGCGGCTGACCCGGCTCTCTACCCAAGCAGCAGCACGAGCAACGAGACACAGTTACGAAGTCACCCAGGTATTTAATTTCTTCTTCAAACATCCCCATTTCTTGAGATGCTCTGTGTTCACAGAAAACCGAGGACGTACCTCAGCCCAGAACTCCGCGTAGATGTCATTTGCCGTCAGCTTGGTGACCGGCCACAGCTTCGTCACAGAGCAGAGGTCACAGGCAGTCATCATCAAGCCGATGACCCGGTCTCTAGAACACAAGGACAAAGCAGAGCCGGTCAGCATGCAGGTGCTCCTGCGCCTCAGGACCACAAAGACAGGTCTTTTCAGGAGTGAGGCATAAAGCGGCAGACTTTGGGGGGCCGGGGAGGCAGCACTGAGTCCAACCCTCAGGGCCGGGGTGAACCCAACAGGGCTCTGGCCCAGGAGGAGCCTGTCAGGTGCGGCAAGGCCCCGGGTGACCACCGAGCTCCAACCCAGAGGGGCAGGCGCTGTGACCCCCTCAGCTGCCACCGCTACAGCCACTGGGCTGATTTTTTGTTTTCAAGCAGTTTTGCAAATAGGGAGTAGGTAGAAACCTTGAAAAATCCAAACTAACGCTTCTTCCATTTTCAATAAACAAATCAGAGGTGCAAAGACCTGGGGCGAGTGCAGGACGTGAACCTATTAGAGGAAAAGGATATTCACCTATCAGGAGATGTAGAGAAAGCGCTTGACAGAATCCAACATTCAAAATTCAACACGTGAGTTTTATCATTCACGATAAAAACACTCAACTTGACACATGACCACAAACCCCCACAGCCAACATCATACTCGATGAGGCCCAAATGTCCGGAGCACGCGCCGGGTTGCGCAACACGTGCCATCAATTAAGTTTCGCTTTACCCTTTCGCCCGCTGAGAAACCACAGGTTTTTCCTGTTAATCAAATGAGACTGGGAGGTGCGAGGGGAGGAGCTACCAGGATATAAGAAGAGAACCACGAGCAGGTCGAGGGGTTACTGCGAGAGGAGCAGAGAGAAGGCCAGGGAAGGCAGAAAGACGGGGAAAAGTACGAGAAGGTAAAGGAAAAATAAAGAAGCAACCGCCAGCGTCAAGTTGTCTCCAGCCCCTCATTTCAATCCTCAGCCCCTCTCTTTTCGTGCCTACGAATCCCGCGGGTCGGGACACCCAGACAGATGTTGTGCCACTGAGATGAGGACCAGGCCAGGTGCCCTGCCGCCGCGCCTCGGCACGGAGCTGGGGTCCTTATTAATGTAGAAAAACAAGAAAAGGAAATGGGAGAACACTGACTGGGAAAGAAGAGCTAAAATTGTCTTTGTTCACAGATGACATAAACTGGGCATATGGAAAACTCGAAAGAATGGACAAAAAACACTCCTGGAACTAAGAAGTGGTGCCATGTAAAAGGGAGCAGGATACGCGGTTAACAGACGAAAGTCCGCGGGTTTCCTGTAAAGAGGTGCCCTGCAGCAGGTGCCCTGCCACACCATAGCGGGTGCGACCTATGGGTCTTGTCTGTGGTTCTGGGCAAAGGCCCGTGAGGTTAGAGGAACCCACGAGAAACTCAGCTGATCACTAGGGTGAAAGTTAACTATCTTAAGAGGAAGAGAACAATCCAGAAAAGCAAGAGAGCATATAACCCACAATGTAGTATATAAACAGAAAGCTACCAGACATGTGAAGACACAGACAATGTATTCCATGATCCAGAGAGAAAATAGTCAACAAGTAGATTCAGAGAGGACTCAGAGACAGGATGAGGAACTTCCAGGGAAACATGGATTGGGTATAATGATGATGATATAAGGAATTGCAGGAGAGACATTTAAGTTATTTAAAAAAAAAAAAAAAAAGAACCAAAAAGAAATCTCAGAACCGAGAAATACACTCTATAAAATAATATAAACCACCGGGTGAACTGAGCCCCGATTGGAGAGACGGTCAGAACGGATCCATGAAACCCAGAGACAGGCCGCACCCGGCTGCCCAAGCCAGGGCCAGAGTGGGGAGCCCGGAGAGGCGGAGCAGAGCAGGAAGAAGCTGGAGGCCGGGCTGCGCGGCCCGTCGGGCAGGGATAGACGTGAAGAATGGAGACAACAGGTGGGGCAGGAAAAATATTTGACAAAAAATAATGGCCGACACTTTCCCAAATTTTACTCAAATCGCAGCCCAAGCACCAGGGGATTTCAGGGGGCCCAGCGCAGGGTGACGATAAAGAAGCCCACACACCCCGTGTCCACAGGCAAAGCGCGTCACGGACGCAGAGCTGGGAAGCTAACGGCGTGGAGAAAAGCCGACCAGCAGCCAGCGTGAAAAGACAGTTGTGTGGAGAAAAACAATCACTCGTGGACGGGGAAGAAGCCAGAAGGGAGCTGGACATTGAAACCATACGAGAGAAAACCCGTCTCGCATTCTCACATCCGGCAAAGTGCCTTGGAAAAGAGAAGCCAAAGGAGAGACATTCTCGACGAGGTCGTCGACACACTTTAAGAAATGTCAAAGGAAGCGCCGCGGCCCAAGTGCACTGACACCAGAGGGAAATCTGGATGGAGTCGGACGAATAAAAAAGCACTGGAGATGACATGTAGGTGAGAAAATATGACATAATTCCTCTCTCCTTTAAAAAAATCACTTGTCCGTTAGCCATTTAATTTAAAATATTAGCAAACTATCTGAGGTGCACAACACAGGCACAGTACACTATTTAATAACAATAGCGTGAAAAACAAAAAAGATACAAACATCAATGTTTTCTATATGTGTAGACATGCATGTGTGTGTGTGTGTGTGTGTCAGGGCTCGCCCACTGTACAGGGATGCAATAGCCGCCGTTCAAGGTGAACTGGTAAAAGGCAGATTGTAAACTCAACAGCAGCTCTTGGAAATAGAAAGAGGTGGAAAATGAATTGAGGCTCAATGATCTCAAAAGCAGTGAGGACAGAGGGCACGAGGAAGGACTGGAGAAGCCACGACCATCTGACGTGCCAGGGAAGACCCCGCGGTGATGAGCCCCAGGGAGCCTCGTCCCGGCTGCTAGACATGCCCGGGCGGGATGCGGCCGGCGACGAGGAAGGAGCGTGATGCCCCAGGAGCGAGCGCAGGAATCCGGCCGAGCGGCCGGGCACTGAGGACTTGAAGGCAGGAAGTGGCCCCTTGCATGCTGATGAGTGAAAGTGGAGAAGAGCTAACAAATGTGATGTGTGAGCATCTCGCGTCAAAGCTTCTAAACAAATGAAGCAAAACTGACAAAAAGAAAACAATTCACAACAACATTTACTCTGGAAACAGTATTTCCAGTTGAAAATGGGAAAAATACTTTCCTGAGTGTAAAACCTATAAAACAGGCCACGCCATTTTGCCAAATATTTTACAAGGCCTGTGTGAACTGCAAAGTACTCTTCAGGGCTGTGGAGTCAACCCAACGCTCTTGAATACCTACCAGAACACGTCCAGTTCTCAAGTGAAGAAATACACATCACATGAGCACACTAAATTGCCAATGTGGGGCCTCCCTGGTGGCGCAAGCGTTACAGACAGCGCTGCCAAGCTATCAGCAGCCACTGCACCACGAGTTCAATCCCCAGCCAGGGAGCTACCCACATGGCGCAGCAGACCTCTCCTGTCTCCCCACTGCTCCCCTCAGCAGTGGGTTTCAGTCAGTCTGCCTGTTCTGCTCCCCACTCTGTCTCTGGTGAGTCTTCTCACCCCCCCACCTCTGACCTGTACCCCAGTTCTTGTATGCATAAATAAACCTTTAAAAAAAATTAAAACAGGGGCCTCCTTGTGGCACAAGGGGTTAAGACGCAACCTATGAGGATGTCTGCAGCCTCTGCAGCACGAGTTGGGTCCCCCAGCCGGCCAGGGAGCTACCCACATGGCGCAGCAGACCTCTCCTGACTCCCCGCTGCTCCCCTCAGCAGTGGGTTTCAGAGGATCCACCTGTTCTGCTCCCCACTCTGACTCTAGTGTGTCCACTTCCCCTTCTCCCCCCACACCTCTGGCCTGGACCCTAGTTCTTATATAAATAAATAAACAAATCTAAAAAAATAAAAATGAAATGCCATGTGAATACTTCTCATTGCAAGCAAGCCTGATAGCACAACTCTCTTTCACTCCCTGAATACCCACGATGAGGGGAGGGCCTGAGGGCCCGATGTCTGGGTACTTGTGCTGAAACGCGGACAATCCCCAGTGAGGGCCACGGCTTCTAGTGTACATTTCACATCATTTCTACTCTTCGGCGAGCTTGAAATTTGTCTCTTTTTTTTAAAAGATTCATTTATTTATGCATACAAGAGCTGGGGTGCAGGCCAGAGGTACGGGGGGTGAGAGGATTCACCAGAGACAGAGTGGGGAGCAGAACAGGCAGATCCACTGAAATCCACTGCTGAGGGGAGCAGCGGGGAGGCAGGAGAGTCTGCTGCACCGTGTGGGTAGCTCCCTGGCCGGCAGGGGATGGAACTCATGCTGCGGAGGCTGTGGTTGCTTCACAGTGCTGTGCTTTACCCTTTGCGCCACCAGGGAGGTCCCAAGCTTGAAACTTGTCTTATAAAACTATAAAAAATACACTTACTAAGCAACGTGAAATTCACTCCATGAAATTTTTAGAAAGTAAATGAGAGATGAAGAAGATCTTATTGGACATGTTTGATAAATCTCAACAGTTACAGTGACCACACCAGGGTGAAAAGTGAGAAAATCAGCGTTTAAATGAATTAAGAGCGAGCCAAATAATTACTCATGCTTATATGTACTTGACACATTTAAAATAACTGATATTGATTCAATCCATCCAGAAGAAATAAAGTTACGTTCATAAAATGTAAGTCCATAAAAATATCTAGTTAAAAATTAAAGCTGTAAAAGTGCTGATAGAAAACTGTAAGAACTATGTATATGACAGGTGTAATGTTCATGCCAGGTGTCTGGTGAGCAAGAAAGGAAATGAGGTTTGCTATGAGGACATCAAATTTCCGTGTGTTGAAAAGAAAGCCGGAGTAAAACTTGAAAATCATTGAAAGAAAATCACATAGAACAGAGAAAATATTAATGTCCTTAACAAAAATACTGAATGCAAGTCGATTCCTAAAAAAGTGAGCACTTCCACGAAAAAGGAAGCAAAAGTTACGAAACGACACACACAGCGGAAAGAACAGCCCAGGCTGAGCAATGGGACAACGGCTTCCGCGCCGCCGCCGGGAGACACGGCACATTCCGAGAGAGAGGTTTTCGTCCGCCTGTTAGGAAGGATGTGGGTTTCTGGTTCTCTCAGACGGTGTAGCGCTCCCGGGACAACCCCACGCGCTACGTGCTTGAAGGACCAGCAGGCGCCGCCCCGTCAGCAGCATCCTCTGTCCCGTGGGATTCTAGAAAGGCCAGGCCGCCCGCAGACACGCGCGGCGTGGGGGTGCGCGGCTCTCGGAGAGGCGTGCGCCTGGCACCGTCACTCCTTCGTTTAAGGGAAAGAAGAGAAGACAGCGCAGGTGGGCGCGCGCGCGGGGGGCTCTGCGTGCGGAACGGGCCGCGCTGGGACCAAGAAATGAGCGTGACTCTCTGCCGCGTCCTCCCTGCGCTGTTGACAACATGCATCGCCTTTAAAATTACTGTCAAGGAGGCAACCGGACGCAGCCAACAGCACACACCACTGCCACACACACGTGCATCAGCACCAATACGTTCGCAATTACATTGTGCACTTTTCTTTTGTATGGTAATATTACTATTGTGATCATTTTGCTAAAAATGTGCAAGGATCCTCATACTCACTACACGCTTCCTATTTATAGTCACCCCCAAAGTACGCATACCCTGGGCTTCATCAAGTCGAAGGAGCATCACCCAGGGCGCGTCCGGCCTTGGAAGTGCTGCAAGCGAACAGGCCCCAGAGGTGACAGGACAAGAGCTGCACACAGGCCTGCTGGGCAGAGGTGTGAAGGCTGGAAGCCGCAGGCCTCCCTGGGGCTGGAGGGGTTGGTGGACCTTTGGCCCCCGACACCCACCGGGGTGTGTGCCGAGCCCCCAGGTGCAGTTGGTCCCCCAGACAGCATGAGTTTCAAGTACCATGAAATCTGCCCCTGTTAGAAGGTAAACTGAGTCAGGAGCAGCTGCTGTTTAATCAAAGGCACGGCCAGCACCCGTGGGCAGCCAGCACAGGGAGGCGGGCTTCTCTGGTGTTTGTGTTTGGGGGTAATGGAGCCAACTTCTAAGAACCTGGAAACAGAGACTGTTCCGAAGGAAACATTGGGGTTAGGACTTGCTGGAGTACAGAGGGGGCTGTGGAACTCCTGGACAGAGCGGGCAGGCCCAGGACAGACCCCCAGGGCTGCAGCAAAGGCTGCATTGGCCAGATGGGCTCGGTCACCCCTGAGAACAGCAAAAGCCAAGTCCCTGCAGCAAAAGCTGCTGGAACTGCCACTGCCGGGGTCTCAGGTGATGAGGGGAGGGGTGACCTTGCCGAGGGCTGGGTCCAGCTCACAGAGGGTGGCCAGGCCCTCCGTGCACGCGCCGCCTGAGAGCAACCTGAGTTCACGCGGCCAGACGCACATCCACAGCCCAGAGGCATCAGCCTGAGCCTGATGCCAGCAGCACAGGAAGTCATCGAGTCCTCCTCCTAGCGCCACACTCCGCCGGCTTCTGAAATGCCCTGACCCCACAGAACCACAACGCCGTGGCCCCTGAGGTGGCCATGAAGGGGTTCCAGGCTTACGCGTGGATCGTCTTGGCTTGCTTAGGAGCATTTATTCTGAAACAGAATCCATTTCAACTCCTTTTTAGTCTGTGAGGCCCACGACCAAGCCCGGGGCTGGGATCAGTTCAGGGAGTGCCTCTGGGAGACGACCTGCCTCTCAAAGCCCCAGGCCCGCGGGACCAGCGTAAACCCCGATTCGTGTCCTGATCACCCCCACCGGGCGCTGCCAGCAGCTCAGCCAGACCATGAGACAAATGAAAGCTCTTAACGTCTTTCACCTTTCTCCTTCCAAAGGGAAACACGTGTCCAATTACAGTCACTTTTGTGAAAAGATAAAATCATTCCGGAATCGCTTTCTGGGCGCCGAAGCTTGGGGGAGCGTCTTACCTGTGTGACTGGTTGTTGAGGTTCAGCGACCCGGCCTGGTACATCTCCTCCAGCTGCTTCCTGTTCCCGAAGTACAGCGCCAGGTCCGTGGCGATGATGGCTTTTCGGATGATCTCAAGCACCTGTTCGTACTCGCTGGAGCTCAGGGTGGAGAAGATGTTGTGTCCTTCCAGCTGGGAGAAAGCACAGACACCGCGGCTGACAGCGCAGCTCCTGCTCAGGCGTCGTCAGTTACCACCCCAGGGAGTCGGTCCCTGGCTTTGGGGCCCGGGGCAGGTTTGGCAAAACCAAGGAGTGGCTGCAGGGGACTCACGAAACGGGCTCCTGAGTTCTCCTTGAGCTACGAGTGACCCCTCAAACTGCTTCAGCTACAGTAACATCCTCGCTACAGACCCCCAGTGGAGGGTCTCCCCGGGGGCGCAGGGGTTCAGCGCTGTGAAGCTGTCCACAGCCTCTGTAGCACCGGTTTGATCCCGGCCAGCAGGCGAGAATCCCACATGGCGCAGCAGACCCCTCCTGTCTCCCCGCTGCTCCCCTCGGCAGTGGATCTCAGTCAGCCTGCCTGTTCTGTTCCCTGCTCTGTCTCTGGTGAATCCTCTCACCCCCCACACCTCTGGCCTGTACCCTGGCTCTTGTACGCAAAAATAAATAAATCTTTGAAAAAACACCCAGTGGTATAAACAAATACTCCCCGGCTTCAAGATATTTCCAGCGAGAAATTAAAGGACTGTAACGTGTAAAACCTTTAAATAAAAAACGTTTTCTCTTAAACTAGTTAAAATTCCGGTAACTTTTATATCATCCTGGACTTTCACGGGCTTGACACACCCACACCACGGGCCTGTGGCGTCAGCAGTCGGAGGAGTCAGGACCCGCTTTCTTCTGAACCCTAGAAGACAAAGCCCCACGATCGCAAACAAAGGTCGCTCAGGCGAGGCGAGACCGCCGCGGGCAAGCACTCGCCCACAGGTCTCAGGCGGGAAGCCGGGCCGCCCTCTCGCCGCTGCGGGCTGTGGGGCAGGCGGGTGAGGCCGACCCAACACAGAGTCCACCTTCCACGGCCCAGAACCGGCTCCCATACCTGCATCTTTTCAAAGACTTTTAAAAAATTCTTCCCCTGAGGCTCTGAAGTTCTTACTGACTGAGGGAAACGGCTGTGCTTGCTCAGAGGAGAACGGCTGGGGCGGCTCAGACAACACCACCGTGGGCTCCCCGCAGCGGTGCCAGCGGCAGCCAAGTCCTCTGGGGTGACTCTGACGTCCTCCCTGGGCCTCGCGCACCACGGGCCGTCAGCAGGGTGGGGAAGGGTCTGCACAGAGGGGCCTCCCCGTCCCGCCGCTGCGACACAGCGAGAGACCCGCCCGTCGCGTCACTCACTCCCGCCTCTGCAGACTCTGAGACGACCCCGACGACACCGCAAAGGGGCAAGTTCTCACTGGTCATTCTTGGGGCAGAGGCGGGGAGGCCTGAGCTTGCAGGAAGCGCTAGAGATATAAAGCTCATTCAAACACGTGACTCCACCGTCAACGATAAATGTAAGCCTTCGACGTCTCTGAAGCGCAGCGCTTGCTCAGACAACAGCGAGGCTGTCCTGCGGCTGAGGGCGCTGAGTGCTCAGGGCCAGCGGGCCCTGGAGTGGTTCTTAGCAGAGCCATCTCGTGGGGAGCAGCTTCCCGAAGACAAGGCCAGAGAGGTGGACGCGCCAGCCAGAGGTGGACACGACAGCCAGAGAGGTGGACGCGACAAGACAGACTTTTGTGCAACACAAGGCAGGACTCGGGGCTGGGAGAGACCAGGCACAGCAGGGCTGTCCAGCCCAGGGCAGTGGAGGCAGGGAGGACAAGGCGGGATTCAAGGCCCGTCCAGCCTCAGTACCAGTTTTGCGGCGGAAAGTTATCAGAAGAAAATCTCTCTGACCCCTGCCCTGGCAAGAGGTTCGCCTTGCTTTGATCGTAGCTGGGCCACAGCAGCTGAGACACCCGAGTTCCCACCTCAGCTTGGTCCCGGCTGGAGCCCGCTTGGGCTCCTGGTGCTCACGCCTGCCCCCGCAGGCTGCCGGGGGAGCCACCGTGGCAGGTACGGGCCGCTCCGCTGCTGCTTATGTTCTGAAAACAGATGTGAAGCAGGCTCCTGGGCTGGCTCTCAGGTGCCACCGGGCCACGGCGGGCACGCAGCGGTGCAGCTGCGGGCTGAGGGTGTGTCCTCACAGCCTCGCCAAGACACACCAAGGCCGGCGGCAGCTCCTGGTACTGCCCCGCCGGCGTGGATGCGTTATCTCCTTCATCTTCCTTCTATATCAGGGTAACTCGCTGGGGAGGAGGCCCAGCAGGACGGCTGGACCAGCGCCGTGACCTGCCTCCCTCGGGCGTTACGAGTCAGGGGCGAGGAAGACGCGGCCGCCACACCGGCCCCTCCCCAGAGACCTTGGAGGTGCTGCGGCAGCTCATCCCCCGACAGCCAGGGAGCGAGGGGCAGCACCAGCTGGTGGCCAGAGTCTACTGTCTTCAAGGCTCCGCGTCCCACCAGCCAACTCAGACTCTGCAGAGCCACACGCCGCCCCCACCCGAGAGGTCACCACAGCTGACGTCGGCCAGGCCACCGCGTCACCACGTCCGAGGCTGACACGGCCTCAGGCAGAGGATCCCACTGCGTTCCCAAACAGGCCAGCATTTGATGTCCAGGAACGTCCCCCGCAAGGTGACCCGCACATCCTGTGACAGTCGGATGGCCATAGGGCAGCAGGGGCCTGCGGAAGCGGCTGAGCCCAGGGCCTCCCAGGCCCCACGGAGGAGACGTGCATTTGGATGAAGAAGGCCAGCAGCCCCGCGGCACAGGCACTCAGGGCGGCGGCCCAGCGGGGGTCACTGTGTGTTTAGTCGCCTGCCGCGTCCGAGGAACCTCTGGAGGCCAGTGGCCCTGCCGCTTCGCCCCGGCCCACGCCGACCAGCTGTGACTGCAAGCGGGTTAGCCTCAGACCAAGTCACTGGTTCGTAACACGGAAATGACCGCGGGCACCGGCTCCGAGGAGACCAGAAACTCAAGTGCAGCATCTCGTGTGTGTGTGCACAGGTGTCTACGCTCATATACATGTGTGTGCACACGTGTGTCTATGTGCACTCACACATGCAAACACGCCTTTCATTCTGCTTAAACCCCTGGGTGTGAATGAGTCCCTCCACCTACCCTCATACACACACACCCCCACACCACACGTACACATGCACATACATACACCACACACACATAACACACACATACATGCACACGCACACGCACATGCACTGCTTGGAGAGCCAAGGGCTGGGCGCGCCCACTGCTCAGTGCTCTCGGAGGGGCGCAGTCCGGAGCCTCTTCACGCTGGCCAGGAGTGAAACGCCTGAGGCGCCCCCGAGGGCCTCGCTGGGACCCAGCACCGACTCGGGACCGGATGGCAAGCAAGTCCTTCTTGGGTCTGAGCAAGGGGACCGACCAGGACGGGGGCCTGGGCGGTGGCCCCGACGCTGGACAGTGAGGAGTCAGGAGAGGTCAGGAGCTGAGGCAGGAGGGCTTGGGCACAGAGAACTGCCCGGCAGAGCCGCCCCACCTGCCACAGCCGCCGGTCAGCTCCGGCCACCACCGGCCACCACAGTAGGGGCCATGGGGTGAAGCCTGCAAGAGCAGTGACAGGGCAGGAAAACTGGAGGCCGTGCAGCCAGCGCAGGCTGTGCCTTTGGAGCTGGCCTGAGGGTCCAAAGCCAGCTGTGGCCACTGCGGGCTGTCCAGGATGGGGTGTGGGGAGGGGGCAGGCACCTCCCTGGGGAGGGGCGTGTGGCCTCTACGCTCACCAGGCTCCTTGGGCATCGCAGGGCCAGTGCCTGGGGACCGCATGGCTCAGAATGCGACAATCACGGGGACAGGGCCAAAGCCACAGGGCCACGGCGTCACCGGGAATCGCCCACCAAGGGGGAACCTGCTGGGGGCGTCACGGACTGGAAACCAAGCGTGACTGCCCAGTCCACAGACTCAAAGTCCTCGCGGGGTTCTTGGGGCCCAAAGGCCCAACCATCTGAGGACGATGAGACACACAAGGCCCCGTGGCCAGAGCCACAGCTCTGCAGGGGGCACAGCCGCGGGCACCTAACCTGGGGAAGGGGCCGGGGCCGGGTCTCACCTGGAGGATGGACACCGTCTGGGAGAAGTGGTGCTGCTCCATGGTGGAGGTGGAGTACAGCGCGGCCAGCGGGTGGTCGAACTTCTGCAGGTAGCTGTTGCTGAAGCCGCGGTGGTCCAGGTCGTGGCACAGGCAGGCGATCAGCAGGCCCTTGCGCTGGAAGAAGCAACGTGGCATGGAGAGGTCAACATCGGACGCCACACTCTGGCCACGCTGGCCGCGTGCCACCCCCGCCACAGCTCTGAGTCCTGCTCGTCAAACTTTTTTAAGCCCTTGACTGCCAAGTTATCCTACGTCAGAGGAGCACTCTGGCCCCATCTGCGCGCTGAAGAGACCCAGGGGCCTGGCCTGAGTGTCCCAGCGTGCAGGGGCGGCTGGGGAGGAACAGGGGCGTACAAAGGGCGGGGGTTCTGCTGGGCGGGGACCCCGGCCCTGGCGGAGATGCCGGCAGCAGCTACACTGACCTGCTACGGCTTCCGTGCTACGTGGCGATCACGACTGTCCTGCCCCAGCCCCGGAACCCGCCTGGCACCTTCGGCCGTTCCTTGCAAGGCTGTGGCCAGGCTCAGCTCTCACAGGCCCACTTAGCCCGCCCTGGCTGGCTGGCATTTGCGCGTGAGACGACGGATAGAGATGGAGTTTTATCGGGAAACCGTTATGTGAAATCCTCTCTCTCTCTCTCTCTCTCTCTCTCTCTCTCTCTCTCTCTCTCTCTGCACATTGATTCTATTAAAAATCTGAAGCGAAGCTTCCTCTGCCTCTGTGTGCGCGGAGGACAGCTCCTTTCAGAACGTGCAGCCCTTAACAGTCTGGGGCCCCTGGTTAGGCCTCGGTCACAAGCTTAATCTTCCTGCTTAATTCTGGGGAGAAGGGCAGGCGCTATGACACTGAAGCAGACTGAGAGCAACCTGTCTGGAGAAGCACAGACAGAGCCGTCCACCCAAGAGGACGGCTTCAGTCCATCACTAAACACCCGCTCAGGGCCGAGGGCCGGCGACGCTGCTGTTAACGGGAACGACACAGGGAGTGCCCCGCACAGCCGCGGTGGGCGGCAGGCTGCACAGGACAAGGGACAAGAAGGAACAGGCCGAAGGGGGTTCCAGGGGCAGGGGCAGTGGATGAAGCGGCTGGGGTGGCCCCAGGAAAGCCCCAGGAAGGACAACGCAAGAAGGGACTGGGGACGACGACGCGGGGAGGGCGGCTGCAGGCGAGTCTCCCACGGCCAGCGGCCAGAGCGGCCAGAGCGGCAGGGCCGGGGGTAGGAGGCCGCGAGAGAGCAGGGGTCGGGGCCTGCTCGGTGCCTCAGGGGTGACGTCTCAACACTGTGGAGCTGTCCGCAGCCTCCGCAGCACGAGTTCCATCCCCGGCCGGCCAGGGAGCTGCCCACAGGGCGCAGCAGACCTCTCCTGTCTCCCCCTGCTCCCCTCAGCAGTGGGTTTCAGTCCTTCTGCCTGTTCTGCTCCCTGCTCTGTCTCTAGGGAGTCCTCTCACCCCCACACCTCTGGCCTGCACCCCAGCTCTTGCGTGCATACATAAATAAATCTTTAAAAAAGAGAGAACAGGGGCCGTGAGAGGCTGCACCACACGGTGTGAGCAGCCCGTCAGCCTCGGGGCCCTGGTGACAGGGGCCGCGCAGCTGTCCTGAGACTCCAGCAGGGCGAGCAGGGCCAGTGCGGCCTCCCGGTGAGCCAGGCCACCAGAGGGGACGCCGGCCAGGATGACAGCAGGGAGGCCGGGAGGCGCGCCTGACCTCGGGGGTCTGCAGGCAGAGTCAGGGGGTGTCAGGGCGTGAGAGGAGCAGAGGGGAGGACGGGGTGAGGGCAGGGGAGTGGGGAGCATGGCTTCTCCCGTGGCTCTTGGCCTCAGACACTGAGGCTGTTGGCCACGGAGACGGGGAACCGCAGGGGGCGCGGCTGCAGGAGGGGGCGGAGCTGATGGGGGCGAGGGAGGAGCTGATGGTCGGGAGAGCTCGGGGCGGCTGCTATCTAAATCGGCTTCAGGAAGCCAACGGCCAGTGTGCGCAGGGCGCCAAGGGCCAGCGGGGGCACCAGGATGTCCTCTGGGGACAAGGCTCAGCTGAACCCTGGGTTTCCGACTTTAGGAAGCCAGAGTGGGGGAGAAGGGTCCAAACACCACAGCCGAGCTGAGGCGGAGCAGAGGGCGGGGCCGGCCCAGAGCCGGGCCAGGATGAGGGAAGAGAGACAGTGACTCCGAGGAAGCACCAAGGCGGGCCCTCGGGCTGGGGGGCGCAGTGTCCAGACGGGGGCCCAGGACAGGGCATCTCCCGGGTGGGGTGCAGGGAGACAACTGGTCAGAGCTGGTCTCAGAGGAAACGGGGTGGGGGGGAGCCGGCTGGAGAGCAGGGCTTGGCGGGTTTGCGGCACAGACCTAGGAAGCGAGGAGGGCGGCCGGCGGAGGCCCAGGGACGCCAGGAGAGGGCCGCGGTGGGGGGGGCGGGCGCACCTCCAGGTCGGTGAAGAGCCCGTGGTTGTTCTGCAGGATGGCGTACATGCAGTGGGCCACCGTCACCGCGTGCTTCCAGTTGTGGTACGGGACCCGCCGGTAGTTCTTCTTCACTGACATGATGAACCGGCACAGCTTCTCCAGCTCGAAGCTGAAAGGAAGAGAAAACGGTGTGGCGGCAGCCTCCTGGGTGAGACACACGTCGCAGCCGGCACCCCGGCCTCTGGGAGCACAACCGCACGGAAGCACCGGCTGAGGGAAGCAGGCACGTCTGCGCGCGCTGCAGCACGCTCGCCGGAGCCAGGCTGTGCTAACGGCCTACGTGCCCAGGGACAGAGGATGGAGATGTGTGTGGTCTCAGTGGAATACTATGCATCTATGAAAAGGGTGAGTGCTTGCCATTTGCGACAACATGGATGGATGGTGCTATGTAAAATAAGTCAGAAAGAGAAAGAAATGCCAGATGGTTCACTCCTAGGTGGGATATAAACAAAGGAACAAGGAAAACTAAACCAAAACAAACCCTGCAATCTGCCTGCAGAACTGAGGCTCCAGAGAGGGAGGGCGGGAGTGCAGAGCACAAAGGGAAGGGGCCCCATGGACTGGGGCGAGAATTCGGGGTGCCTTGGTGGTAGGTTTGGTGTGAAACACACATCTGAAGGGGTGTGAACTGCCCCCCAAATTGCACTCAGTGCTGTGAACCAACATTACCTCAGTAAAACGAAAATACAAAAGAGAACAGCAAGCAAAGACATCCCAGATGGAACCGGAAACTCTGGAGTCCATCCCCTCCAGGCACCCAGAGGAAGACCCGTCAGGAGGGTCCTCACCGCGACCTCAGCGAACCAGACCCCCGCGCTGGGGCCTCCTTCACCCGGTCCCCGCGCCCCTCGAGGCATCACCCTGCTCAAGGCTGCTTTGAGCAGATTTCCCCACAAGGCACATTCAGGTTCTCGAACTGCAACACCCCGCCGGGGCGCCGCAGAGGAGCCACCGGCCACGTTATCACAGTTCACGCGAGTGCCAGGTGGCAAGTGGCCGTCTCCAAATCCCCGCAGAGCACTGCCGGGCGCGCAGCTGTCCCGGGCTCCTGTCACAGTGCAGCGTGAGCCGCACTGACCCTGCAGGGCCCTGCTACCTCCAGGGGTGCAGGGCGCCCAATGCAGAGGTGCCTCCACCCCAAACAGGCTCAACCACCAGGGACGAGACCCACCAGACACTGAAAGCAAACGCGTGTGTCCTCATATCCACAGGGACAGAGACACATCCCCACGCTGTCCTCGCTGAGGTTGCTCGCTACCCTTGAAATGCAGCGGCGCCATTTTAAAACTTCCAACCCGTCCCTCATCTAGGAAACAGCGAACACCCAGTGCCTTTAAATCAGGGCTCCCTCTGCTCCCTGACAGCGCGGCAGACAGGGCTCAAGGGGAGGAGCGATCAGTGAGCGCCAGAGAGACTGAGGACGCCTGTAAGGAGAAAACGAGAAAAGGGGAATGAAGCAAGCCCTGGCACCGCAGCTTCAGAGCAGACACAGGTCTGGGAAGGCGCTTCGGGGAAGCAGCCAGGAGGGGCCCGAGGAGAAGCCCGTCGGGAGACTCCGACCTCTTCTGCAACACGGCGGCACTGCACGGAGCGTGCACCCCTTCACAGAGGCGCGGCCACCCCCAGCCCAGCCCGGCCTCCGCGCAGGCCAGCCCAGCACCCGCAGGCCACCGGCCCGAGGGGACGGGACGGGAGAAGGCAGCCTTGGCCTGCAGCCGGGCCCCTTTTGCTTGAACATTTAGAAGAAACAGCTTGTCGCAGACGTGACGTCTGAAGGCGAGTCTGGCGGAGGGTGGCGGGCAGGGGGTGGGGGTTCCCACCCCCAGTTTACGGGCGGCTCGGGCGCCTACCAGGACGTGCCGCACGACCGGTGGATCATGTAGACAAAGATCCCGGGCCACATGTTCTCAAAGGGGCCGATGTCGAAGTGGAACCTGAAATGGACGGAAGGCAGTGGTCACCAGGCAGTCACCGGGAAGGTACCCGGGCAGGTGGCAGAGCTCGCTGAGCCACGGCTGGGCGGGCTGGACACCGAGCCAGCCAGCTCTCCCCGCCCCTTCCCTCACTGCTGGATTTAAAGACCTCCAAGCACGAACCCCACACAGCCTGGGGGAGCCGTCAACAGCCAAGCCCCGCGGGGGGCTGGAAGAGAGGCGGACACTCAGGGTCCAGCACAGCCCTGCACTGACCATCTCCAGGCCAGCGCCCGCCCAAGGCAGCACCCACCCACCCAGGTCAGCACCCACCAGGACAGCACCCACCCACCCAGGACAGCACCCACCCGGGACAGCACCCACCCACCCGGGACAGCACCCACCTGGGACAGCACCCGCCTGGGACAGCACCCACCCGGGACAGCACCCACCCGGGACAGCACCCACCAGGACAGCACCCGCCCACCCAGGACAGCACCCTCCTACACAGGACAGCACCTGCCCAGGACAGCACCCTCCCAGGACAGCACCTACCCGGGACAGCACCCGCCCAGGGCAGCACCCACCCAGGGCGGCACCCACCCACCCAGGACAGCACCCAGGAGCTGCACGTGCAGGGCCGGCAGGGCCAGAGGGTGGGGCCCACTGCGCCCTCCTGGGTGCTGGGCTGGGGCTGCTGTGCGGGCATCTCTGGCAGGCAGGGGTGGGGTCACCGGTGTTGGCGATTAGCTCACCCCAGCCCCCTCCGCTCTGGGTGAGGCCAAGAATTCCAAGCCTCAGTCACTTGATGGCTCTCCTGGAACACCCCTCGGCCCCAGGGATAGTCCAGGAGCCGAACGAGGTCTGGCCGGGCATCAGACCCCTCTGGCGCGTGACCCAGGGCACCGCAGGAGCTGGGCAGGCCGGCCAGGCCCAAGGCTCTTCCTCCACGTCCACGTCCCCCCGCACGCGCCGGCACAGGCCAGTCGGCGGCAACCTGCCGGAGTTTATCTGAGCAAAACTGCCTTGAGCCGGGCAGAGCTAAACTGGACGTGGCCAGGAGCCCCTGCCCGGGAGAGACTGCCGTGGAGAGGGGCTGGCCAGGAACGGGGGGCCCTCAGAAAAGCCGGGCTGGGACCTGCCGGGGTCCGCACCAAGGCCGGCGCGCCCTCAGGTGAGGCCAGGCCCCCGGCGCTGCTGCCCAACGGCGAGACAGCGCGGCTCCCGGGAGGCATCCCCGCGCTGGCCCGAGGCCACCGGTCAGGCTGACCCGTCCGCACAGGCAGACGCCCAGGGAGGGGAGACGGTGACTGGACCCTCCACTCACTTAGAAAATTTAAGTTGCCGTGGAAAGACCCTCTGCTGCTGACGCAGACGCCCCGTGAAGATCAGAGATGAGACGGCACAGAGGGCGCAGGGGGAGGTGAGGAAGGCGCGCGTCGGGGCGGCGCAGCCCAGAGCAGGATCCGCCTTTTGCTTTCAGAGATCTTAGTCCCTCGTTCCCGAGTTCTCTGGGGAGACGCGCGTCGCCTGGGGAGGCGGCTCTGGCCCGGGGGCCGCAGGGCCGAGGCCCCGTCATACTCACAGCTCGATCTCCTTGCAGAGGCGCACGGGCAGGCTGAAGTGCATGAGGCCCTGCCACTCCTCGGAGGTGCAGATGCTGTGGTAGGACAGCTTCTCCATGGTCACCCGGTAGATGCACTCCGAGTGGCGGATCCTGTGGTACATCTGCGCAAGGACACGGCGGCGTTAAAGCGGCGGCGGCCTCCGGTCAGAACGTGGCTCCGGAGCCACCACGTTGGCCACGACCCAGGACCTTCCCGCACACCCCGGAGAGGCCCGCGCAGGTGACCGCGCTGAGGGATTCCTCGCTCCTCTGGCCGACGCAGCGACGCCCCCCTTCCCCAGTGTCATCCCGGAGCTAGGGGTCCCCACGAGGGGCGCCTCGCCGGGGCTGTTCTCAGACTCGCGGCCCCCAGCGCCGGGAGGAACGAAGGCCACCGTTCCTCAGCCACGCGGCCCGGGGTTCTGTTATGGGGCCCAAATGGACTAAGACTCGCCGAGACTTAAGACGCTCTCTCCGTAAAATCGCGCTGGAGGCGCTTCCCCACCACCTGCACCCCGTCGTGAGGCAGCCGATGTGCCTCGGATGTTCAGTAACGTGAGAAAGACATTTAAAAACTCTCAAGTGGAAAGCACACATTTTTAAATGCTTCCATTTACTTACTGAGCTAGCGTTTTTGTTGTCCCCAAACAATAATAAAGTTTACGGCGAGAACCTCGTTAAACGTGTGTCCCGGTGGTGAGGCTGCGACACGCGGTCAGGGGGCGGCACTCGGCCTGGTTCTGCTTCCTGCACTCCCACGCTCCGTGCCCAGCTACCGTGTTTGAGAAAGACACGCCAAAAAGCATGTGGCTCCCGGAGGAGTAACAGTAGTGTTGTCTGTCGGGAAACATCACACCCTGAAGAGTTTTGTTCTATAAACACTAATATTTGGGCTGAAATTCAGATAACTCCGCCCCTTTCCTCGCCTCGGTCAGTTCGACCTGCAAACGACTCAGTCGCATCTTTATAGACAATCAGCAGGCTCCAAACCACAGAGCTCAACGAGGGTCCTCGCGGAGAAGAAGGCAACCCGTTAAAAGCTACGCCATAAGGTGAAATCGTGAAAACCTGAAGGATTTTCAGAATGGAAGATGCCGGGAACAAAGAACAGAGGGAACGAACAGAAAACGAGTAACAAGATGGGTGTTCTCACCGCGGCACCCTGGCCAGGGGCTACGTCTCCCTGGAAAGGCAGAGGCAGAGGGGAGACAAGAACAAGGCCCCGCGGAGACCGTCTGCAGAACCCACTTCAGACACGTCGACACCAACAGGGCAAGAGGGAAGGCCGGGAAACGTGCCACTGGACGCCAGCCGCGAGGCGCTCGAGGGCCGGCTCAACCTCAGACAGAGCAGGTTTTAGAGCAAAGCCCAGGGGTCCGCGCGTCCAGAGGACGGTGGCGCTCCTCAAGGGCAGTGCCTGTCCACTCGGGCGGCAGGACAGAGAGGACAGTCTGGGCTGGAACTGGATGTCCACGTGAGCTGCAACGGCCCCTCTTGCACCATCAACACTCATCTATTCAAAATAGCCCACAGGCCTGCACGTAGGGCTGTGAGAACTTCTAAACAAAACCATACAAGAAGATGTCAGCTCGCTCCGGTAAAGGCCGACAGCACGGACGGGCGCACTGGCGGGCCGGGCTGCCTCCACATGGACAGATGTTCTCAGAGGCGGGGCGAGTGCAGGACAAGCCGGACACCGCAGAAAGCATGTGCGAGTGACCGGCCGAGAAGGCAGCAGCACCAGAACCCACTGATCGCAAGGATGGGCCAGCGCCCTGAGGACACACTTAACCTGGAAGGCAGGGAGACTGCGGAGGCAGAGGACGGACACACACCGAGGCGGGATGTGAAAGGGCAGGACACTTGGCAAAATGGTCTGGCGGTTCCGGAAAAGGCCAAGCACCCCCCACCCAAAAGCTGCCCAGCCACACCTCGGCGCTCGCGCCAGGGACTGCACACACACCGCGCGTGCGTCCACGGCAGCTTCGTCAGTGGCGGCCAAAACCCAGAAATAACTTGAATGCCACCAAGAGGTGACAGAAGCGTTTCAGGGACACCCACACGATGGAGTACTACTCAGTACTGAAAAGGAACAAACTATCACCCACGTGGCTCCACGGATGAGATGCGACATAATTAACTATGCTGGAAAGAACAAAGACCAAGAGGGATCCAGACTGTGAGAGTCCATTTACGGAAAGCGATTCTAGAAAACACACAGTCATGTATCGAGACACAGGACAGCCATCGGCGGTTATCTCAACTGGCTTGGGGGAGGTGAAGATGGGCAGGGTGGGGGGCGACAGACAGGCACACAGGCCTGGGAGGGAGGGGCCTCGTGAGGGCCGGAGCCATCATCTCTCTTGTTCTTGGTGGTTGTCATGGGGAGGGGGTTAAGGACGCCCGTCGAGCTGCACGCTCTCAACAGCTGCCCCTGACTGCACATTCGCAAACCTCAGCAAAGCTGTTTAAGAAAACGCCCCTAGTCTTGTTAAAGCCGGCCTAGGTGACACACATTTCAGCAAAAGTCACATGCAGTGAAGACACGTAGTCGCCTGCAAACGTCTGTCTTCAAAGTGTTCTCTTCTTAGCCTGAATTTATTTGGAAAGGCAGTTACTGTCTCATACGGGAGTCTCACCACTCACGATTTGACCGCTCAGATCACATGTTATTCGCGTGTATCTCCTCAGTAACAAAACACTGTCACTTGTCGTGGGATGAGGTCAGCCGGGTGGAGAACTCACCCTTCTGTGAAAGACGCGCGTGCGCACAGTCTGTGGGGCCCGGTCCCTCCAGCCAGGACCAGGCGGCAGCCCCCGAGGAGGGGGTGGAACTGGAGTCGTTCTGGGCAGCTGACGATGACCCCTCCTGATGGGGACGGGGCCCAGGCTGGGCCAGACCTGCCAGGGCGGCCACACCCACGCCTGCTCGCAGCTGCAGGGGCTCCCGGGACACCCCATCCGGCCAGGGCCCGCCCCAGACGCACGCAGGTGTTCACCATCAAGGAAATGTCGTTTCTTGAATATTACTCATCTAGCAGCACCTCTGGAGAGAAGTCCCCCACTCCCTGGTCCTCAGGGCAAGGCCATTTGATGCCCCCACCCCTGCCCTCGGCTGCAGGGGCTGTGGAGGGGCGGCTGGCAACTGTGGCGGGTGGGCGCCGCCCGGGGGTTACCCCAGTTCTGTTAGCTCTGCGGGGAAGCTGCTGGAGGGGTGTGAGGGCGTGGGGTGAGCGCTGCTGTTTTACTCAAGAATCCCCCTGGGCCCTGTGGCAGACACGATGTCAGACTAGTTCACCCAATTCCCACAAGAATTCCGCAAGGCACTTTTTCCTTTATCGTCATTTTCACAATCACTTTCAAATGATCCTTCTCACCATTCCACATCAGTGAGAGCTAATGACTCCCACGTAGAAGGAATTTAATTTTTAAATAACATTTTCTCTATAAATTCAAATATAAACCCACTTATGTGTTTGTAAATATATAAAGTTTTGAACCTGAATATATTTTGTTTCGTAGTCAGTATATATATGCAACTCGTGCATTTTAACCTTTTGGCAGAAATAAAAACTTTTGGCAAATTCCATGCACATCTTACTCCCCAGGCCCCAAAAACCTTCACTGTGGTGACTAAACGGCCACCGAGAGCAGGTGACCAGCAGGTGGCCTTGGCCCTTGGTCCCACTCAAAGTGACAGCGCAGGCAGAAGCCGGGTCGTCTTTTTAAGCTGATCTTTGGCGACGGCGGTCAGCGGCCGCTGGGCTCCCGGGCCAGAGGAGGAGCGGGAAGGGCGGCCACTGCCAGCCGCAGACGCCGGGGTGGGGCGCCAGGAGGCAGGCCCCGGACGAGCTGAGGAGCCCCCGGGGCCGCAAAGCGGCCCCCCGCGGTCAGGAAGGTGCCCGAGGACGCTCGGCGAGTGCCGCTCTGGGGTCTGTCCCTGGCCGCATCGCCGTCACCCTCACTGCACGGAGCCGGGCGCGTCAGGGCCCCGGGGCGGCGCTGGGGACAGCCCCCCGAGAGCAGACTCCGGCCTGCTGGGGGCTGCTCTCTGACCCCGAGCGCGCACCAGGGAGGCCTGGGCGCCCATGGGGGTGTGGCGTGACCGCGCAGACTGCAGCCCCGAGGGCAGGGACGGCGCCGGGTTCCGTGCACGTGGGAAGGGGGGCACGCATGCATGGTGGGGGCCGTGCACCGGGCGCCGGCGGCCGTGACCCCGCTCCCCGGGTGGCTGCAGGGAGCTGCTCTCCACGCGCGCGTCCTGGCGGGTCCTGCTGAGCTGCTCTTGGTGACAAGCACCAGGGACGCACCCACTGCCCGGTGAGCCCTGGGAGCGCTGCGCAGGGTGGGGAGCGTTGACCCTGAACTTCGAAATCCCATGGACGTCCCTCAAGGGCCACGACCGTTTGTGGAGGACTAAACGCTCCACTCACTTAAAATATCACACCAGGAAAGGGACAAGCTCAAGCATTTTAAAGTGCGATTTCATGAAATAAAGGGACCCTCCTCCTCTTGTCAGGGCCCAGGGCAGGACCGAGGCGAGGGTGAAGGCGCCCAGGGGTGCACGCAGCCCCCTGCTCTTCCGCAGACGCTGAGGCTGCGGGCGGCGGGCGCCACGGCTGAGCCTCTGCCTGTCTCGTCTGGGGCCGCGAGCGCAGCCTGGCACGGCCCGGCCCACCTCACCGCCCCCGTGCCAAAGAGGACTCCGGCTCTGGGGCTCTTGGTCTCTCTCACAAACGCGCCCCTTGGACAAAATGCAAACTATTATTACCTCGTTCTTTCCCAGGGGCGTCTTAGCGTTTGTGCACGCCGGGAGCGGCCCCTTCTGGCGGGGAAGGACGTCTCCAGGGAGAGCGGAGCAGCCCGCAGCCGCGCCGAAGGGGCCCTGGATAGGCCGGCGGCAGGGGAGGAGGGCGCGGGCGTCACTTACGTTGGCGCAGTGCAGGGCCAGGGCGCAGAACACGGCAAACATCTTGAAGTTGTTCTCGTCCGTCTTGGAGAAGGCGCTGCCGCTCAGCTTGTTGACCATCTGCACCACGCCGATGACGCTGCCGCGGCTCACGATGGGCATGCACAGGATGTTTCTGGTGGTGTAGCCCGTGTACAGGTCCACCTCTCTGGCCAGCGCGGCCGGCGGCGGCAGGAGGACAGACAGGAGCAAGTGAGCCCCAGGCCGGCCTGTGGCGCCAGCCTGAGCGCGAGCGCCCGCCCGCCCGCCCCCCCCCCGGGGCCAGGGGCTGATCAGGGAGCTCTCGGGAGTCCCGCGGGGGCCGCGCCATGGGAGGGAACCAGCATCACCAAGTAGCCAGACAAGATGTTGGTTCAGAGGAAAATTACGAGAAATTTGGTAAAACGAGACGTTCCTGCCAACTGGGCCGTGCCGACGCGCCAGGAACTCGCTCAACAAACAGAAACGGCAGCGGCCGCCTCAGGAACGCAGAGCAGGGTGAGACGCTGCGCCACGCCTCTCCTGAGTATTTCCAGTGCACAGGCTTCTTGTGCCTGGTTTCCAGCACCCTCCTCGGAAACTGATTGTGCCTTCATGACGTTAATAGCAATTTGGTTATACTGCAGTCAATCAAGTTTTCTATTGCATATTCGGAACCTTTCCTCCTAAACAGATCTCAACTTAGGGCATTTGGGGCCGGCCAGGGGGCTGCCCACAGGGCGCAGCAGACCCCTCCTGTCTCCTGGCTGCTCCCCTCAGTGGTGGATTTCAGTGGATCCGCCTGTTCTGCTCCCTGCTCTGTCTCTGGGGAGTCCTCTCACCCCCACACCTCTGGCCTGCACCCTAGTTCGTGTATGCTTAAATAAATAAGTCTTTAAAAAAAATAAAAAACTAAAAATAAAACTTTTTAAAACTGTCTCCATTTATAACGGCGGGAGCGTTGCACCCTAAGACGGAGTCCGCTGTGATGGACACAGCCGCCCGCCCCTCCCTGGGCCGCCTCGCCGACAGCGGAGCTGAGCGCTCACAACAGGCTATGGCTCCGACGCCAAAGCCCTCCCTCCCCTTCACAGGGCAGGTGCGTGACCGCGCTCGGAGGGCCCTTCCTGTGACCGGGTCTCAGCGCCACCGCCGTGAGCGCCACTCGAGGGAGGGGGGGCCGGCTTCCCGGGGCGTCCCCCTCAGCAGGCGGCCGAGTTGGGCTCTAAGTGCGGACCCCACTCCCGCTCAGGCACAGGGCGCTTTACCGACAGCCAGCGTGGGAGAGACGTGAGTAAGGCGCCTTGGAGGACCGCGCAGCCGCCTGTGCGCAGAGGTGCCCGCTTTTCTTGGACGGACACTCAGCCCGGGCTGACGGCCCAGCCAGGGCCTGCAACCTTCACAAGGCACAAAACCGCTTTCAACGTGGCCGGACAATTCTCCATTCCCAGCTGCAACGCAGAGGGGCCGTCCTGCCAGCCCTCCCGCGCCAGCTTCTACGGTTCTCGCCGTTCAAGTTGGTGAGAGGCGGGATCTTACTGTCAGCTAAAGTCAAGGCCTCCCTTCACTTGTCCTTCCTACTGCCAGGACACCTTCGCGTGTGACGCGTCTGTTAACATCCTGTGCCCTTTCTATTAAATTGGTTACCACTCTGTTGGAAGGCTTGTTTGTGTGTCCCAGAAAGCTGCACTTTGTCAGGTATATTTTGCAAAACGTTTCACTTTAATAATTGATTCAAAATTTTTATATAAAGATTTTAGATAAGAATATATATACACACACATATATATATTTCAGCTCTAAATAATCGCAAGTTGGCTTTTTGGAACAAACAAATTTCATTCTATTCCTAATGTATGGAGAGGGTCTCACAAGGCTGCAGGTGTGCTGACGCACCTGTTGCCTGTGACAGGGGAACCCCTCAGAGACCTGGAGAGCCCCTCCTACTGCTTCTGTCATCTGTGCCTTCCAGTCAGTCAGGCACTTGCACTGGTTGGACGCTGCTGTCAACACATATAAACTCGCACTCCCTAGCAAAGCATTGATGGTGAGAGTTTCCATTTTCAGACATTTACTTTTTTTAACTTTTTTTAAGATTTATTTATTTATACAAGAGCTGGGGTACAGGACAGAGAAGTGGGGGGCGGTGAGAGGACTCACCAGAGACAGAGTGGGGAGCAGAACAGGCAGATGGACCAAATACACCGTGGGGAGCAGCGGGGAGACAGGAGAGGTCTGCCTCGCCATGTGGGAATCTCCCTGGCCGGCCGGGAATCAAACCTCCACTGCAGAGGCTTCAGACAGCCCCACAGCGCTGCGCTCAACCTGCTGCGCCACCGGGGAAGCCCCATTTTCAGACATTTATTAAATCGTATTACAGAAAGGGGTTTCTAGCTCGCCAAAGAAATTCAAAATAAGACAAAAACATCTGAACAAGCCACCTAAATGCCAACTTTAATAATGTATAATACAAGAGGAAAACGATCTGGCTCCTACTTTGTGTCAGTCAGGGACAGCTGCCTGACCTTTAATGAATAATTTCACTAAACTTAAAAACTTACCGAATTAGCATTATCACAACCACTTTAAAGATGAGCAAACTGAGGCCCAGAAAGGTAACTACTCCAGGTCACACCAGACCTAATACAGCACCGGCCCTGGATTCCAAGTGAGCATTTACTTTAATCACCAAACGTCATGGTCTATCAGGGTGTGACTGAGAAGTAGGGAGCAACTCGGGTCAGGGTGATGACACCATCATGAAAACCAGCAGATTTAGCGACCAAAGCTCAAGCCTTTCACCCGCCCCCAGCGGGTGCTCAGCAGTGGTGTCGGACCCACGCTTCCTAAAACGCTGAGGCCGCGGACTGCTCCACAGTGCGAGCTCCACAGTGCGAGCTCTTGTCTGACGAGCAGAGGGAGGAGCTGAGTCAGGGACAGAACTGGGCCCCAGGAGCCGCACTGGGGGCTCACGCCCACTGACCTGTTGAAGCGGGGGTCTGCGTAGGCGTCCGGGATGTTCAGCACCTCCCCCGTCCTCGCCACCTGCCCGGCGATTCCCTTCTCAATGGAAAACCTGCACACACGAAGAGAGGCGCAGCCAGTCAGCGCACGCCGGCTCTCAGGCAACTCGGCACAGCTCGCGGTTACCACAGGTGGCCCACAGAGCACTGTCCTACTGAGGGGCTCGTCCTCACTGGCCCTCGGCCTGTCCCAGGCGGCCGAGAGCTGTGGGTACGGAGCGGGAACACAGAGACTCCGCGCTCGCGGGAGAACCTGCCTGAAGATCAGGGGTGCCGCGTGCTGAGCTACGCCGGGCTGCAGCTGGAGCTGAGGCGCGGGCGGCCTCCGCCTGCTGGGCCGGTTTCTACCCTCAGCACCTCTTCATTGTCAGGATGCTGCGATGCGAATTGTCCTGAGCAACTCCTGCCTGGCGTGGACCCGGCCCCACGTGGCTCAGTGATTTGCTGATATTCTTACAATAGCAGCCGCAGGCCTTACGAGACGGCACAGCCGTTCCACTGTAAGACACCTGCGACACGGGCGCGCCGGGACAACAATGCGACTCGCAGTGTTTTTACTCTCCAAGCTGTTCCGTGTGAAAACAGGTAAATACAACCGCCCTGACAAGCGCACGGCAGCATCCTTTCTTTCCTCTACACACTGTCGTCACGACAGCTTCTCATCACAATGCTGTCAGCCCGCAGGCCCTGGGATGGAGCTCGTCCGCACGCTTCACGATCCAAAGCCTGGGAAGGACTTTCAGAATATCCCATCGTTAACATTGTAGGAAGTATTTTTAAAATAAAGTTTCACTCTGAAAATTCGAAAGGCAACTGGCTGGAAAGAGAAAGGACTTTCTTAAAACTCCCCACAGCGGGCCCAGCAGGGCACAGCGTTAGGCGCTTCCAGCACATTCCCGGAGCCTGGGACACAGCGCACCGCCCGCCTGCGAGCCACACGCCGGCCGAGCGTGTGCCCCGGAGAGGGCTCAGGGCACTGAGGGGCCAGTCCTGGGGAACCACAGCCCTGCCCCCACCCCCGCACCTCCCGAGCATGAAAGGCTCCCGCCATGACCTTGACATGGGATCCACTACGATCCTACCCATGGGACCCGCCATGCCCCTGCGCGTGAGTTCACAGCAGCTCAGAGAGGGCTGCTGGGCCTTCAGCAAGGATCCTCCCTGAGCTAAAGCCTGTCCAGATCACGCACGAGATCCAACCACAGGCAGGCAGGAGCCAGTCGGCGAGGCGGGGGCAGCACTGCGCATGGCCCTGGGGTGTGCCGGGCACCTTCCCGGTCAGGTCATTCACTGCCAGGACCCCGGCCCACGGCCAGGGTCCTCCCTTGGGGGCAGGATGCCAGACAGCATCCTCAGCCCAGCCTTCAGCGTGTCGGGGAGGAGCGGCGGGCAGGAGCATAGGGGCCACGGTGGAGCCTTGCATTGTCACTGCCGGCCCTGCCCGCGAGGGGTGATCGGTGGGCGACAGGGCGCCCCACCGTGGCTGGTGTCCACCACCCCCTCCATGGCCAGGCAGCCGCGAAGAGGGGCTGGGCCCCCAGAGGCCACGGGAACCGGTCGCAGCCGGGGCCCAGCACCAGGCAACTGCCCTCAGGCTGGCGTCCAGGGAAATCCCATCCCAGGCCTGGGAGGACCTGCTGGCCATGCCTGCACCTGTACCCGCCTGGGGGCACTAGCAAACTTTCCAGCCCAACTTCCAAAGCCCACCTCCAGGAGCCGGCGTCGCCAGGAGGGAGGACAGGACACAGCCCAGGCGCGGGCTGGCGGGCGTGCAGTCCACTCCCAGGACGGCCTGCGGGAGGCGCCCCGGCGGGAGGAGACCATGGCGTGACGAGGACGGTCACACGCACAGGCCTGGCTCCGGCCCCCTGCGGCCGCCACGGGCCCACGCACTGTACCTGATCTCCTTGGTCTTCTTGAAGATGGGCTTGCCTTCCTTCTCCTCCCCGATGTCGAAGAGGTCTGAGTAGAGCTCCCTGTTCTTGTGGTCGACCTGGAAGAGGGCACAGCGGTCGGCGTTCACCAGGTTTTTTGCATATATCTGGAGAAAGAGAGGCCACGAGAGGAAGCCGGTGAGAGACGCGGCAGCCACGGGCGCTTCCACGGCGCCACCCTTGCCCTCCGTGTCTGACGGCGGCGGCACCCTCTCGGGGACGACAGGTGCGCAAATGCAAAGGGCGTGTGTCAGACGCCGGGGACACAGACACACCCGCAGATGCCACGGGAACAGGAGTCCCGCAGGGGCGGGGAGGGGGCCAACGCTGCCCAACTCCCCAGAAGCCTCGGCCCCCGCCTCTGCCCGGAACCCCTCAGGCCCCCTGGCCCCTCGGTCTGAGCTGCTCCCAGTCCCAGCCACGTACGTTGGACAGCCCATGAGCAGAGCCCCTGACCAGAGCCCCTGACCAGCCTATCGCCCTGCTGCCACCCTGGTGACAGGGTGCGGCCGGCCAGCGTGTGTCCACACTTTGTACACGTTCACGTGCATCACTTGACGGGATGCTCAGCAGCAGCGAGAGGCGCCGCATCGTCGTCTCACTCGGCCTGCTGGGACAGCGGGTCCAGGTAAGCACCAGGCCCGGCCCCCAACTCGCCTGGCAGCCCCGGCCTCTGCTCGCGGGCAGAGTCTCCTTTTCTGAACGGGAAGCTGGGTTTTCAACTCAGCCTCCATCTTCCCTGTTCACCAGTCACCAGAGCCCGCCAACCATCGGGGCCTCGCATGCCCGCTGTCTCCGGGGGCCGCAGTCAGCACACAAACACCATGTGCACCCTGCGAGGGCCGCGGCAACCTCAGCCGCCCGACCACGGCAGGAGGAGAGTCCGCAGAGGACAGAATGAGCCGCGAGAAGCCCTGCATCCCAGGCTAGGGAGACCTCGCGCCGGCCACCGAAGCAGAGGGCAGCACAACCTCCAGCACAGCTCCGGCTGCTCAGGGTGGACGACACCAGAGCAGGTGGGGCCTGGCCCTCTGCGCCCTGTGTGCGCCCCCCCTGCTGCTATGGAACCGTTTTCAGTCACTCGACAACCACTGGCTGCGCGTGATGGGCAGGCTCGACCCCGTGGGGCTTTCAGGGGAGCAGGATTCTGGTTTCCTCGTCTACATTAGTCTCTGAGTCTTGGCTCAGCAGAAACTGCTTCTTCCCCTAGCCCCCTCCCACCACCATGTCCCAATGGCCTAGAACCAGCCCCAGAACACCGGCCGGCCCACTGCCTGTTTTTGTAAATAAAGTTTTATTGGGACATGGCCATGTTCACGCCGCCCTGTGTGGTTTGTGGCTGTTACACTGCAGACCCAAGAGGAGGTGGCCTGCGGAGCACAGGACTTGACCATTAGGCCCCTGACAAAAAAGAGTGCCAACCTTTGCATAGGACGTTGGTCTCCAGAACGTACAGACACCCCATGAATCTTTGAGGAAGGATGAAGGGCAGAAAGGCAGTGATGGTAATACATTGTTGGCAAACAGACAAGAATCCCTCGTCATTTGGCAAATTCACGAGCTCTCCGATCATAATAAGGACCCCGCGCAGATTATATTATGCAGTGAAATGAGCCTCCAGTTGCCCAGTGCCATGTTAGCTACTGAATGCTTTGTTGCAAATCTATATCAAAAATTATTAAAATCTGGATAAAATAGATAACTTTCTAGAAAAAGTAAATGAATTTTGAAGAATTGAAAATTTTAAGATGAACTAAAATCATAAAGACAATTGAAAGAATTACTGCTATGAAAAGCATCAGGCCACGTGATCTCGAGAATTAAGAAATTATTAAGAATCATCAACAAATAAGTTTCCATCCAATTTAAACCACTTAAATTCAAAAAGATCTAAACTTCTGCAGTCATTTTTACAACCCTAGCATGTCACAAAAACTGACCCAGATGCTGGTAGCAAGAAAACCATCAGCCAATTTACCGTGCAAACAGTAGGAACATCATTAATAAAAATAATTGCTAATTAAACACGAATAAATGAACCACTATCACACCATTAGAAGATCCTACAGCATTCGTAGAGGTCCCGTGCCAGAGTGGATGATTAGGATCACACAGGCCGGTCCCAGGAGGGAGAGTCTCATGGTGACCTTCAAGCTGTGGAAGTGCGGGTGCTGTGGTTAGCGACGCTTCAGGACCCACGCAGCCCTAAGCGCCGTCCTGAGACGTCAGAACCTCCCGTTAGGGCTAAGACATTACAGTCGAGAGTGAGACAAAGGCACGTGGTCATAATTATCAACAGAGCCAGTGCCGCCCAGAAGCCGAAGAAGGAAGGTCAGGGAGTGGCTTCACGTGTGTCCACAGATGCTCAAGCCAGAAGGAAATAAAAGTGACCGATCTAGGAGTAAAAGTTGTAGACCCTCTAGTTAGGGCCTTACCCAGGGAACGCAAGAGTGGTTCGGCAATAAGCAATGACTTCACACAAGTCCCTATCCTAACTGAAAAAAGGGGGGGAAAAGTTTTACAAAATTTTAGTAATGCTTTACAAAAGTTTGACAATACGCAACACACAATCAGATACAAACCCATAGCACATTACGAATGGACACACTTTATGTCTTTCAGTTGATAAATAATATCGCTGGGAACACACATGGCAATGAAATGTGAGAGGCCCACCCACACCTGAAGGAAAACAGAGCCGCTCGCGCTGCTTCCACTCAACAGTGTTGCAATATCCCAGCAAACACATTTTAAAAAGGCACAAGAACTTAGAGGTGTAAGCAGTGGCAAAGAAGAACCTCTACTATTATCACATACTTTACAAATGCTTGTGTTTCTTTAAAATCCAAGACCTGAGATTTGAAAAGAGCTTAAATAAAGGAGACCAAAGTAAACATGCTCAATTGAGAGACATTTTTTAATTGAAAATAAGTTAATGTTTTTATATGAGAATGGTTTGTATTCTGAAGAAATCAGTTCTATTAAAGTTTTCCCATCAATTTAAGGTGATTCCAATATAAATCACACCTTGTGGAGTGGAACGGGAATGCAGGGTGAGCGCCAACATCTGAAAATCAGTTTGTGCAATGCACTGTTTATCAGTGGGATAAAAATTTAAAATGACAGAATTATCACAATGCCACATCGAATTTATGACTTGAAACATTAAAAATTAGGGCTTTCAGGCCTCCCCGGTGGCGCAGCAGTTGAGCGCTGGGCTGCGAAGCTGCCCGCGGCCTCTGCGGCGTCGGTTCGATCCCCGGCTGCTCCCCGGCCACCGGAGGAGGGTCCCGCATGGCGCGCAGACCTCTCCTGCCGCCCGCTGCTCCCCTCAGCAGTGTCCTTCGGTCCTTCTGCCTGCTCTGCTCCCCGCTCTGGCTCTGGTGGATCCTCTCACCCTCCCGCGCTTCTGACTGTGCCCAGTGCTTGTATAAATAAATAAATCTTTAAAAAAAAATAGGGCTTTCAGGGAGATTTATCAATTTGATAACAAGCAGCTATGAAGGTCCACAGCTGACATCAGACTAAGTGGTGTAAGGCTGACAAGTCCTCCCATCAGTGGATCTGGAGAAAGACAAGCACGTCCACACCCACAACTTCTACCCAACAGCGCGGTGCTGGTGGCTCGACCAGGTCACTGATGTAAGGGGAAAAATGCCTCCAAGAGCCCAGAGCTGTGAAAGCTCATAATGAGAAGGAAAACGGCCACTCATTGCAGATGACACGACCCTGTATATAGAAAATTAAAGACTGGTTTTATCAAGTTATAGGTTACATGATCGAAATATAAAAAAACAATTTTGTTTTTATGTCATTTCAGTGGAAAAACCTGAAGACAAAAATGAAGGAAACAATTATGATGGCATTAAATATAAAACACTTAGCAATTAGTTTACTAAAATCAGAGCAACGCTTACACTCTGAAAATTACAAAACATTGTGGAAAAAAATAAGAAGATCTAAATAAGGGGGAAAAAACCCCATTGATGTAGGGGGAGACTTAATAATGCTGAGGTGGCGATATTCTCCAGGTCAACCCCTGGGTTAAACACAACCCCTGTCTGAATCTTATCTGAATTTTTGTAAAAATCGACAAGCTGATTCTAAAATTTATATGAAGTTGCAGGTGACCCCAAACAGCCAAAGATATTGGGAAAGGAGAAAATAATGGGGGACTCACACTTACTGATCGAAATTTTCTTCACAACAGTAGGCAAGACAGTGAGGCGTGTTGTTAAGCCAGACATACCGATGGATGGAACAGAATTGAGAGTCTAGACATAAAGCCAAGGATCTAATGATTTTGACAAGACCATTCAAAGGGGAAAGAAAAGTCTTTCCAACAAACAGTATTGATTCATCCTGCATAACCACATGCACAAGAATGAAGCGGGACCCCTACATTAAATAAATAAATAAATAGATAGATGGATGGATAGATAGATAGATAGATAGATAACTGATTCTACATAGATCAAAGGCCTAAATGCAAAAACTAAAGCAACACGATCCTCAGAAAAAAAAATATTGGCATAAATTTTCATGATCTCTGACTTGGCTCTGGAGTCTTGGACACAACACCCACAGTATGAGCAGCAAAAGGAAAAGTGAACAGATAAATTGGACTTCACAAAAGTTAAAACCTTTTGTGCTTCAAAAGAAACCATCAAAATAGTGAAAATGAAAACCCACAGATGGAGAAAAATGTTTGCTAATCCTGCAGGGAGTTTTGTCTAGAATATATGAAGAACTCTCACAACTCAATAATAAAAAAAAGGCAAAGGATTTAATTAACAAGTGGTCCATAGATCTGAATCAACCTGTTTTCAAAAAAAGATATACCAACGGCCAATAAGCACCTGAAACAGTCTCAGCCTCAGCAACCACTATGGAAACGGCATGAAAACCACCTTGAGGAAGTATTTCAACTCCACCCACTAGGACGGCAATAATCAGGAAATTAAACAAGTAGGTGCTGGTGAGAACGTGGATGAACTGAACCCCAAGTGCATTTCTGGCGAGAACATAAAATGGCACAACTGCCAAGGAAAAGCCTGGCAGGTCCTCCAAAGGTTAAACACACAATGACTGTGCTACCCAGCGGTTCCGCTCCTAGTGTACACCAAAACAATCGAAAACAAGTATTCAAACACAAACCTGTACATGAAATGTTCAGCCGCACTGTTCGTAGTCACCCAAACTTGGAAAACATCCAAATGTTGATGAGCTAATGAATGGATTAAAAGAAACCAGCAGTAAGTCTACCCACGTGGCAGATTATTACTCAGCTGCAAGGAAGACCAGAGGACTGACACCCGCCACAGCCCGCGTGAACTTTGCGAACACTAAGCCCCGTGAAAGAAGCCAGGCACGGAAGGCCAGCGAGAGCATGATCCCCTTCGTGCGAGATGCCTAGAATAGGTGAACCCACAGAAAAAGAAGGTGAATGGGTGGTTACTTAGGCCTGAGTGGGAGGGGGGCATAAGAAGTCAAAGGCTACAACGGCATGCACTTTCTTTCTCAGCTCAAGAAAATGTGCTAAAATTGACAGAAAATGGCTGCATAGTTTTGAACACATTAAATGCCAATAAAACGAACACTTTAAGTGGATTAATTGTATGATATTTGAATTATATCTCAGTACAACGGTTTTCAAAAAGAATATAATCACAAAGTCAGTATTTCTTGTAGTCTTAGCACAATCTCTAGTCCACTTCATGGCTCCTATTTTTATACCCTTCTTCTTACTTGCCACCTAATTACAAATCCCATAAATTTTATCAAAACTAAGAAATATCTTCTCTGCAATTAATTACCTTTCTTTTTGTCCAAGTAAAACCATCACTATAATGAATACAGAAAAAAAAAAAATCAGTTGGAAATAGTAAGTCCTCGCTCCTCCCTAATCACCCTGACAAGACACCAAACGCATCCCAGGCCACGCTGGTCAGCCATGGGACTGACGAGAAGCAGAGCGGGGTGGGGGGGTGATGCCATCATGAAGCCAGGAAGGGGGGCCCTCATTGCACAGTCTACCCTGGAAACATTTATCAGCATCCGCACAGGGCCCGCTCTGCACAGCGAGCCTGGCCGCCACGGGGACACTGTGGCCATGGACGCCCCCAGGAACAGCGACACTCTCCTCCTGAGCCTTTCCATCCCCAGGGCCAGTGCCTTCTGGAAGAGGGGTTCACCCAGAACAAACGAAGTCCAATGTCGAGGCTGCAAGCAATCTGGAGGGGGCTCCTGCCGCAGCCTCCCACGAAAGGGACTTTGGAGACCATAGAAAGAAACTCGCTGTGCTGCCAAGTACAGCTCTCCACGGACCCGTGGAATTTTGCAAAATGTTATTCGATACGTTCTTCGGAAGCTCTCCAAAAATACAGACGTGACAAGTGAATCCGGGCTATCCCTCCAGGTGACCCAGTTCCCTGTTTCATCATATTTACAGCAGCTTATCTAACACAGCAGCGTGTCCCCCCGCATAGTAGTACATGAACCCAAGGCTTAAAGGAAAATAGTAAGTTTCAAGGCAAAAGGCAACCTACCATTATGTGTTCAAGTAGAGAATCTATTGCGACTATGTTATCAAAATACGTTCTGAAAAAGAGGAACATAAAAGCTGTAAGTCATCTTGTTCAGACCAGAGGACACATTAGACCTGGAGGGGAGACATGAAAGACCAAGCCTGGAGGCCGCGGTGAACAGTGGTCTTGCTGGGAGGGCGGCAAGGAGGGCGTTTGCAGCATTCCACAGAGGCCATCATGAAATGAAACGGGTTTGGCGCAGGGAAAACCGACTGGCGCAGAGGCTGCCGGACGGGCTGGGGCGCGGGCGGGACCTGGCGGGGCGGGCGGCGTCTGCAGAGAACCAGCCGAACCAGACAGGGCTTACAGCAACGCTGCCTCGGGAAACGATGTTGTCATGAAACAACACAGAGCGGACACGGTGGCCGTCGGAAACCTGTCCAGGACAGGCCCCTGAAGTCGCCACATCCCGGGGCAGTTTGCGAGCCAATGGCTGAGGGGGTGGTCGGACCAGCCGAAGACCTGGCCTGCGGCGAGAGGCCGAGGGCCTGGGCTTGGGCAGTATCTGCAACTGCTCCAAGGGAGCAACGCGGAGCGGGGGACCGGGCGGCTCGGGAGACTGTTTCTAGGTGAGACTTCAGAGAAATGGAACATTTTCTCCAAAGTGAGATCTGAGCCGTCCTCCATGGGACAGTTAAGATAAGGCTATCATCGTGAGTTCACTCCACTGACGTGTACAGGGAACGCCAGGGAGGGCGCTTTGGACAAAAATAAGTTGGAGCATTTCCTCTCCCTCAGCTGTGCGCTTTCTCCTGCAAAAACAGAAACAGCAGTGACCCCAACGTGGGCCAGAGGGGCTGCTTCGAAAATACAGAGCAGGTTCAAACGGAGAGTGTGGCACATCCACCTGCACCCACAGCACCTGTACAGTCACCTGTACAGCCTCGCCTGTAAGGATCTATGGCCACAGTATGTCAGCCACCCTTGCCGACTACCCGCAGCAGAGACTGAGCTCCTGAGACGGCCGCGGCAGGCCAGGCCCCCCGTCCGTGGCTGTGCTCAGCTCCACTCACTGGTCAGTGAGAGCCCCACACCCGGGGAGGGGACACTCACTTTGAGACGTCAAGTAGAAAGTCATTCAGTTCCGTCTGCTTGGCAAGGCCTCTGCACACCTGCCAAAGAAAACACAGGTCGGTCACTCTCTGGGAGCTGCACGTGTTCAAAAATAAACGGACGACAGGCCCCCTTCCTGGCTGACTGTGAAAGGCACACGCTAACACGTAGCTTGCGGTGCGGAGATGAGGTCAGAGCGCGTCATGGGAACTGCATGCGTGCACGAGCTGGTAGTGTCCTCTCAGCCGGCACACAGGCTCAGGGTCTGCAGAAGCGTAGAAAGTGTAGAGACTTGCTGAGGGCCTGAGCCACTAAGTCGGTGCGGCCCAGGTGGTCCCCCACCCCACCCCCATTTTAAAGTTGCTCTTAAAAACGACTCTGTGTTTAAAAAATCGTCCTTGGCACACATCCTGCCCGCCCCTGACCCGGCACACCCCAAGGGCCTGGCTCCTCGGGCCGTCGCCCACAGCTACACGCAGCTCCCCTTCCGCCCTGCCGTTCCTCACCACCCCCGCTGGCGGAAATGCCCCCCCGAAGAGCAAAGCAGCTGTGGAGAGATCCGAGGCACCAGCCAGAATGCCTGAACCTCCACGCCCCGTCGGCAGGTGAAGGCTGTGCCGGCTGCGATACTTTAAACTACGTCACGTTTTCAAGCGACGCGGGCGTCTCAGCGCCCAGGTGAGTGACCTAACGCAGCGCTCGGTTTGGAAGGGGTTTTAACTCGGAAAACAGAGTCACGGAAATGTCAGTATTATGTGCGCCGGGTGGTTTCTGGGCTTTGGGGGCAAACAGGCGGCGTGAGGGGCACCGCCACATAGCGCAGGAGCCATCTCTCATGCAAGCACACACGTGGAGGCCTGCGAGCTCGGCAAGGCAGGCAGTAAATTCCCAAGTGAACAAACAATTACAGAAATAACAAGACATCGAGCACACCCCACGACGGAGGGGGTCACCCTTTGCACGCGCCCCCCACCCCCCGCCTGGCTGGGTTCTGAGCGGCTCCTCCCCGGAAGCCCCGCAGCGCCGCGCCTACCTGCACCTGGTGGATCGCCACCGAGGCCCAGGCCAGATTCGCCGTCGCAACCTAAACACAAAAGAAAAGAACGTCATTCAACGAACCGCAGGCAGACACCCCCGCAGCGGAGCCCAGCAGCGCGTGGGAGGCATGTTCTGAGGCCACTGAGCTTTTGGATATTTGGCCAAACACAGCGTCGAAGATTCCTCCGTCACGCCTGCCTTCTCAGAAACAGTGATGCTCGCCCGCGCGTTTGCTCACGGCACGCGGCTTGTCGCCAGGCCGGCGGGGTCTGTTTCTGTGAAATCACCACGCAGGTGGAAGCACTACTGAAAGGCTTCCAGGGAGGACTTTAAACGACAGACGAGTCTCGCCAGTCCACGGGCCGGCTCTGAGTCCCCGGCGGCCCCGCCGCCTCTGTGACAGGGACACTCGCTCGGTGGGGCCCAGGGACCGGGCGGTGCCTGTGCTCAAGAGCGGGCTCCCCACACAGGCGCCATGGCCCAGCCCGGCGAGCTGCTGGACGAGCTGCTGGACCGGGCCGCCAAGGCAGGAGGACCGCAGGGGGTCGGGGGTGGGCAGAGCCTGGCCAGGAGCCGCGGGACCTCAGGCAGCGCCCGGGCAGGCCCCAGTCCCTGCGGTGCTGGGGGAAGGCCTCCCAGGGGCACACACACATCCGGGCACTGCGGAGGCGGCGGCTCGCCGTGGGGACCAGGAGGACGAGAACGAGCCAATAAAGGAGAGCGGTGGCGGGGCGGGGGGGCCTCTGCCCTGCTCAGGGCCCAGTGCGGCTGGGGTGGGGACGCTGGGGAGAGGAGATGGTTATCCAGTCAGGACACCCCACAGGCTCCTGGGGGACCGGCTCTCACTGCGTGCACGAGCCAGTCCCGATCCCAGGAGGAGTAAACGGGGCGCAGTGTCTCCCAAGCGCACTGACGCTGGTCCCCCTGGAGGCCACGCTCCAGGACCAAGGGGTCATCGCTAAGGAGCGGGACTAGAGGGCTCGCGACCCAGGGCCAGGCCGCCGGGGCCAGTGCCCCTACTGGCCACATGGGTGCCCAGCTTTCGAAAATCTCTTCTTCCTGACCTGCCAGGGTTCTCGGGAATAGCCGCAGGGCACACAAGTCCCGTCCAAAGGCGTCAGGGAGGCTCCAGGCCCGTGGGGCGCGGGCGCCGGGCGCGGCTCACCTCCTGGTGGCTGAGGCAGAAGGCCTCCTTGCCCCAGTGCCGGTACAGCTCCAGGATGCCGATCAGGTCCCCGATGGCCGTGACGATGGGCAGGCAGAGCACAGACTGGATGCGCGTCCCGGACTCCAGCCCGGTGCCTCTGGGGAACCGTTCGTCCTGGGGGGGTAAGGGGCGGGTAAGTCCCTGCAAGACCCCGGCTGCCCAGTCCTGCATCGCTGAGCCGTCTTGGCCAAGGCGAGCCAGGCAGCATCGGCCACTGCCCCTTGCCCAGGAGGCGCTCGGGCACCGTGTGCCCAGAACCGTCCTCAGGGCGGCCCGGAGCAAGGCCGCCAGCCAGACGCCCCCGGCAGAGCACAGGCTCCCACCCAGGGGCAGGGGGCGCACGGGGGCTGGGGGGCTTTCCGGGGCGCTTGGGGCGACACGCGTCCCCTCATCAGGGCCGTCAGCTCCTTATCTCAGACGTGAAGTGCCTCTTTGGCATCAGGGTTTCCTTGCTTGGCAAGATCACGCAAAGGTGGGCAGAGAAGCGACTGGACACATGAAGGCCCATCTGTGATGTCCCCCCGCTCTCCGCTGTCTGTGGAGGGCGTCTCTCCGGGGGAGACCCCTGCAAGCCACGGCTGAGACCCCCAGACGCTTGCCGGTCTGCGTGAGGGGCATTCTCACGCATCTGCCTGAGGTTGGCTCTCTCCGCGGAAGTGCGGGCTCGGGCTGCGGGTCCACCTCGCCCCAGCCCGTGGGGCCGGCTGTCCCCCGGGGCCCACACCATGTGCACCGCTTGTGGTGGGCAGCGTCAGGACCCGACCCCGGCACTCGGGCGACCACACTGCGCCGCGGCTGCGGCTGCGCGGCTGAAACGCTTCCTTCAAACACTTTTGCTTTCCTGACGCGTGACTAGCAGCCTGGTGTTGGATTTCGGGACTCCTGGGGGCACTTTTCTGAGCAAGACACCCGGCCTCGCGCCTGGTGTGTGAGGGCCAAGCTCTCCAGGTGGGGGAGGCTGGCCGGGGGGCCCCGGGCTCACCCCACGGCCGTCCTGGGGCCCCGACTCGGAGACGGGCCTGCTCTGGGGACCCCACTCTGGGTGACCCCATCAAAGGCGTGGAAACTTTTGTGGGAGCCCCACCCCCACCCCAGGGCCGCCATCCTGGGCAGCAGAGGGCAGAGCTGCCGAGTGATGGGCAGTGACCAAGGCGGCCGCCGGGGGCCAGCACGGAGCGGCCGCTGGGAAGGAGGGGGTGCCGGCTGGTGGCAGCTTGGCTCAGGCAGCACTGCCCGCCCTTCCTCGCAGGGGCTCCTACCTCCCCCGTCCAGGAGACCCGGGAGCCAGCCCTGGCCGCGTGGACACGCACCGCCTTTGCTGCACAGCGCTCCCCGCCCAGTTGGTGCCACCCCAGATGCTCACGCCCGCCCATGCGCCCACAGCCTGGCAGCTGTGGGGAGGGGGGCATCGGGGCACATCGGGCATCGGGGCACGTCGCGTTTCTTCGTCAAAGACCCAGCGCTGACCAGGCCGCGAGCCCTTACCCCGAGGATGTCGTCCACCAGCAGTGTCTTCCTGGACTTGGCCACGTAGGCGGACACGGTGGTGCCCTGTGCGATGGGGCCCGCGGGCACGAGCCGCGGCTGCCCCTCCTTGACGCCGGGCGGGGTGAACACGCACAGGCTCTGGGGAGAGAGGGGCGGCTTAGGGGGCGCGGTCTCTTCGACGCCCCCCGCCAGTTGGGGAGACCTCGGAGGAGAGGGGGACACAGAGTCACGGCCCCCGGCGACGGGCTCCGGCCTCACGCACACGCGAGACAGCAAGGGGGCACTGGCCAGTTCTCTGAGGCCCAGGGGCACCCCAACCTGGCGACACCCCACCCCACCTCACGGGACGTCTTTCCGCCCCACATTATCTCTCCCTGGAAGCCGCCACCACCCGTTCCTCCAGCCGGAGTCCAGGGACCGGCTCGGACCGGGACTAAAGCTTCGCTCCTGGCTACAGGCAACACTCTGGCCAACTCTGCGCAAATCTTTCCCTTCCCAGCCACTGGGTGGGCGGGCAAAGCCCTGGAGTACTTAAATAAATGCTTTTAAAAATATGGTCTCTTATTTTGACTAAATCAACTATATTTTAAAATAAACTTCCACTAAACAAGAATTGCTAATCAAAACAAATCATGCAGGGACTGGAGACAATATTTTGACATAACTGGATTTGATTATCTAGCTGCCGTGAGAAGACGAAGTTCAGGCAAATTCCCCCGACACTTGTTACTTTTATCCTAAGCTGGATTGTTGCGGCTCGAAGGCGGAAGGCTCTGGCGGTGGTGAGCCACAGATCCGCACGAGCCACCCTTGCTGACACCACGCCGTGATGCGCGGAGCTAGCTCAAGCTGGACGCGTCCATTAACTTACTCGACACGCGGTTTTTAAGCTTGGCGATGCCAGGGAACCCTTCCTTCAAATAAAACCTTGTTTAAAATCACAAGAGAGTGAGCCCCATAAACGGAGGTCCCTCAACCCCTGGGGCACAGGGTGGGAGGAAGGCAAAGGGCTTGTTCAGTCCAGGCGGCTGTAAGGAAAGCACCCCTCTCCATGGACTGGAAGCTACTTTCAAAGTATTTTTGCAGGGCCTCCCCTGGTGGTGCAGCCAGTTGAGTGCAGCGCTGTGAAGCTGCCCGCAGCCTCTGCAGCGCAGGTTTGATCCCCGGCCGCCGGCGAGGGTCCCACATGGCGCGGCAGACCTCTCCTGTCTCCCCACTGCTCCCCCCAAAAGTGTATTTCGTCAGTCTCCCTGTTCTGTTCCCCGCTCTGTCTCTGGTGAGTCCTCTCACCCTCCCGCGCATCTGGCCTGTACCCCGGCTCTTGTATAAATAAATAAATCTTTAATAAAAAAAGTATTTTTGCATTCACGAGTGCATCTCCCTCCCTTACGGCCGCGCCTGAGCTGCGGCAGCAGTTAAATACAGTGCCCGCGAAAATAAATCCAAGTGTTTCCTTTACAAAGGATTAACTTTAAAATGCTTACAGTGACAGATTTTTAAAGGATTTTCAAAAATGTAACTACCTAAGGTGCGAAGAGAGAGGCCAGAAACCAGCATCACTATCCTCAAAGTTTCCAGATGTGTGGGCGAAATCAGGGCCCGCTGACTCAGGGTCTGCGTGGCTACAACTGAGTTCAAGGTCTCGCCCTTTCTCAGGTCTGAGAACAGAGAAAAGACTCCAGAGCAGGAGCAAGAGGTGACAGGGGGAAAGAAAGGTGAAGGACATGGTGTGTTTAGCCTGGAGGGAAACGCGAAGGGGCGGTGCTGGAGACCACGAGAAAGGGTTGCAAGGACACAGGGGCCTCAGCTCCTTTGCCTTGCCAGCGACAGAGCTGCAGGGATGAGCCTCCCGGGGCTGAGGTGCAGACCCTCCCAGGACAGCCACAGAAAGCCAACCGCGCGCTGACTTTATAGCTGTTCGTCTGTTGTCTGGAGACTCACAACTCTGGGGTGATTTTGCTACCAGCCCTCTGAGGCTGGACTCAGGATATCCTCTCACACTCCCTCACCTTTCAGTCCGGGGTCACGCACCTGGCATCATCCAGCTCTGACTGCCCGTGGGGGTTTCCAGGGGATGCCCGAGACAGGCAGGCACGGCGGCACGCAGCGGGTCCCGCCACCCTCGCCAGCTCCTGCAGGAGGCAGCTGCCGCCCCCCTCCCCTGTATCAGGACACCTGGCCGAAGGCCGAGGCCAACGCAGAGGCCAGGAGGGCAGGGGTGAGGTTTTCGATTTTGCAACTTTTCTAAGAAACTACCCAGGAAACCGCCATGCGTGTTTCTAAAGCGCGGTAATTTCCACCAGAGCGTGCTGGTGATCCGGCGCTGACCGGCAGGGGCTCCGTGGAGAACTAAAGCAGCATTCCCAGCAGGAGAAAGAAAACTGAGAGCACCCAGTCTGGGGGAAATAAACAGCAGAAGAGACCATCACGAGTTATGCAAAAACATGGTTTTTGATAAAATGGGAAAATGTGATGCTCAATGTAAAATGGACACGTCTAGGGTCCACTTCACTTGGCAGACACTCACCCGCCCCTTCCTCCCCACGCGCAGCTCAAAGATCACTTCACTCCTGGACCTTCACGGTTATGTTGACTTCGACTCGCAGCCAGTTAAAATCTGAAGACTTTTGAAGAAAAAAGTGTTTTGCTGTTATTTCTCTTCCGAGGCCCTAGATGGCGCTGGAGAGCAAACGAATCGAGGGCCTGGGGACGGCGCCGCCGGCCGCGGGTTCGCCGGCACTTGAGAGACGGAGGCTCCGCTTGCAAGATTCCAAACAGTAAATCCGTTCGAGTTATTCTGCAACTGGCAAAGTCACGCGATGAGCCTGAACTAGGGGCTCCAAGTCGGTCTCTCTAACGAGAGATGAGAAGCTAACGATGAACTTGGTGAAATGAACTTTTCGAGGTATAATGAGAGTGCACGGGGCCCCAGCTCTGACACACACCTCTGAGGGATGACAGGAAAACATCAACAAAAGCAAGGAACGCTGAATATGCAAAACTGTAATCGTGGAAAGTCAGCTTTAGGCACAAACACGCCAGAGCAGCTGTGATGCCCGGGGCGCTCCCTTCCTGGCTCCAGAGTTCTCACAAATGGACACTTTGGCTCCCCAGGAAAGAAGCCCTTGGTTTTCCTTTCTTAGCTGCTAAGGCAAAGACCTTCAAGACCTGCTCAAACAGACCTGATGACCCCACCGGTTCTGGGGCGACGCATTCAAGCCCGACTCGGGGTCCAGAGTCCCCCGGCCCTCGGTGCCAGCCGGGACGGTGCCCGAGCACAGCTGAGACGGCGCGTGCTCCTGGCCCCCACTCGCGCCTGCACACCTGGAGGTTTTCTGTCATCATTTGCCTTAAACGGGGCAATTTATATTTTCCTCAGAAGCCGTCCATGCCTTGCTGTCCTCGCACAGGTATCCGGGTGTTCCGGGACGTCACCCGCACCATCTCCTGTTTCGCCGTCTCTGTGATCACTGAGCGCACGCAGCTGCTTCTCCTCCATTCAGCCGCGGCGGGAGGTTTGTCTGCGGGGCCCGGAGGCACCCTTCCCTCCAGAGCTGCTCCGCGCCACGGCCAGCAGGGAGCCGGCCACTCCGAGAGGGAGAGAGGCTCCCCCTCCCGTGTCTCCCGCGGGTTATCTCAGATTCACGGCAGGAAGGGAAATAAAACTGCCTGGGAGAAATCGTCGCCGCCTAGCACAGGGCTCGGCGGCCACCCCGCCCCGCAGTCTGAAGGGAATCTAGTCACCTGATCTCATCAAGAGAGTCCTGGACTGAGACGGGTCAGGTGCATGATGAGATCAAAGACCTCCCGCGTCTGCGAGGAAGGAGCCCAGCCCCACGGGCGGCCTTCCGCAAGCGCCAAGGGAGAACGCAATTGCCAGGAGGGAGGAGAAACGAAGCCCGGGGAACGGGTCGCCCGCCTGCGAGAGGTGCGCGACACCAAGCCAAGACAGAAGAATAAATTAGAAGAAAAAATAACGAGGAAGAGGGATGGCTGCGCGTGTAAGAAAGGACGGATACGCTTGGAAATATGTCCGGGAATTAAAACAGGATGCTGGCCCGAGACAAGCTGAGAAAGAGCAGGAACGTCTCTACGAGAGTGGCTCACGCAGAGATCCGTCGGCCTCAACTCGGTCCGGCAAGGAGACCTTTCCAGCAGGCGTGACCAGAGACAGACGCGGCTGGACAAAATCCGGGGGCGCTCCCACGAGCAGGTTCTCTCTAGGTGAAGAAAACTGACTCCAGCGGGAAGACGCCGCCAAGAAGAACCGGGAGCCGGGCCGTGACCCCGGTGCCTGGAGGTGAGCGCCGGAGCCGAGGGGGTGCGAGCTGGAGCGAGAGCCTCAGCCCCGCCAGGCAGCCACGACCGTGGGTCACGGAGCCAGCACTGCGAGGGCCGTCGGGGCCTCGGAAGGTCTAAGGGCGGCAGCCCCCGCGGCCCCAGCAGTAACCGCGGATGTTACACCGTTTTCGAGAAGCGATTCTTAACCTTTAAATAAAAATCCCAGAAGTACAGAAGGCAGTTTTTAGAATGAACAGGAAAAAGCAAGAGTTGTTTTGTTATGTTAGTAGCTGAACCGTTTAAAGAAACGCCCGCGTCTGCAGGTCAGTGTGAAGCCTCGGCGGGGACACGCGGCCTCGCTCCAACAGACGCGGGCCCTGGCCACGGGGCCCGGGGACAGAGGCTGGGGGAGCTCGGCCGTGGGGTGGGGTGGTCCTCGCCCTCGGACGCCCCGGCAGACACAGCACCACCAAGCAAGGAAAAGGCCTGACGGCAGAGGGCCGGGTCGGAGTCAGCCAATCGACCTGGAAGTGCTTCGCGCTTTGCTCCGCTGAGTGAAACACGGCCTCGCCCCCTTCCCCGACTCCGAACACGTGAGCACGAACACCTGGATTATCCCTGCGTTCGAGGATCACGCTGCAAAGACACCTCCCAGATCTCGAGTAACCATACCCGACCCCAGGGGACACGGCGAGCTCGCCAGACACCTGAGCGCGTGGCCTCTGGCTCGCCCGGGGTGTCAGTGTGGTGGCTTCCGCTGGCGTCCCAAGCCGTGCTGCAGACCTGCCCCGACACCACCGCAGAGGTCAGATAGCAGCAACGGGACAGCTGAGGTCTCCGGAGGGGCTGCGTGGGCTGACCGCACGGGGGCTGGCTGCCCGGGACTGGGAGCGGACAGAGGCCTGCAGGGAGCAGCCCCACGGGGCCGCCGGCATCGGAGGAGTGTGCACCCCAGCCAGTCTGCTCGGGTCAGAGTCCACGGTGAGTCCAAGCAGCGCCCCATTCCCCGCGAGCGGCCCAGAGCAGGCCGCACAGCCCGTGTCGGCTGGCCAGGACGAGGGGCGGGCGCTTGCACTGTCGGTGAACATCAGAAAACCCAACAGTCACATAAAAACGCTGACTCTTGCTCCCGTCTCCCCCCTGCACACGAGGAACGGGACAGGCTCCACCTGGCCCCGACGACACCCGGCAGCGGCTGCGCAGCACAGCGGCCCGAGACCCATCACACCACGGCTCTGACCACCACGGCCACGCAGAGCAGCAGGGCACACAACGAGCTGGAACAGTCACCACACATCTGGCATTTGGCACATTAGGTTATCTTTTTAAAAAAAAAAAAGCGTAAGACATTTTTTTTTAATCTAGAACACCAAAATCTAAAGTTAGATACTTACATTATTGCACTCTCCAAGGAAATACAGTGCAAATCCATCAGCTTTTGTGGCTGCCAAAGTAATAAAAAAAAAGGAAGAAACTAATCTCAATGGAAGCATAGACCACGCGTGGAGCCTCTCGGGTGAGACCCGGCTAGGAGGGGCTCGTCAGCGCAGGGAACGGTCACGCAGTTCCTGGAGCAACGTGACTTGGGCTTTCCCCGATTTCATGACCAGTTTCATTTCTTTTTATTAGCTAATGGGGGTGGAGAGATGTGCCACCCGCACTGTCACGGCACGCCTGTCAAACTTTAACACCGGAACTACTGCAAAACAACTGAGAATTACACTCGTTGTTAAAGGGCTGAGCATGCGGCAGTGGCGCTGAGGATGGTACCTGAGCAACAGCAGCGCCGGCCGAGGAGCAGCTCCCGGGCCAGCACCTGCTGGGTCTGTCTACACCAGCCTCGGGGTCCCTGCAGGCAGCGCCTCGGGCGGTTACTGAGGGGCAGCACCCCAACTTCAACCCCTATTCTCCCCTTGTCACATGTGTGTCCTTGGGCCAGGCTAGAGGCTTGTGTTTGCCTCGGTCTCCTCATCAGTAAAATGGTGCCACCAGGACGTAAAGGCGTCACCTTCCCAGGTAAGTTTAAACCGCTTTCCTTGTGAGCTACGGGCTTCCTCTGTAAAGACGTGACTTGAGTCCACACGACTATTCTTTCCAGACAAGACGAGGATTAAGCAGCAGGCACAGAGGTTTCCACGTCCATGACAGGCAGACGCATTTTGGGGGGAGTGGGTAATATAGGTGGTTTCACAATAAAATATTTCCACTTCTGACTTGGTCCCAAAATAGCGGCAAACCAACAACTTGCACTTGCAGCTTAGTCAGGGAAGGGCGCTCTGCACACCCCTACGGGCCGCAGGGCCCAGCGGGAGGGTCGGCATCTCTACGGGGGAGGCGGGGGGTCTCACCTATTTTGATGATGCCGCTCAGCTCGTACAGGAGCAGCTGGTTGTCCCCGCCCGTGTCCAGCCGCTGCTCGATGTAGCTGTTCAGCTCGTACACGACGCCTTGCATGTTCGTGTCTTGGTACTTTAAATTTAAAAAAAAGGCAGGCACACTCAATACAGGAAACACACGTCTTCAGGGGCGACCCCAGTCCTGTCCCCTACCCTCCAGCTGTTCATTTGCTTTTAGAGAACGTGACTCAACCTCATCGTCTGCTGTAAGAGACGGACACGTAAAACGTCAGGGCAACTCAGGATGACCCATAAGCTCCAGGTATACCATCCGAGGTTGCCGATGATCGCTACGCTCCTGCAGTCTCCTACATCAAGCATCAGCCGGCAGAGCAGAAAACACCACTCAGAACTCTGCCGCTGAGAGACGAAGAGTGGGAGATGCCAGCGCCCCCCAGCCTTGGGGCGAGAGTCCGCTCTGCACTCGCTGACGTCTGTGCCCCCGCCTCGGCTGGGAGCCCAGGGCCTCCCCACAGGGCGGGCGCCTGGGTCTGCTCTCAGAGTGCTGGATGCCCCCCCAGCCCGCCTGCTCAGGTTCGCCCGGTTCTCCAAGGCCCGCTCTCCAAGGTGAACTCAAGCACAAACCCGAGGCTGTCGCTGGCAGCTCAGCACTGGGGGGTCCTGCGGCACTCAGGACAATGGGCAGGCCCCTCCCCGGAGCCCCAGCTCTGCCCAGGGCCCCCATGTGCCTCGGGACCGCCAAGGCACCCTCGCTCCTAAAGCCGAGAACCTGCTGTTCTTCTTGAGCACTGGTCTCGGTCCGTTATCAGGGAATGAGGGGATGAACGTGAACAAATAAATGCAAGAAAAGATGACCCAACCTCTCAACAAGAGTGGCCCCAGGAAACATGACAACCTGCTACAGGTGAGGGCCACGGGTGAGGGCCACAGGTGAGGGTGACAGGTGAGGGCTACAGGTGAGGGCCACAGGTGAGGGTGACAGGTGAAGGCCACAGGTGAGCACTACAGGTGAGGGCCACAGGTGAGGGCCACAGGTGAGCGCTACAGGTGAAGGTGACAGGTGAGGACCACAGGTGAGCTCTACAGGTGAGCACGCTCTGGGATGCGACAATCCCTAGAGAATGAACAAATGAAACTCCACTCCCTGGGAAGCTCCGTCCCAGTAGCAGAACATAAAACAGCCGTCTAGACAGGTGACCCCAGGTAGCGGGTGCTCCACACGGAGCAGGGAAGGCTGGGAGAGGACACCAGCGGGCAGCAGGGGACCCTCTAAGCAGGTGGTCAGGACGGAGGCTCGGTGACAGGAGACCCACAGACTGCACCGGGCCCTGACGCCTAGGCTGCCGCGGGAGGCCGGCGGCTCGCGCCCCAGCGGCCCGGGTCAGCTGGTCATCCGCCCGCCGCTCTGAGCCGGGGGCAGGGCTGGAAACGAAGGCAGAAGGACGGAGGAGGACGTGTCGGGAGAAGCAGCACATTCCAATGAGAAGGCTGGGACTCGGCCCACGTAGGGCAGGCCGGGAAACCAAGAGCAGAACATGGAGGGAGAAAGGTAGCGCCGCCCGGCCCGCCTGGCCACGTCCCCACACCCCGGCCCGGGAGGCAGAGCCCTCCTCCTGCTGCGCCCCGCCAGGAGGCCCGCGCCCCGCCCTTCTCACGCCCCCGCCTGGAGCCAGCAGCCCCGCCAGTCCTAGCGCTGACCGCTCCGTCCCGGGCCCTGCCCACCTCCCGCCCTCCGCCTCCGGGCAGCTGCCTGGGCTCTGAGTCCAGCCACCGCCGGCTGCTGGCCTCCGCCCTGGGCAGGGGGAAGCGGCCCCTCTCCAGCCCGCAGAGCCAGGTCCCTCGGCCTGCACCACGCCCTCGCGGGGCTGCTCGGCCGGTTCCGCGTCTGCACCAGGCGCTGGATCTGCGCCCCTGCGCCCTCCTGCCGCCGCCGCCCCTGGGGTTGGAAACACTTCAGCTCGTGGAGGAATCGTCTCCCTCTGCGTGTCCGGTGGAATGATCCAGTCAAATCTTTTGGGTCTAAAACCACCTGGAATGGCCTCACGCATTTCTCACTGACAGCAACACAGTGAGGTTTCTGAACTCATCTGGAGTCGCCCGAGACGTTATTTCCTCAACATTGGTCACTGCGTCTGAATTCTCCATGCATCAGCGCACGCTGTTCCCCACTAAATAGCAGTAATCAATCAGCTCCCTGCATCTATCAATAATCAATAAACTCCCTGCATCGAGAGGCCCGTTCCCTCTCTCGTTCCTTCATTGTTTTTGTTTGTTTCCTAACTAGAGTATCAAAGACAGTCCACGCGTTGACCTGTTTGAGGGACTGTCTTCTGAATTATTAATCAAGTCTATGTTCTTAATTATGAGCCAGGACTTTATTCTCTTATTAACTCCGTCCCCCGCTCTTTAGAAGCTTCTTTCTGGTGTGATAATAAATGAATATGAGGTCAGGAATTTTCATCCTGTTTGGGCTGCAGCCCCTCGATTTGGTAGATTTTATCCCCATTTTACATGGGAGACGTAACAAAGTTGCCGCTTCCCAGGTCACCCAGACAAACAGCGGCAACACAGGAACCCAAACCTCCGCGTCGCTTACCCTCCCTGGACAAGTGATTTTCAACGTTTCACCCACACGAGACAGAGATGCGCGTCCCCCAAAGACAGCGGCCACCTGAGCCACATTCATTGGCGTTAAACACAAACTCTGAGCCATCATCCCTGACACAGGACACGCCACGTGGACACACGCCAGTGCTTGGTCACCTGCTGTGTTGACCGAAACCTAAGTGGATAGTAGCCGGACAGGCCAGCCCGCAAGATGCGTAAACTCCAGAAGACGGACACGCCAGGGTCCCCGACTCTGGCCCCAGCACCGCCCCTGAGAAACATCTCACGATAAACCTGCCGTGCACACAGGTGGTCAGGCCGGGGGCAACGAGGGACAGAGAGGGGCCCGGCGGTGGAATGTGAGCGGGAATTGGTGAATCCCAGAGAAGCCCCGGGGGGGAAGGTCAGTCATTGCGGCTGCACCCGACTGAAGAGCTCGTGGAGACAGTCACTGTGTCGGTCAAGGTGAGAAAACCCGAGGTCAAACCAATGTATTTACTGCCACGCCGGTGGGCGCGTGGCAGGAGAGACTAGAAGGAAACGCCGTATCTGAGACGGCTGACTGGACAGAGCCGGCCTGACCCCCACCGCCCAGAGCAGCGGGGAAGGGGCTCAAGCAGGCGCCCAGCCTTGCCGGTGGCCAGGCTGCGGACGCTCCAGCACAGCCCACAGGCGGCCGCGGTGCGGGGAGAACGCCGGCCAAGTCCCCAGGCGGCGCCTTCCTCGGGCACAGCAGGGACGAGGGGCGGAGGCGAGATGCCTTCAGGAGAGCACCGGCTCGCCCTCCAGCGGGAGGAGGAAGAACTAAGAGTGAGACGTGCAAGGGCGCGGGGAGGAGAAGCAGCAGATGCAGTTTTCCCTGTAAAAAAGGCTGCGGGTTGGCAGAGGGCGAAGCCGCAGGCAGGGCAGGGCAGCGGCTGGGCCAGGCGCGAGTGTCCAGCGGCCCTCGCAGGGCGCATGGGGGCGCACAGGGGCGCAAGGACCGGGGCCGCACAGGGGCGAAAGCCGCTCTCCTGCCCTCTCCCCGCGAGGCTGCCCGGTGGGCGAGGGCGCAGCAGGTCCGGCCCCTCCTCTGCAGCCGTATCCGGAGTGGAGCGGCAGGAGGACGGGGGGCGAGTGCAGCAGACAAGCAGTTACTTACCCTGCTGACTTCCTTAGGAGCCGCCTCGTCTGGGGGTGGAAAAGGAGGGAGACACGGTTAGACACCGAGCAGCCCCCCACGGACCCCACGCTGCCCTCACGGGCGCCGCCCAGTGGCATCTAAGACCTGACGGGTCACGGCCGACGTCTACAAAGCAAAGGCCGCGCCTAGCGCCGAGCCCGCTCCTCCGCGCTGCGCCAGGGAGGGAGCGCACGGCCTGCTGGGCCTTCCGCCATTACCTTCCAGAGGCTCTGGAGCCGTCTGTAAACGGGCACCCACGTGCCGGGGGACCTGCAGGGGCGGCAACCACCAGAGGGGCCCCGAGGAAGGCGCGGTGCTGGGAAGAGCCCCCAGCCTGCACTCTGTGGCTGTCCAGGCATGAATGGCGCCTCCTGCTGGGGCTTTGCTCCAGGGACCCACGTTGGGGCTGTCCCTGCTGGCTGGTGGGCACGTGGCCGGCAGACCCCGCTGCTGGGCTGCAGCTCCCCAGGAGAGACCCTCCGAGTCCCCAGGGTCTGCCGTGGCCAAGACGCGGGGGGGCTCCCAGCACAGGGAGCACAAGGGCAGGACTCCGCGTCCCACCCAGGCCCCTGTGCCGACTCAGAGAACGTGCTGGAACATGGCCTGGCAGAGGAAGGCTGCTGGGCCCGGCCCCTCCGGCCTGCGACGGCGGCAGCTTGAAATGCAAGCTGTGGCTCTCTCGCGCTTCCTCCCGGGCCCTGGTCTCCTAACACGCAAACCCTGCTGGGCCCGCCTTAGGATGCACTTAGCACACCTGAGCCCCGCAGACTCAGAACACCCGCTCCCCACCACCGGGGCGTGACCGCAGCGTCCATCTGGGCTGCGAGTGCCCCCAGCATCCCTATTCACTAAAACACTGGGCCCTGCGGGTCCCCTTTTCTCTGCTCTTTCTCCAGTTTACCACTTACCGTCCATCTGCACAAGTTACACCAAGTCTTGTCCTAGAGCACAGGCTGGCCGGCAGGCAGCCTTTAGGTGGTGTCTGGACCTGCATCTGCCCTGGCGGTCACAAACACACACACACACGCACACTCACACACACTCATACACGCACACACAACACACAGTCATGAACACACATGCACACACACGCACGCACACACGCACACACACATACTCATACACAAGTGCGCACACAAACACACATGCTCACCCACCCAGTCTGTCTCAAAATACCCCACCTATGCCCAGGGCTCAGGTGCGCTGGGACCTGAAACACAGGAGATTTCCACCCTGGGCTGGGCTCACTTTTTCTTTCCCTGGGAACCTTTGGAAGATGATCCAGCCAGCAGGTGTTCAACAAACAGGCCCATTTTGGGGGCCACCTGTAAATACACACATGCTTACACGCCTCACCCATGACCCGTGCAGCCCAGCGTCGCACCCCGACTCCTGACGGGGCACATGTCGGCGCCTGCCCGGCTCCCATCCGCAGTGACACCGCAGCACCGCCAGCTCCCAGCCCTCTAGCCTTCCCGACTCTGTCCGGGGGTCCATTTCATCACTGCAGCAAGTGAACTGAGTGCGTACGAAGCTGCAGCGGTTACACAAACTGAATAGTTTCAAGGTTTTACCTGCGCAACAGGCAGCCGGGGCTGGAAAGCGCAAGTGGACTGAGGCGTGGGATGAAGCGGGCAGTGGGCAGGCCGGACAAGGCCCGGGCAGGAGACCTGGGCCGCCGCTCCCTGCACTCTGCCCCGGCCGGGACGCAGCGAGGGAGGACGGCCCGCGGACACCTGCCAACCCACGGCCCTTTTGGTTTGCCCGTGAGAGTGACCTCAGACTCGCGCCCCACGGGGCAGCCGCAGGCCAGCCGCACCTGCTGCGCTCTGCTCCGCGGGGATCCACACGGTTGAAGCCAGTCATGACAGCTGCTTCCCGGGGTTTTCACTCTATGGGCCGATTTAGAAAGGTCTGTGCTGACTCTTCTTCCAGCTTAGAAGTCGAACAATTTTTGTCAAGTGAAAGTGACACCTACCGTGCTTAGGAATGCGGGTTCCAGCTGAGGAAATCAATGACACGGTGAAATTTGCTAGAATAAGGGGACCCTGCTCCTCCCACTTCTTGTATTTGGGATTTTGTTTGGCTGAGCGCTCCTGCTGGGGGCACTGATGCACGCTGGAGCAGTTCACGTAACTCCTCTTCAGGTGCGGCGGCTCCTCCAGACTCAAGAGCAGGGGCTACGGGTGGGAGGGCTGGAGACCTGGGGGCCTGGAGGTCTGGGGGCCTGGAGACCTGGGGCCCAGGGGCCTGGGGACGTGAAGGCTTAAGGGTCAAGGGCCCTGGGCCCCTGGACACGGCAGATCTGCAGTCACTGACCGTGCACCCGAAGCTGAACAGTAGCTTGACAGAACTCTGTGGGGCAGGTGCCCGTGTGTGCCGCCCGCCCCCACCCGCCTCCCCGCAGCCCCACAGGCTGGGGCTTCCTGGCGCTGGTGGTGCTGCCCCGAGCGCTGGGATGAACACCCCTTCTCTGCCGACCCCACACAGGGCTAAGGCAGCCCAGGCAGCGGGTCCTAGACGAAGACGCTCCTGGGGGGGGGGTTGGGCCAAACAGACCCCTGCACACAGGACCCCCCTTTCTTCTGAAGTAGCATCGCGTCACGTAGCATCGACGCGTGGGGAGCAGCGCACGGCAGCAGAGCGTCGACCGCGGCCCACATGGACAGCCCACCCTGGTCTCCCCACAAATGTGGCTGCAGTGCATGGGGAGGCGCCTAGGAGACACCCGAACTTCTCACCAAACACAGACAGCACGTGCACTGGGGCACAGGCCGCGCACCAGAGCAGACCCTACAAAGCTCAGGAGGGAAACCCTGAGGCCTATTTCCTGCACTAAAAACAAAAAGTGCAAACTCTAGAAGAGAAACTGATGAGACGATGAAGCTTAGCACCGCCGGGTCAACGGCATCGTCCACGAAAGGAACCCGGGGCCAAGGCCAGGCGCGTCCTCCCACGGCCGACAAGACGTGGCCCCGGACGCACACCCAGCTCGGTGCTGGGAGGTGGGCCGGGATCCGACAGGCCCCTCGCAGAGGCCCATGGAGAGCACTTGGGGAACCACTGGAAGGCCGGACGCAGGGGCCGCCGCCACCCACCGACGGGCCAGTGCAAAGGGAGCGGCCAGCAGCCGGACCGGGTGGACGGCCAAGTCCCGTCCAGACCTGCCGTCCCTGAGTGTCCCTGGCCTCGCGTGAGGCGGGCACCCAGCGGCTCTGCTCCCGTGAGCCGGGGTAGGGGCCCAGCAGGGGCTGCGGGGCCAGAGGGGGCGGCGTTGGGGGAGAGGGGTCAGCTGCAGCCAGGGGCGTCTGTGTGACAACACGCTGAGCTACTGGGACCAGACAGGGAGGCCCCGTTATCCGGAAGCAGCCCTTAGCGAGGGTGGTCAAACAAGAACGTGTCTCTTGGGCCTCAGGCCCCGTGAAGCAGCGCTGGGGACTCTTCGCCCCATGATCGTCCCGGGTTTGCAAAGAAGATGCCCCTTGCAGAATGTCCTGCTGGCCCAGGCTTCAGTCCCCGGGCGCGGGGGGCCGAGGGCTAGGCCTCCCGCCGCCCCCCCTCTTCCCGCTGTGGCAAAGCCTCGGCCATCCCTCCATATCTGCGGGGGACCCGCAGGTGGGCCCTGATTACTCCCTGTCCTCAAACTGCTCCAGGTCGCTCTGCAGGGTGGACGCCGGCCAGGAGAGGGCAGCCAGAGGGGTCTCCCAGGGAGGGCCGAGCTCTCTAGCCACACACCCTTGGGCTTCGGCAAGACCCCAGAGGCCAGCTGCACGTGGACGCAGGAGAGCCCAGCCCTGTCCGGCAGGACAGTCCCGGCTTGAGCCTGGACAGCCTGGGCCGCGGGCTCAGCAGAGGCCAGCGCCAGGCCACGGCTGCTCCTCGCGAGGCCCCTGCAGGCCCCTCGGCCCTCGCCCCAGGAGGAGAGCGGGCAGTGGTGCGAGGCTGGTGGTCACCCACCGCGCGGCAGGCTCAGCGCCCGGCAGTCCCAGCTCGCGGCGCCCTCTGACCGGGGGTTCCAGGTGCGAAGGCGTGGGCGCCCCCGCAGGGCCACATTTCCTGTCTGTGGTTCCACCCGCACCTTCCTTGATGGCCAACGCGCTCCTGAAGGCCAGGCTGTCTTTACCCCGACATAGAAACACGCAAGGTGAAGTGTTCCTTACCTAAAACTGCATCCAGAATTCACTGTTCTAATGTTTACCCTAAAATAAGATTTATTGAAAATATACTTTCATTATATTAAAGCTTTCAAAATGGGGGGGTCTAGCAAACCCATTTTCTTAACCCACAGCTACACTAACCTCGTCTGCTGACGCTGGGGAAGCTGTGTCAGTCTGTGGACGCCAGGACGATGGCCCCGAGGCCGTGGGCTGCATGGGAGGGATGCGCGGCTGCCCCGCGTGACCTGAGCACCTGCAGCCACTACAGCCCTGCGCAGTGGTAGGAGCCGTCGGGTGGACGGCCACCTCGTCCGGCACAGCGGCCGGCACCGCCACCCTCCCCACGGGCCTCAGTGTCCCAGGGCAGGCCGTGGTGTTCCAGGGCATCCAGCAGTGTTCCAGGGCATCCAGCATTGTCACAGGGTGAGCTGAGGTGTCCCAGCGTGTCCAGCAGTGTCCCAGGGCATCCAGCAGTGTCCCGGGGGGGCACGTGGTGTCCCAGGACATCTCACAGTGTCCCAGGGCATCCAGCAGTGTCCCGGGGGGGCCGTGGTGTCCCAGGACATCTCACAGTGTCCCAGGGCATCCAGCAGTGTCCCAGGGCATCCCACGGTGTCCCAGGGTGGTCTGTGGCATCCCAGGGCATCCCAGGGCATCCCGCGGCTTTCCAAGGCATCCCGTGGTGCCCCAGGGCATCCTGCAGCATCCCAGGGCATCCAGCAGTGTCCCAGGGCATCCCATGGTGTCCCAGGGTGGTCTGTGGCGTCCCAGGGCGTCCCGTGGCGTCTCAGGGCATCCCGTGGTGCCCCAGGGCATCCTGCAGCATCCCAGGGCATCCAGCGTGTCCCAGGGCATCCCATGGTGTCCCAGGGTGGTCTGTGGCATCCCAGGGCGTCCCGCGGCGTCTCAGGGCATCCCGTGGTGCCCCAGGGCATCCTACAGCATCCCAGGGCATCCAGCAGTGTCCCAGGGCATCTGGCGGTGTCCCAGGACGTCCCAGCGTCCGGTGGTGTCCAGCAGCGCCCGTCCCACGGAGACTGCCCTCACCCAGGCATGGCCGGGAAGACCCCACAGGGAAGACCAGGTCCCTTCTCCACTTTCAGGAATTCCTCAAGGCTCAGGATGTGTCAGGACGCCTTCCCGACTGACCGCCACGTGCACTTGCCCCCGACGGGGCCACGCTGCTCAGCCAGGGCCCCTCGCCGCCTCCCGGCTCTGCCTCCAGCCCCTTTGGGACAAACCCAGCAGGGGCCTGCTGGGTTGAGGGGACCCCCGGTCTTAGTGTTTGGAGGCCCCCCCAGGCTATGGCCCACAGCAGCCCCCGCGTCTCACATCCCACCAAGAGTGCGCGGTTTCTCGGCTGTGCCAACACAGGCCCGTGTCTGGACTTTAAATCTTCATCGCAGGCGGCCCAGGGGGGAGGCCCCGAGGGGCGGCTCACGAGCCCGGGGACCCCTGGGAATCTTTGAGGAAAAGCGTGCGAGTCCTTTGCCCGTTTTAAACCCGACGTCTTTGCTGTCGGCTGTGGGGCTTCCTCCCGGCTCCTGGACAGCAGCTCCTTATCACACGGGTCATCTGCAAGAAGGTCCTTTTCCACGGGCTCTTTTCACTGCTCGTGTGTGTGGACGGGCCACCGAGCTCCCCGGGACGAGCACGGGCAGTCGGGGGGATGGCAGGGGCCAAGGGCAGCCCCTGAGTGCGGCGTGAGTGAGGGTGTCTGGGGCGGGGAGGGGGACGGGCTGCTCAGGAGTCCTGCAGAGCAAAACAGAGGATGAACTTTATCCCAGAAATCCTGCAGTCCTGGCAGGGTCTTCACCGCTGCATTCATGAGGGAAAACAGTCCTTACAACACGCAGGGGTTTACATTTCAAAACGCCCTCTCCCGCCCTCATTTCAGAGGCTGCGAGGCTGCTTCTGCAAGGCCAGTTTGCACCTGCGCCAGGCCCGGGCCTGCTCCGCTGCAGGGCCTGGAACACACCCCGCGCTCCCTCGCCTCAGCCCTGGGCCGTCCGCGGCCTTCGCAGGAACCCCCATCCAGGCAAAGCGGCCGGGACGTTAAGATCTGGGAGCCGAGCGAGTCAAAGGGGCCGCGGCGGCTCTGAAAGGGGCTGCGGATCAGAAAGGTCTTAATCTCGGTGAGCCTGAGTCCCGGGCTGCATCTTACTGCAAAATGGAAAAAAAAATTCCCGATTATAGAAATAACTTCCCCGCGAGAAAACGGGCTCTGTGTTGTTGGCAGTAACATATTACTACCCTGGCACCTTTGGAACGCGGCACAAGGAGACGTTCCTCTCAACTTCTGTCTGAGATGAAGAGCAGGGAACCAGTGGCCCCATCTCCGCCCCTCCCCCAGGTGCCATCAGCGCTCAGGAGGGGCCCCCCACCCCGAAAAGGACTGTAACTGGTAAACTAACGAGGACCCCGCGCCTTCTCCCCAGCGCCTGCCAGCCACATGGCGCCGGGAAGCCGCTCAGCTCGTGGCGCACAGCGTTGGCGAACTCGCCGCAGAGATCCCCGGCGCGCCAGCCCCGCCGCGACTTCCACGGTAAACCCCGGCAGCGTGAACCCCGCGTGACAGCGCGCGCCTGGGGGCGACAGATGGGGCTGTGCTTCCCCCGCACAAATAGCAGAAGCACAAGCGACACCTTGCATCTCCTTACGTGCGCTCGGGAGTGTCTCTTTTTTTTTTTTTTTTTTTTTTTGGCTTTTTCAGGCTTTTATAGAGGTTTTACATGGAGGGCGGCAACCAGGGAAGAGAAATAATAGGAGAAAATAATAGGAGAAATAATAGAGAAATAGAGAAATAATAATAGAGATATAGAGAAATAATATGAGAATATTATTTAATATTAAATAATACTTCTCATATAATACAATAGAAATATCTATTATAAAAAATAATAGAGAAATAATATGAGAACAATATCTGAGTTGAAATCACCTGTTTGTAATTTCCTCTTTAGAGTGTCACACACAAAACAGAAGTCACTTCCTACAACTTCCAATAGTTAACACGCGCTAACTCCCCTTTCCGAGGCGCGTTCTAGCAGCGCTCACTTTTATAACTGGATGTCTGCGCCTCCTGGGTGAGGGCGCCCAGCAAGCAGCAGAGACCAGCAGGGCAAGCTGAGTCCTGGGGGCCCCCCTGACATCTGAGAGCACCCCAAATTTGGGACAAGTGTTACCACTAAGTCCATCTCCGGCACAGCCCCCGCCGGGAAACGCACCTGCCTCCGCGTTGTTTTCAAGCCTCTGGGGTTTGCAGGGGCGGAACCCTGGCCTCAGGCCGGGCTCTGAAGGCACAAGACCAGGCTGCTTCGGGGACCTCCCTGTCTCTGCTTCCCTCCCCCCCACTCCACGCAGACACGCGCACACACGTGCATACAAGCACACGCGTGCACTCATACGTTTGCACACTCACGCACAAGCAGGCACACACACTCACACACGTATGCTCAAACAATGCTGAGTCTCAATGCTAAAAGTCCTCCTTTTTCAAAGTTCACATATTTTTAACCTAAAACTTATATAAGAAAATTCTAAACTTTCAAAACTGGAATGAGGAAAATCAGCTCCAAGCAGGACACCACTGACAGCGGAACTCTTACACCGTCACTTCTCGACATTCAATATGGCATTCTTGTTAAAATAAATACATGTCCAGAAAATCTTTTCACATGTTTAATGCCAAAGTCCCTCGTACAGTTAACTCCACATAGAAAACCAAAACCATGATAGAAACAATGTTCGTAGACGTGAGAAGTCAAGTCTGACCCAACAGAAGCCCACGTAAAACCAACAATAAAATAAATACGACACGATTCAAATCCAACATGTTAATATAATTCCAGTTCAGGAGGAAATTTGCTTGTTTTACATCCTTTGAGCCAACACTTCTCTTCACGGCATGACTAGCGGCTCTTACGGTTATGAGTGTGAATAAAATGTCTAATGCAAAGTCAACAGCTCTTTTCCTGTGACCCGCACACACATATAGTCTTTCTGCAAAAAAAAAGTCCTTTTGCAAAATGTAGTAACAAACGTGTCTTGACATAGAAACAATTTCCTTATAATGAATAAGCATGAAATAAAACCAAGTCTAATGGTGATTTCTGCATTGTTCAACATGGTCCTCGCTCAGCAAATTTTAGGGAATTATTTGCCAAAGTTCTTTTTCAGTCGAGGATCTTTCTGCTTTTATTTACAAATGCACCTTCTCTGCTCTCTAGCCCCACAGAGCCCTGGTGGAATTAGAGTTTACTTTCTACCTGGGGGGGGATCCACGGCGTTGTCCTCACCGCGGCGCCCCCTGAGCTAGCAAGAGAGCCACGGCGGCCGCGAGAGACCGTACCTTCTGCTTTGTGGTTTTTCCTCTTCAGCCATTTCTCTACAGTCTCTGCACTAACACTCTCAGATACAAATTCGTCTAAGACCTGGGGGTGGAGAGAAAGATAGGCCTTCACTTTTTCATCTGTCAAACCTGCAAAAGAATTGGAAAGAATAAAATTAGCCTCCACGGCATCCTCCTTTGCATGTAAGATACAGAGGAAGGTCAGACGACGCGAAGACTGCTGTCAAGCACGCGAGGCTACGCGAGGAACGTGAAGGCGCGTGTGCACACTCTGGAATACCAGGCCCGGGAAGAGGACCGGAGCCCTGGTTCAGGCTCCACCCCATGAAAACAGTGGGAATAAAGGACACACTTTGCACATGTCCACTTGCATGGAATCTCCAGAAAAGCCGGGTTCACAGGACGCAGGACTGGGGGTTACGGACGCTGGGGAAGGGGAGAAAGAAGCGCTATTTCTCGGCGGGGACAGAGTTTCTGTTTGGGGCAAAGCAGAGTCTGGCGGTGCAGGTGACGGGCGCCACCGTGAGCCTGAGCACACCAGCCGCGGCTGGAAGTGGTCGAACGGCAGGCTTGGTCGTCTGTATTTCACCACCAGGGAAAGGGCAACGGTGTGGGAGCGGCCCCTCCCTGGCTTAGCGGCGACATCACGCGCGCCCTGGGGCCTGTCCAAGAGGAATCCTCAGGGTGTGTGTGAGCCTGTGCACCGTCCCCACGTGGGGCAGTTAAGCCTGATGACGTTCCGCTATTTCTAAGAGAGTATTTAGCACAGATCTGGCACCTAAGGGGGTGAAGTTAGCAACCGCCTCAAACAGAACAGAATCCTGGCGCAGTCTAGGTGCTACGAAATGTAGTGACCAAATTCTCACTTGCTCTTGTTGACACCACAGAGTCTCCCTTTTCTCGGCAACACGGAAATCAATGGTGCGAGTGAGCGCTGAATTCAGAATGCTCCACCTTCGACCACCTGCTCTCGGAAGCTTCCAGATACGCCCTCTGGGTCGCGATGTTTACAGCCCGTCTCTCGGGGTTACTGAGCTCAGGAAGTGTGCTCCCTTCCCGCCTCTCCCACCACGGCGCCCACCCCACGCGCCGCCTCTAGCAACTACCGCGCTGGGCTCGCGACCTCCGAGTCTGCGCTGTGAGCGAGTTTCCACGTGGGAGAGAGCGCGGGGTGTTTGGCTCTCCTGAGCCGCGGGCAAGCATCCTGCTGCGTCTTCGCTCCAGCCAAGGAAGCTCCCAGCCACACGGCACGCGCCACCCGGCGCCCCGCGGTCTTACATGGCAGCGGGGTCCCCGGGGATGTTCTGGGATGTTCCCCCAGGCTGAGTCCCTGAGGACGCCTCCCCCGTGTGCCCGGCTGCCCTTGCTCCTGCTCCGTCCTCGCCGTCCGTCGGGCGACACCCAGGCCGGCTCCGCGCCTGGCCCCCGGGAGGACCGCGCCGAGGCGCGTGGGGCAGCGGATGCGCTTTCGAGTTAACTTTTCATTTTCTTCACGTAAACGCCCAGAAAGGCAGCTGCGGGGTCACGGGTGGTTCCCCTCCCTCGGCTGCACCCCGAGCACCCCAGGCGCAGGGCGGGCCTCTCCTGCACGCCCGCGTAGGCACGGTCCTCCCGGCTGCCAGGACCGCGGTCGTCCCAGAGGCCGAGGCCACGCGCGTGTGTTCGGGTTTGCACTCCTGCCCCCGAGGGGCGCTGAGCGTCTCTGCGCATCCCGTCTGGGGCTCTTCTTTGGGAAAACGTCTATTCAACATTTCTGCCCTTCTGAAAATGGGGCGGGCTTGTCTGTCTTGCTCCACTGTTGAGTTCTAAGAGTTCCTGATGTGGTCTGGGTGTGATCCCCGCACAGCAGCGTTACCAGTGGAAAATTTTCCCCCGTGGCAGGTCACGTTTCCGTTTCGTTGCTGGCTCCCTGGCTGCGCAGAGGCTCCTTCCACATGGCCCGACTAGTTCCCTCTCCTGGATACCGTTCCAAACGCACTAGAGGACAATGCCTGCTCTAATTCTATTGGGAGGAAGCCTGCATGCGCCACACACGCACACCAGACACGCACACCAGACACGCACACGACGACCGTTACTAAGTCATAGAAACGAGAAACCTCTTCCGTCCTCTGCACAACACGGATCGTCCTTGGGACATCCTGGGAGATTCTGGAGCTCAGACGGGGGCAGGGACCGCGTGGGCCCATCGCGTGTGGCTCCCACAGTGGAGTTGAGATGGGGGCACTACCAGATTGGGTGCAGGGGAGGGGCAGGCGGTCAGAGGCACAGACCTTGGGGTCCTGTCGCAGTGTCCACTGCGTGCTGGGAGTGGCGAGCGAGCGGATCTCCAAGTGGCCCCCCCAAACACAGGTTGACCCCGGGTGCAGAGGAGGTGCTGGCTGTCATGCAACCACCCTCCCTCAAGATGTCAAATAGCCGAGTAGGGCCCGTCACGCAACCCCAGGCCCCAGCAGCCCCTTCCATTGTGCACCAGCAACTCTTCTCTCTGCCTTTAACTTGTGCCTGCTCGTCCCCCAGTGCCACCAGCCGACACTGGACATCCTACCAAGAGCCCCCCGATGTGCTCGCCGTGCCCAGGGCCACCCTGTCCCACGCAGGAGTGTGCCTATCCCATGAAAGCCGTGGCCAGGTCTGTCCAGCGTGAAGTCCTCAGTGCCCCCGTGGGTGCGGCTTTCCGGGCGCCAGTCTGTGCTTCTCACCCCGCTTGGCTCGTGGCTGCTGCAGCTGCTCCTTCGCAGCTAGAGGCTATTAGACCCAACTTCTCTCCACAAGGAACAGCAGCCCCGACAGCCCAGCGTGGCCTCCACGCGCGCTCCAGAGGCAACAGGAGCAGCGGCCATCAGCCAGCTCAGGGCGAGCACTGAGACCTGACTCCAGGCCCCGGGGCAGATCGAAGCCCCACTCGGGCCTGAGCCAGGACAGGAGACCTGGCCCTACCCCCACTCCCCAGGCGACTGCACAGACATGGCCACACGGCCGGGGAGGCTCATGGGAACGCGAGGCCGGAACCCAAGGAGGGGCCGAGAGGCTGGTCAGTCGAGACACAAAACCAAACCGACGCAAGCCCCAAGGGGTGAAAGTCCAGCAAGGACAGGACACCAGGGCCCCGTGGCCTGGCGAACGCGGCTCTCGCCCTCGCGCTGCCCGGCGTGTCCCTGCAGGTGACCGTTTGCTGACTTAGAAGAAGGCTTCTCATCTCTTTCCCCAGAATTTGGTAAAGAATGGGTATAATTTGACAGATTTAAAGATAATGCTAAAATCCGATGCCTCCAGAGTTCTTCAGATTTTGCAAAAATATGTCACTGTTTTCTCATGACTGAAACATCTAACTTAAAGGGAGTTTGATCATCCACAACAATTGCAGGCATCTCTGCTTGCGGTGACAGGGCAGTAAATGGACCCGACCCCCCCGGGCAGCTAGTGCTTCCGGAGTAAAAATGAGCCCTAACAGTAAAAGCTGGTCTGGTCTTTGACAACTCAACTAGAGAACTGCATTTTGAGGGGGAAATACTGTAACCGCAGCCTGCGCTGCCGAACCCAACGACTCTGAAATGTCTCTTAAAATAGGGATACGGAGACTCCGATCCCCACGGCGGGGGGCACAGCGCACCTGGCCGCCCGGGACGTTCAAAGCGTAAGACGCTCCGAGAAACAACAGCTCTCACGTCTCGGCTGCTAGGAGGACCGAGCACCGTGGTGACAGGTGAAGAGGACCCTGTTCAGGAGGAAGGCGCACGTGGGAAGGCACGTCTCTGCCCTGCATCTCCAGACCTTGACCTTCTGTCGCTCAACAAGCCTCAACCCACAAGCAGAGGAGCCCCCTGCGGACGCGGGGCACAGAGGCGGGCGCCCAGGTCCCGAGGCCCGCCCAGCCTTCACCTCCCCCCCTACCCCGGGGGACCGCCCGTGCCATGCCTGGGCCCGTGTCCTCATCCGGACAGCACACGTCTCCGAGGCTGACGGCGGGCAGGCCCCGGGGTCTCTCAAAGCTGCTCCGGGGTGGACTCGGCCACTGGCCCCAGGCACGACGGCCAGGATGACCGACGTTATCACCGCTGAAAACACCTTGGAAGACAGACCCCCACGTGGCTCCAGCGTGTGGTTTCATGAAGAAACGGGGCACGTCTGCTCCTGAGCCCAACCCTGGAGAAAGCGGAGGTCGCCTTCCCGTCAGCAGGGCTGGTCGGGTCCCTGCCGTCCAGGAAGCACAGACGCTGCGGGGAGGGCTCCTCCAGGCGGCTTCCAGAGACCAGTCTGCACAGCTGCCGTGTAGAGCAAAGACGCAAACCCAGGCGTGTCCACAGAACCCTGACTACGAGCACAGCAGCTGCTGTTTCTTCAGGGGCGTGTGGAAAAGCGTCTCGCTTCCCCCTGGCCTCCGGATGCCAAGGCCGGGCCCACCTTCAGGCGGGACCTTGGGTTGCTCTGCTGGGCTGGGGTCGGCCCTTTTAACCAAGGAAACCACGTCTGTGCAAGGCGAGGACGAAAACTCCCAGCTCACGCTCAGCAGCACTGACCTTGCTTTGTGGTGTGTTAGTGTCTGACCCCGCACGAGCCGCGGTCTTTGAGGTGTCTCCTTTCTCTCATTCTGTGCTAATGGGATGCTGTTATCTCGAGCTCTCGACACCCAAAAGCGACAGTGAGGAAGAGAAGCAAAGCTAAAATGCGTGTTAAGGTTCATTTCACAGATCCAAGGCTCGACGTGAACGCATCTGAGGTGGTGTCCCTCACCAACGGACCTGACAAGCGCGTAAGACCCGCAGACAGAACCACCTCGGTACTAACGATAAAGACACGGGCCAGAGACCTGGAGTGTCCCAACCCAGCGAGGGCAGCTCGCTGGGATTGAGCGGCGAGATCGAGACACTGACTTCCCGTGACGGGTCACAGAACATTCGTGAGCCGTGCGCTTCTGAGCCCCAAAACCCAGGAGCAGGTGCAGAAAAGCACCCGCACTGGTGTCGCTTACCAAGCTCGAGTGCGGACCCGCCCTGGCCACGCCGGCTGCTCCCCCTGGGCGACCCCACCACCAGCCAATGCCAGAGACTCCGCTCGGTTGGGGGTGGGGGCGGCCTCCAG